GGCGTCGTGGTAGCGAGGCTGCGACCATCTGCAGGCTTTGGACCTGCATCTGCAGGCTTGGAGGCTCCATCAGCACGGAAGCCAAGAGGGCTCATGAAGCGTGCAGCGATGGGTAAGACGTCGATCGATTCCTGCGGTGACTCAACCCTGCCATAGTCATCGTACTCGTTGAATGGAGTCGGTGTAGGGCTGACAGGAGGAGGCGTGGCATAAGGGTGCAGAAGGGGCTCGATGAAGGATTCTTTCATTTTTGTGAGGTCATTTACGTATCTGTAACGAATACAACGATCGCATCAGGATCAGTGGATCAGTGTGTGGGGAGGGGCAGCGCACCGCTCTTCAGAAGCCACGATTTCCCATAGGACTTCTTGACGAGTGCGTTCACGGGGGCCAAGGTTGCTGACGAGGTCTTCTTCTGCAGCCTCGCTCCACGAGGTGACTGCAAGAATGCGGCTGCTGGCATTGGACATTTGAGAATAGGGCGTGGTGGAGCGCATTGAGCCTGGGTAAGGGGAAACTGCTGTGCGTGTACTCGTGGCTTTTGCAGTATTGGTTGACGGAGTAGGAGCTACGGTGGTAGACGTGGATGGAGAAGAACCAGTGGTGGTGGTAGTAGACTTTGCAGCGAGGTCTGTGCGTGATGTCGAGGCGGCTGTGGAGATGGAGCCACGCGTGTCTTTGCCATGTGTTGCCTGAAAACGCGACACGGTGGTTTTGAGCGGGGCGCCCGAGGGCGTCTGAACGATTTGAGAGGGGCTGAGCACCGATGTATCCGGAAGTTGGGTATTAAGAGGCGAGGGTGTCGGAGGGGGTGAAAGGAAGGCTACCTTTTTCTGTACATCATTTGATGTGGTACTACCATTTGCCTTGCGACGATTTGCAGGGTCCGGGTCGTGTGTAGGCGGGGAAATGGTAAGGCCGACGCCACTGTCGTCGTCAAGGGGCTCCTCGATTGGAGGTAAAGGACGAGCACAGATGTCAGGCAGTGGTTTATGCGATGAAATTGAAGTAGGAGTTCCTGCACTGGTATTGACTGTACCTGCACTATTGGAGCGTTGAATTTGAATCAAGCTGGGAGATGTGACATGTCTACTGCTGGCGTCGGTTGCTGGTCTACTGACAGGCTCAATAGAGAGTCTTTCATGGGTAGGAGGCCAGACCAGGAGCGGTGGAAGCTGGACTAGCTCACGCTTTTCTCGGCTGGGGGGTGAGTGGGAGTTGGTAGAGGAGTTGTCGCTGCGGTCCTTGGTCAAAACGGAGACATTGTCACGATCTTTTTCTTTTTCTTTTTCCTTGTCCTTGTCCTTGTCTCGGTCCCTGTCCTTTGATGTTAGGCCTCTGTTGAGCCTGTTCAGAAATGCTTTCATGGCCGTGGGGCCAGAATGAAAGAATGATAGTGACAAGAGCAGAACAAGTTGTGGGGTAGTGAAAGTGAAAGGTGATTACAAGCAATGACCACAGTAGAACCGACGTTGTTAATGCTGTACTGAGATGTCGTTGGTAGGATCACGACCGTAGTCCCTCATGTCAGACTCATGTACTAATATCCTTTCACGGCCAACCCTTTACATACATGCGAAACTCAAACTCACGCGGATACATTTAGCCTCGTGTTCATCGTCAAGTCTCTCGGAGCTCACTCCTGTCTTTTTCGGATCCAAGGCGCTTCTACAAATTTATGGTCTCCTTGCTATGACATGGTAGAGCTTGCTGTAACTATCACCAGGGTATATACATCTCCTTTCACTCGGCTGTCGGTCCAGAAATATTCATATCGTTCGCCCTCGGAACACCGTAGCTTCTCATAGTCGGCAGTTTTGCTGATGGTCCGTGTCCTTCCTCACCGTAGATGACAGCAAGAATACTGAATTTATCATACTTTCAAATTCCTAGATACGGTCGTGGGCGGCCTATGGCGAAACTCACTATTGGAATCAACTCGGAAAAGGTCGTGACGCCGCCTCCGAATCAGCAACTCACTTGATTGTGCTTGCACCCAACTTGCACCTCCCAAATTCAGTGCGGAAGTCCGATTTCCACTCTATCGTACGGCGAGTGACAAAACTGTCAAGACACGATGTCACTGAGGTGTATACCCTGCGAGAGTCTGGGGCATTCTTTCGAACGTTTCCTGTCGAGCGATGACGGAATGCATCCTCAATAACGCACCGAGTAGATGCCATGCTCATATGATACCCGTACGTGTCTGGTCAACGAACTTTCTTTGTGCTCCCATGTTCCACAGTTCCATGTGGTTAAACTCGGGATATGCGCTTTCTCATTTCATTCCATGCAGTCACAAACAGTGGTTTCCCAGATTTCCTCCGCCGTCTGGCAAAATGAAGGCACCAGGAGAGACTTGACGTCAGCCGAGGTTCGGCAAAGACCCACCTTCAATTTAAAATAAAGTCATTGTTCTATCGACAGCATGCATCTGTATCATCATGTTCATCATCGCTCTCGGAAGCTCCTCTAATGAACGTTCATGCTCACTGCTCGATCGACGTGTGCTTCAGATTGCTTGAACGTCGGTGGCGCGCGAAGGGAATTGGCGCATGCGAAGAGCTCCAGGACCAGTCCACGGTCCAACTCGGTGGTAAAGAGATCGAATATATATCTTCTTAATGGTAAACAACACCGTTGCATCGAAACAGTGTGCAGAGCACGGAAAAGACAAAGGGTGACGAGAATGCTGATCGGCCGCGGTGCTCTAGTCGAGGCTTCATCGATGCTTAGCTTCATCCCGGGATGGTTGTTGAAAATTTGTGGTAAGGCGCGAAACCATTTTATATGGTTTACCTGGCAAGTGATCTTGACGCGGCGTTTGCAATCACACCGGTTAGTAGTGTTACAGATATCTTCATATATTGCGGTCCGCGGATATCACCTCCAGGACCCACACGCAAGTAACTGAAAAGAGAACTTTGAAAGCCATCAGATATACAATATGAGGACTTCACTTATCCAGATCAAAGGGTATGCATAACCCGGTCGGAAATGATGTGCGCCACATTGTGCCTCGGTGACCATGGATCTATTGAATTAGCATACTTATATTTACATAGCCCCATCTCAACATGCTAACAAGTCACTTTGCCGGAGTGGTTAACGGGATCGCCTGCTATACAGCTAAGCGGTTGGGCTTTGCCCGCGAGTGTTCGAATCGCTCAGGTGACGCTTTTTTCAACCAATTTGAGACAATTAGGGATTTGCCCTTTTTCAGCTTTAAATCTTCACTTCGGCTAATACGATCCTAATCGGGTATATTGCTCTCAAAACATATGAAATACACATGCCCCATGGCTGAGTTGGTTACAGCGTCCGACTGTTACGCATTGTTTCATCGGAAGGTCGTGAGTTCGAGCCTCACTGGGGCAGTCACCTTTTGCATTTTTGCTCAGCGCTATACTTACCACACTCAGACTGACACTCCGAGTCTTGGATCATCTTCCATTCATGCAGGGTTCTGTCTTCAAGTACGTCAGATTGCTTTTTTTCAATGAGCAATATTTCTGGATTACTGCATCTCTTGTTGTTCTCGGAGATGCTATCCTCACTCAACTCATAATGCGGTTCGTTCCCTGTTAGCGTGTTTTACTAGCTCGCATAACACCATGACCGATTCGTCAAGCAGATACCGAAATCGACTGGGAAACGTACATGGTCCACATTGACCTTTACCTGAAGGGAGAGCGCAACTATGTCAATATCACAGGTCCCACAGGTCCTTTAGTGTAAGTTAACTTGACGTGAACAGAAGTACACTGCGCTTACCTTGACGAAACTAGCTATCCAGCTGGACACGTTTATATTCATCGCCTTCTTCATCTAATCACAGACTCGGGTCGTAATGTTGCGCAAGCCCAACAGATTTACGGCGGCCTATACGTGCTATCCATCGCCCTCGTATGCGTGATATATAAGAAAGCAAAGGTTCCAAATTGGACGCTTCTGCTACTACCACTCAGCAAAAGGCTGCATTCTATCTTCGTTCTCCGCCTATTCAATGACTGCTGGTCATTAATCTTCGTGCAAGCAGCGATTCTCGCATTCCAGAGCGCTTGGGATGACGTGGGCATCTTGTTATTCAGGTGAGCATTATACTTTCTTCACCCATGTTGAACGTCCATAACTTCCTACAAGTCTCGCTCTCTCCGTAAAAATGTCAGCAATACTGTATCTGCCAGGTCTACTAGTCATTCTCTTCAAACGACACGGCCTCTTTGCGACCGTCCGACACATGCTCGTCTTGGCGTGCACTCAGACTCTACTTGCGCGCTCTTTCCTAATTGCAAATACAAAGTCCTACATGCGAAATGCATTCGATTTATCACGCGTTTTCCTGTACAAGTGGACTGTGAACTGGCGCTTTGTTGATGAACGTACATTTTTGAGTCCCGCATGGGCGAAAGGCTTACTTCTGGGTCACGTTACGGTGTTGATTGCCTTTGGATTATTTCGATGGTGTCGCGGCGACGGTGGCGTAGCTAGAGTTCTGCAGAGAGGCCTCTGGCGACCCGGTCGGCCTGCTGGTTTGGCGCCTGTAGATCCCGATTGTGAGTCATTCTGGGAGTTCGTCAATTTCTGTTTGCTGACCTGTGCACCAGACGTTGTTACTGTACTTACGACGTCCAACCTCATCGGCATCATCTTTGCACGATCGCTGCACTACCAATTCTACTCGTGGTATGCGCAACAATTGCCTCTTCTTACTCAAAGAACAAGATTTCCTTTTATCGTGCAGTGAGTTTCTTCGTGCAGGAACGTGTATTTTTGCGGTCTAATGTGTGCAAAGAATGGCACTCATAGGCACAATCGAATATGCCTGGAATGTTTATCCATCCACGCCACTTTCATCTGGCCTTCTTCTCGCAGCAAATCTTGTGATGCTACTTGGGATTTGGTTCGGATACCCAGAAGGGAAGGTATTTTCAAAACGTTCAAACCTCAGTCAAGTCTCCCCCAAACGATTATCCCAAAAGCAATAGTAGTTGATACATTCATTCGTATTCGCTTCCCATACCTACGATATATGTACTTCTGCCACCTCTGGGCAGAATCAAAACCTTTTCAGCTTCATGGACCTGACAAGCATCAGCGCTTGGCACTGTAGATCCCATCGGGGCTTGCGTTGATATTGGTAGTGGCCGAACGTCGACCTTGGGTAAGGTAATTTCGCCATGATGCAGAGCTATCAATGTCAGCGGAACAGTGAATGAACCACCGTCCTAGATATCGCTTAAATCAACAGCGAGAATGGACTAATACCAGTGGACTTACAGTTGCAATGAAATCTCCACGCTTTCGTCCACACAAAAGCCAATCCTTCACTCGCTCTTCGACATCGTATCGCATCGTGTAGCAGCGCTGTTTGCCCTCTATCTCAGCCCAATGAAAAGATGTCTTGAAGATGAGAGTTGCGTTGATTGGCTGGCCTGCGTAGATTGGTGGTAGTTGATTTGACTGAATGTCACTGGGAAGTGAAGAGGGTTGGACAGTGATTTGTGCTGCAGTCACAATCTGGTTTAGACATGTCAAATTAATTCGGATATGGATTGGAACAACTTAGGAAACACTAACATTCATCCTTGGCACGTCAACCGGTATCTTGATCTCTCTCCAAGGGCAGGGTGATGCAGTCTCTGGGCGACATTGTGCCAATGCCTAAAGATCACGTGCGATGAGCAAAAGCAACAGAACCAGAAATCGACGAACGAACCTCCCGAATAGGACCTTGAAAATCCCCGCCATCTTCAAACGAACGAGGTAAAACGATTTCACCAGTAGCCCTGTATGCTTCTATCCATTCAGCGTTACTCTCCAGTTGTGCGACAAGTTTGTCGATGAGCATGCGTCGTAAAGAGACGTATTGGGGCTCCTCGACTGGCATACTTGACAAAACAACTTCCACTGTTTGTCGAACTAATGCCTCCACCTCTGGGTATTATATAGCTGCAGTCAAAGTAATACTGGATAGAGAGAACCTCACCGTCACGTAGTATGCGGTATTTGATGACAAGGTTCAGTGGATCAAGAACTGGGTTTCTCTTAGCACTCGACAAGTAAACTGGCTAGCAACGCACCAGGTCCATTCGAAGACTCTATGGAGAACAAGAAGTTCACAGGATATTCTGGCGTAACTGTCTATGTGGAGTTTAATATCCTCAGCAATCAGTGAAAATATAGAATCCTACTACGACAGGACGACTGGGACGACAACCTGAGATTTTCACCCCATCGAGACTTCGTGTACCCTTCAGCTCCGTCGATGAGATTCGAACATGCTGGTGGGAAGTTGCCGAAATAGTAAACTTGGAAAACAGTCTAAAAGGACTTCAGAACAAAGTGCAAGGTGATGTAATAATCGAACCTTTTGCCACGGAAAAAGTCTTCTACGTTAACTGCTATGGGTAGCGAGACCGCGACAACTCTTGAAGTCTGTAAGGTGCGGACCACACCCATCGAGGATTGCGTGTTATATGTCACATTTAGCCAGATTTTCTTCACTTCAGCAGTGAATAAGAGTCATCTTTTTTTAAGAAAAAACGCCTACCATTGCATGATATCTTGAAGCATCGGAGTGTGGTAGCGAAAGTACAACAGTCCACGTCGACGGGAGCATCCAGAAGGACGACAGCGTTGTCAGAGGGCTCAAGAGTTCCCGTACCTTGTCCTGGTTCAAAAACATATCAAAACGTATTGAAAAAACTGACCTTGGGCCTCTAAGCGTGCCGCTGAATAGTTAAATTGCACTCCAGAAGGTGGAGTTAGCTTAATAGTTGCTCTCGAGATGTCATTCTGGCCAGTGGAAATCACAAGTAAGAGGTGTGACGTCGTTCCAAGCTCAACTTGAATCCACAAGTTAGAATTAGTACGATCAAGAAGACTGTACCACTTACTTTGCTGAGGTTGACGTATCTGTACATCCAAAGCGCGCAAACTGCGCGGCACGCGGACCAATGAAATCTGGTTCTTCTTGGGAGTAGCGGCCGCAGTAACCGTATGTTGCCATTGAAAGTGGACACGCGACATTACTACTTCACTGCTCTCAAGAGTATATAGACCCCACGAAGATGACTATAATGTACGGTTCAGTCCACGGGAGACCGTTGAGATGGTCAGACGCACTGGACAAGATAGGGTCACGGTCGATTGACCAGGAGGAAGTTTATCCACCTTCGCAATGAACTTCAGACGTTCAGAATCCCGACCGCGCAATGTTATGTTAATTTCATCAACAAAGACATCCTTGAAATAAAAGTTAGCTCTGGAAGCGATGTCTAAACACAAGAACACGCACACATGGTAGGTGGTTTGAAACGGTGACATCGACCAAGGCTAAGTCTTCATCGTCACTACAGGTAGCATCGCCAGATACTTGAATTGCCATGATAGGATGGTCTGTATGAATCAGATCTATAATTTGTTAATTATTGATGATTCCAAATTGCCAGTACGTTTGGCAAGTACACACCTGAGTCTAAGCTCGCAGCAGCAGTGTGAAGTGCTCTAATAAGCTCCGTAACAGACTTCTCATCCACTTCCGATGTTAGCTCTTTGCTCGTGTCATTTGTGCATGTCCTAATATATGCAAGTAAGATATGTATCCACTCTCGATCTTGAGGATTTTCCAACTCTGCATGTATGTCGAGTGCACGAGAGAGCACGAAGGACTCCAGTGATACCCACATATGAGGTGCATAGTGAGCGGGCAATGATGTGAAAATCGCCAGAGCACTCGCTAGGCGTCCTCGATGGCTGTCCTGCAGTAAGCAGGCGGATCATATGTCGAACAACATGCTTACATGTCAAGAGCGGCAAGGAAGCCATGCAGCTTTAGCGCGAATTTGCGACGGCCAGCCTTCACGTACATGTCGATGGCACGATTTGAAGTTGCACAATACAAGTCATAAAAAACCTCCTTGTCCCCAATAGCTAGCACGACCTCGTGATTGCTTATCCGCCGCGTCGATGAACGTTTACTGTTTTGGTCTGGATGCAAGGCAGTTTCTTCCATACATGTGGCTGCAAAGGGCGGTTTTTTGGGTAAATGTCCTACTTTGACGCCAATAACGTCAAGCTGCAAAGAAAAATCAGGATATAGCGAGAATTTTAAAAATGATATCTGACCTGAGTCTTAGCTAATTCAAGGAGTTCACCTTTACTCGCACTGAATCGCGCGAGCTGAATGCCATCCAGTTCTGTCGCAGGAGCCCACATATCACATTGATCGACAACACTGAGAGCAGAAGAGAATATCCACGACTCAATAAAGTATTCCGGTAACTTGGCCTATAGAGGGCATGAGTTTCTACGATACAGAATAGTATGATGCGACCCCTGACCTCTACCTCTCGCAATCGTCTACCAAACATGCCCAAAAAGGTGGTGACCTTCTGGCAAATCTCGGACGGGCGACCCATCTTATTTAGCAGAGCGCACTGGCGAGCAAGCAAGTATATCCGGAAATCAAATACCGAGATAGAATTGGCGAGGATGAGGTCACGATAATGTTTCTTCGTAATTGAGAGTAGAGGCACCGAGTCATCCTTGTCCACAGGCTGGATGAGACTACCAAACCATGACATGTTCTTCTCTCTCAGAACTTGGATGAAGGATACCTCCAGCTCGTTGTACTGGTGTAGGGCATCTTCAAAAAGCTTCACTCCTTCAAAGGAGCTCGCAAGGCTTTCCTAAGAGTCAAAAATCTCAGCTAAGATACGTTCAAAAATGCCATGTATGAGACATGCCTTCAATATGAAAAACGTGCAGAAATTCCAACCAGGCATTTGCCTCTGACTCTCAGAGCGTCTGACCTCTTCCTCACGTTGAGATACGGATGAATCTAGAGCGGACAGCAAACCGTCCTTGATCTTGTTCACAAGATCAGCCCATATGACGGGACTGTGATCTCCCGCTGTCCATGACAACTGTACGCATCTGATAAATGTAAGCGTGAGGAGAGACGCAATAGGCGGGTAGTCGCACCGGTCTCGCTTGTCAATATTGAAATCTGCCTTTATTTTATCAAGGACAGAGCTCTTCATGTTGAAGAACTTGCGGTCTGTGGTCTTGATATCAGAACGAACGACATGCACAATGATCCATTCTTGATTCTTCCGCTGAGATATGGCAGAATGCCAGTCTTTGATCTGTTTCTTCACATTTGCTTTATACGAGTCATTATCCTGAATACCTCGTCAGATTACCGCCACCACTTGTTCACCATGTTTACCTCGCACGTTACAACGTACAGGTTGAGTAATGGCTTTTCTAACAGAGTAACTGGTACTTGTGACGTGTGTTCATCGCGAAGAGAATCCAAAGGAACAAGAGTAAGCTCAAGTTCCTGAATGGTTTTGAGATTCGGTCGGGAGGCTGACTTCCAGTGAATGCTCCGAAGCGGTAGTTGAGATTGCAAGGCTCCTAGCACTTGCCTCCAGCTCTCTGAAGCCAGAAATGATACTGGTGCAGAGTATGTCACTAGGACATTCTGATTAGACATTCGAAGATACCAGATAGGTGGTAACCTGGACGCAGCGAAGAAAGTAGCGCTACAGCTGGTAGTACACTGACAGACGCGGACGTCGGGACAAAGTTCTGTATTCTACTCAGTCAACGTGAGAAAAACATTTTATCAAAACCTTTGCTCTGAACCACTACACTGTCGACGACCACGGCCGGACAGCATGCCTTCACCAGAAGAAGCAAGCACGTCGACCACACCGCCAGAAACCTTCAAAGAACTGGGTCTCATTGATCCTTTACTGGAAGCCCTAGATAAGATTAACTTTACAAAACCTACTGAGATTCAGCAACAAGCACTTCCTCATGCATTAGAGGGTCGAGATATTATCGGCGTGGCGGAAACTGGTTCAGGAAAAACTGCAGCTTTCGCTCTTCCCATCTTACAAAAACTTTGGGACGAACCAAAAGGATTATTTGCGTGCATTCTTGCACCAACCCGCGAACTTGCATATCAGATAGCGCAGCAGTTCGAGAGTCTAGGTTCCGCTATGGGGGTACGGTCCTTGGTCCTTGTTGGAGGAATGGATAGGATGCAACAGGCTGTTGGCCTTGCTAAGCGGCCTCATATCATAGTGGCAACCCCCGGTCGTTTGAACGATCATCTTCAGAACACAAAGGGGTTCAGCCTAAGAAGCTTAAAATTCTTGGTGTGTTTTCCCCGGCCCTTGTAGCCTAAGTCCTCACAGTCGCACAGGTTATGGATGAAGCAGACCGTCTTCTCGACATGGATTTTGGTCCTGAAATAGACCAGATTCTCAAAGTCATACCCAAGGAGCGCACAACATATCTGTTCTCCGCTACCATGACCACCAAAGTTGCGAAGCTACAGCGAGCCAGTCTAATAAACCCTATACGGGTTGAAGTTTCTTCAAAGTACGGGCTAATCGCCGGCATCCTGAGCTGTACTGAGAGCATCAATGTAGATACCAGACCGTGTCCACCTTGTTGCAATATTATCTACTCGTCCCCTTGGTTCATAAAGATGTGCATCTCATATATCTCGCCAACCATCTTGCATCGAATTCCATCATAATCTTCACCCGGACAGTGCATGATGCCCAGAGGTGGGTGGTGCATTGCAATCATTCTGTTGTTCTCGGCTTATTTTTCCCATTACTCTATTCCAGATTGTCAATCATGTTGCGATCACTTGGCTTTCCTGCCGTTCCATTGCACGGTCAGCTGAGCCAAAGCCAACGCTTAGGCGCTCTGGGCAAGTTTAAGAGCGGAGACCGCAAGTTGCTCGTGGCAACTGACGTAGCTAGCCGGTTTGTTCCTTATTTCTTTTCCATCTCTGCATGAATTGATGTCGCTCTGCTTACAGTGGTCTTGATCTGCCTTCCGTTGACATTGTCATCAACTTTGATATTCCAACCCATTCCAAGGACTATATTCACCGCGTTGGACGCACTGCGCGAGCAGGTCGATCTGGAAAATCGATTACAATGGTGACGCAATACGACGTGGAGCTCATCCAACGAATAGAAAAGGTAATAGACAAGAAAATGGAACTTTGGCCAACAGACAAGGAGGAAGTAATGTTACTGAAAGAACGTGTGGATGAGGCTGCCCGGTTGGCCATCAACGAACTCAAAGAAGAAGCTAAAGCAGGTGGAAAGAAACGCAAACGTGAGGATGGCGTTGGAAGGGACGAAAGAGATCGTGATGATGATATTGTGGAGGCAGGTGTCCCGAGAAAGAGACATTCGAAAAAGGGACGATAAATTTTTCCTGTGTTCGATACTTGCGCGGGGAATCATCTCGTCAAAATAAAATTAGTCATGCGCAAGGTCACGTGCGTGGCAGAGCCCCACCTGTTGTTACATCTCAGCCCAATCTCTGTACACGGGGAAACACTACTAACAAATCTACTCGACGCGCATCTTTTTGAACTCTAGCAGAATTTATTCGAAGTCTGCGTCATGAGCTGCTGAGGCCCACCCGCCCTCACGGCTTATCCTGGACTTTCTCCACAGGTTTGAAACGATGTTTCGGAATCGGGTCGCATAACCCTTCGGGTTTGATCCCAAATAGCCTCGTAGTACCACCGCTACTGGGTGACTTCCCATATCAATAAACCTGATTTCTTTCATGCTAAATCACGAAACCGGAAGCTGCACATAGACTGTTGTTTATTACGCATTCTCTCTCCTCCATGGATGTCGATGAAGCACTAAAGGCTCCAGATGGGAAAGAGAGCCTATTTTATAGGCCTCCTAGTACTACTCCACCACCTCCTGGCATTTCTCTTCGTGGACGGTACTTGCGGGAACGAATGGTCAGAACCATACCCTCTCTGCGCAGCTCCGCTAGAGCTTCGGTTTGCAGCTCGTGTAACAGGGAGAGTACGCCAACCAGAATTCACTCCCGAAGAAATTGAAGAGGTATTTTTTCTTGTACTTATTTATTCGTTCTCATGCTCAATGCCATATCTCAAGAATGAGGAACTTGCGGAGAGAGGTCTCTCGCAATTGAGCCTCGCAACCCTGTACAAGGCATTCAAAGCGAAGCTTGCTTCTCGTGAGGCTGCGCGTCAACATCTGTTGACGACAACGTGGGAGCTTGAAGAGGCCGAGCACTACACATCATTCCTTGAGGCATTCCATGCCTAGAACAAACAGCTGTTGGGGTTAGAGGATGTCAAGTTGCAGAGAATGAGGGCGTGGTTTTCTTCCCGTAACTCGACAGAAGTTGCGGACGACACCAACTATCTTCAAGCTGTCTATGATGACGAATGCGAGATCCTCCGATCGCTCACTGCTCAAGCACAACAAGTCTCGAAGATCTTAGGGAAACGTTCTGATAGTATTTTTTCGGCGTCCACAGGTGAATCTACCAGCAAGTCACCCTTAGATGTGTCTTTGGTTGTAGATGATGGGGATAGCTCGGTTGATTTCTCGGACCTTGAAGACTAATCCATATCTACTATCTGGCGCTCTCCAATCCAAACATGGTGTGTGCATGTGACTGCAATTATGATTTCATGCACTGATTTCGTATCACAGTAGATACCTGCCCTGTCTAAATGCACATCACGAAACCGCCGCCCTCGCTCCATTCGAGGTTGCAGTAGCTGCACTCGCAGTCAAAGTTGAGAGTGCTGCAGTACACGCTGCATTAGCAGAACAAGCTATCTATGATCACATCTATCTCGATGCAAACACTCGCTTGACTCTCTGTTTCTCTTTTCTACGAGTAGAAAGATTAGAATACTGCTTTCATTCGTGATGAATGCGTACTCGTCGTCTGGAGCGCCTCTTATACAATCATCGCCATCATACGTGACTTAGAAGATCGTCTCATTCATCTACTCTGGCGTACAACTTGTAAAACCACCACTATCCTCAACAAAACCCACATGGTACGGTCGCGTCGTTCCTTCAGACCTATTAACGAGGTTCCACAGAAACGGCAAACTCGTCCAATCATTCTATACGCTCCAGTATACAACAGTATCTCCGCGGCATTCGCTTTCAGTTCGTCGTCTCCTTTTAATTCTCACCTGCTCACATTCCCTAATCCTCAGCGGCCATGGCCTTCGCATACTCTTCACATAATTTCACCTGGACAGCGACTACACTCATTTCGCTCTCTGTGCTCTCATACTTCTTCTATTTTGTGTCTCTTTGGTATTTATTCCTTTTACCTTGTACGCACCAGATCACACGTTTCGCTTCGAATCCTCTAAAATATCACATTCGCAGTCGGCTCCATCGCTCCTTGCCACAAAAACAGTCTTCCCTACGGCTAAATCTTCTGTGTATGCAACTTCTTTTCCTCTTCCTGGGAGTCGCGATTTCTCGAATGTTGCTTTAGACTCTGAATGCTCATCCCGATCTTTTCACAATTGTCACTCCCATTAAAATCAATACCTTCCGTGAGCTACTTTGGGAGCATCCAAACCATCCTTTTACCGGGTTTATCCTGCATGGTCTGCGTGAGGGCGTCTGGCATGGCACAGATACTGCTATGGACAGTGGTTACCCTTTGACATGGGATAACTCTTATCAACCACTCAAGAGTGAAAAGCATCGGGCTTTCGTTCAGGAGCAGGTTGATGAAGAAGTGCGGATTGGCTATTTTTCACTTCCTTTTGGTCCAGAGTTGCTTGCCAGCGTGTACAGCAGCACAGCAGTTCATGTTGTGCCGAAACACAACTCACCCAAACTTTGCCTTGTTATAGACCACAGTGCCAGAGAAATTTCCCTCAACTCTATGATCAACTTAGATGACTTATCTGGTGTCAAACTTCGCGGGTGTACCTCTGCAAGCAACGGGGAGATGGTCATCGGAGGAATTTTAGAGATATATTCGAGTTCACCGTTTCATTCTGCAGGCACCTGCTACCTGACTCATCAAACTTGGCTATGTTGTCACGACTGGAGAACAACAATTTTCATCTATTCCATCTTGACACACGTGTTGCACATCTTTCAATCCATTTAGTCCTTTAGTGATCTATACTCAAACTTTTGTACTTTTAACCCCGGTGAACCTGAGCTTTTCATTTGGGGATACTGGGCTTGTCAAATGCAGCTGTTTCTCGGCAGACACTCTCGAGCTAAGTGCTGAGGGTGTCGCGTTCCTCCTATTTTATGTTCTCGATGCAAGATTCGCAAGTCGAATGTAGAACTGACTAAAGCTTGGTCTAAAGTTAACAAATGAGCTGCAGTCCAACCTAGGCCAGATTACCAGAGATCACGAGTACGATATGGTGATCGTGATGGTCATTACATGAACATGAGATCTGAGCGGAGGATGTACTTAGTGCCATTGCGGACTAGCGAACCCTCGTGAAGTAGGCATTCATTCCCATGGCTAGCCAGTCAGTGTTAGTCTGCGGTGAAGAAACAAGGCCGGGGATCACTAACCGATGGAGGAGAACAGTTCCACGCGTTAGAGGTGCTACAATGGTTTCGCGTGCTTTCCCTCGCTCATCCTTGTAGAATAGTGTCTTGCACACACTGATCAGTCCCGAAATTTGCAATTATAGTCACGGATTAGTACCTCACCGCCTTCAACTCCATCCTCGATTCCAGTTAGGTAGACAAGCACTGTCCATTCAGACTTTGCTTCCGTCTCTGGGTCACGGACAGAATCGTCATAGTGGGGACCAAAGTACTGGGATGGCGTGTATTTATACATGCGAATATTTGAGTTGCATGAGTGAGGCGAGCGCTTTTCGCCAAGGGGAGGGCGGCGCCTGGATGAAGTCGGAGGAGGGAAAGATGGGAGATGTGGCAACAGAAGGGAATGTAACTTCTGAGCAAAGAAAACAGAGGTCACAGAGAAACGAACTAGAGTTAGGAGTGTGGGTGCACCGGTGAGCACTGATTCCTGCATGCAAACTACTGATGTAACTACTTACAATTGACCCTCTCAGCTTCCCCCTTCTTCCTGGGAGGTGTCAACTCCAATGGAGCATTGTCGATAAACTTCACAAAGCGTTTACATTCTTCAACAGAGAGAAATTCCTGTGTGTCAATTCATGATGCGCAATTGTAATCATACAGAAATGAGACGAACATCTATAAGGATGATCTGGTCTTCCAGCAGTACGCGACATTCGAGAGCTTCTTTCTGCAAGATGTCTGGAAAGGTAAGAGCTGGCGACACTGCAGATTTATGTGATGGTTGGACAATATCCCTTGATGCTTTCGATTTCTTTGGCATGCCAGGCGCCGCCAACTGCCTAAACTCGGTTAATGGGAGCTTGAAGGATACAAGGTACGGTACGGCACTGGCTAAATTGGACGAGGTGGCACCGACAAGACATGCCCCATGGCTGAGTTGGTTACAGCGTCCGACTGTTATTTACTGGCATCGGAAGGTCGTGAGTTCGAGCCTCACTGGGGCAGTCCTTTTTCATGTCTTCTAACTTTTTATTTGTCCGGATTTGTCACATGCGGCACCTCAGCTGATCCGTTCATATTTTTGAATCTTTTTGCACTCTTCAACGAACTCGATGAATGCAACAGACTAGACCTTTACTCGATTGTCATCCTGAGCTATCTGTTATAGAATGGCCTAGTTTTCGGGAGTATCGCGTTGAGAACTGGCAACTTGCTCGGGATGGGAGTGGGAATGTTGTTCGCGGTGCGACATCATGGGGGTGGATTGACCTTTGTCTGCCCGTGGTCATCTCATTCATTTGGCCAAGAGTCAGTATCTAAGACGCTCAGCTTAAGAGCTGAAAGCTAACAGTCTCTGAATTTTGTAGTTTCGCGGCAGCACCATATTGTGTGCATTTGTTGTCCTGGTAGTTGGGTTTACCATGTACTGCCGTTGTGTGCAAGTTCTTCATGGTATGTTCCGAAAAGTTGTGTCTGTGCATTCCTCATTTTTGGAACAGAGTCTGTGCTAGTGTTTCCAGCCTACGGTATACAGCTCGAGACGCATCGGGGATACCCTTTGCTAAAGCCACTCTTCGTGTCTAGGCGATTTATTCACGCATCCCTTTTAGAAGACTTCGTCATAAATGAGGGTTTAAGAAGATGGAACGTCCGCTATTATCTGGCTGCTGTTCACGGATCCAGCACAGACAAGATTGCTTTGGATGTCGCATTTGAGGTTAGCGATTTGCTTACTATCTTTTCTTTCCCTAATCTAATTTTGCCTTGATTCAGAATATTTTGCCCCACTTTCCCGTACTCCTTGAAGTATATCAAGGAGTGCAAGAACTCATGTTCTACAACCACACGGACAATATGCATACCCCCATATAATATACCATCTATTTTTTCCATCAAAAACAATCCTTTCCCTCACGCAGCGTTCTGGGCCTATTTCCTATAGTTTATCGCATTAGCTAGTACACTACCAGCAGGAACAGTTACGAGGACATCTATTCCTTACTCCCTTCCTCACTCTCATATGCGCTCAGAATATCATCGTAGCCTTCGTCGTCCCCTTCTTCTGCAGCACTATCTCTAGTTTCCCGCGCCTCGTGGAAGGAAGATCTACTAAGCCGGACAACCGATTCCCCCGAAATTTTCCGTGACCGTCCAACCGTATCCCCGGATGCTTTCCGCCTAGGACGTGGAGAATGCGACGAAAAATTCGGAGATGTTGATGTGGAACCAAATTCAGGAGCACGAGGTGTCATGACTATCTCTTGCTCCTCAGGCCACTCTGGAGGAGCGAGTGAGTTTGGGCTCACGTTCTTGTGCTCGGCCACAGAAGTAGGCCGGAGGTTGGCGTCCCGAGTTCGCAGGCTGGGTAGTTTTGGATGATGACGCTTCGAGCGCAAATGGGGATTCCTGGAGGGTGTCCAATCCTGCGAGTCAGAATTGTCCGTATCTTGTAGAGGCGGAGTCTTTTTTCGTAGTAAAACCTTGCTTGGTGTGGGTGACCTCAGAGGTATACTATCTTCGCTAAAGGAACTCTGCCGACTTTCGCCATTCACCCGTACCTTCCCTGCTTCGATATGAACCATGGTAATAGGTGTCGGAGGAATAGGTGGAGATGACACCGTTGTGGGTGAATCAGCGGGGGTGTATGCACGCCAGCCCCTGTCAGACGAGCTGTCCTCAGCGGCGGACCTAATATATGTTCTAGTTGATGGATCGCGTGTCGTTGCATCAGACACGCTTAAAGGAGAAGTCGTCCAAGGACCTCGCAGCGCGCGGGACGCAGGTGCCATTGGCGATATCGACTTGCGATTTAGTGCCACCCTCCGGCTGTTGCCATCAGATTCGATGTCAGATCTGGAGCCTATGCTTGGTTTCGAGTGTGGTCCGCTGAGGGCATCAGAAGGCGACAGCGATGAAACCGAAGACACCGAGTCAGTGCGCAGTCCGTGTCCTTTGCTGCGCGTAACATCCATCCAATCGCCATGTCGTTTGACTGGCATCCCGCCGTCCGAGTGCGCGGCCAACGGAGGTTTCGCGGTGATCAAAGAGCTTGAATTGAGTAGAAGAGGACGTGGTGGACCCCTGGGAGACTGTTGTGGGGCTGATGTACGTGAGGTTGTGGTGCGCGAGTTTAAAGCAGCCAAGGATGCCAGAGAGGCCTGCGCCTTGTGTATGAAGTTATCTTCTCGCTGAGGCTGGACTTCTGGGCTCGGAGGGGCGGTGTAAGTTCCTCTGCGCGGCAATGGCAAAAAGCTGTCTCGTGGTGATCGAAAGAATGCGGGGCGAGGAGGTTCTTCAAAAGTAGTCCCTCGACTGCTACCAGGAAGCGAGCTCCCTCTACTCCCATCTCTAGAATGGCTAGCACCATCTCTCAGCGGTGACCACTTGTCCGGAACTGAGGGCGGTAACTCAGATTTCGCGATCACTGGTGATGATGCATCTCCATTCGATGACAAGCTATTGCGTCGACTGCCCCATGCATCCATCGCTCGTGCGCGCCAATTTGTGCTTACTTTCGCGAAAGCCGCAATTGTGTCAGAGTCTTTGAGTTTTCCAGCATAACCCCAAATACTTGCAGGTGGTGGGCTTAGAGATGGGTTTGAGGTGATTTGCTCTGGGGGGATCTGAGGGGAATGAGGGAGTGGTGGTGACTGTGGTCGTAGCGGGGAAGTTGGCGATGGTGGAGACGGTGAATTGTCCATAGAGCTTTGGTTGGTAATCCCTCTCCAAACCGTATTGGCAAAACGCGAAGTCAGAGTTGGAGCAGCCGGAGTTTCTGTCTCATTACCGTCTTCGTGGGAGTCCTCTTCATCCGAACTCGAGTCTTCCTCTTCATCATCTTCCTCCTCTTCCTCGTTATCAGCATTAGCGACTTGGTTTGTAAACCCCTTCCACATGGTGGCTTTGATCCGAGCACCGAGGGTAGCATTGTCCGACTTCAGAAGTCTATTTTCCTCGATGCGCCTTTGGGCCAAATCGTGTGCAGTTTGCAAGACTCGGTCGATACCACCAGCTGCTTCAATCGGATAGGATTGCAAAAGAGCAATGCCCTCGAGGAAAGCATCACTGAACTCCCATGGTCGAAGCGGAGAAGAAGGACGAATGGTAGCATGCTCTTCAGCCCACAGTCCCGGAGACTTACCTCCAGGTTTTGCAAGTCTAGAAGGATTCAATATAATCGTCAGTTCATATGAATGATTGACCGACCTAAAAAGCGGCGCACGCGCACGGATCAGAAGACTCGTGCAGATATCAACGAGGGCGTCGAGTTTATGGTTCTCGTCTCGAGTTCTCATTGGATACGAGAAAAGCACATCCCATATAGGTAGGAGGGAAGTAAGAGGAAGTGTTTGCGACAAGAGAGGTGCAAGCCAGCGACTGCGAGCTTGTGTTAGCCATGAAATGTCAGATAAGAGTGCATCTTACTAGGAGTAATGTGGAAGCATAGGATCCAAGCCTTTGGTGTGCTGTTACATCTAGAGTCGGGAGTAGTCTATGATTCGCTAAGAAGAGCACATACCAAGCTCGCAGCAAGTTCTCCGTCGGCTTGTGCCAATCGATCGCTGAACTTCTTCATCCAAACTTTACCACCCTCCTGATCTGCCAGTTCAGAAAACTCCCCAACGAGAGCTTCGAACAACCAGAATGTATCTGCTTCAGCGTGAACTAAATCTTCTGGTTCCACTTCCTTGACAAGAACAGCGTACAACGGTACAAGTAAGGAAGGAATGTCTGGAGATTGGTTTGCTGGATTTATACATGAATGCAGATATAGCAGACGGAGGAGGGCTGAGATGTGCTGTGGATGCGCGCTGGAACCACCGAACGGTCCAGCATGTAATAATGTGGTGGGTGCCCCTGGTCTACGGGATGCAATGGAATCCGAGCTCGGCAATTGTGACAACTCGGGTGTGCCAGCGTCAGGCTCTAGACGAATTTCGGGAATACCTGCGGGTTTCGATGTGGAAATTTGCGCGCGGAGGACCTGTAGTCGTGCATCAAGAAGATGAGCGCATCCAATCCTTTCGGCCTCGTCAGCATTTTCATCTAATGGGGACATAATTGGACAGTTTGGGCCACTATCAAGCGTGTCGAAGAGTCCAGGGGGAAGACGAAATAGAGATTCGGATATTTTCATTAGCGTCGTATCTATGTTGCTCAGCGGCTTCGTGGGCGCTGGCAGGTCGTAAAGTGGTGATAACAAACGGCGAACGAGATCCTAGTCGATGCATAAGTGTGCGTTCCAAGACATGAACGGCACATACATAGTAGCTGTCTCGTTGTTTCCGATTTTCTTTTTGCCATGTTGACTTCAAGACCGGAACTGTTCCCAGTAAAAGCCTACATTGCAAGTCAGGTATGTCAGAGGTCAGTCACACCGACTTTCACGTACTTCCATATCCTAGGCCTAAGCCATGGAGGTTCATCGGGTAACCCTGGCGATTCGCATCAGATATTGCTCCATGACGATTTGTAGTTTCTTACCTTGCGAACATAGCCTCCGCAGACGAGGTAAGTCAACAATGGGTGAACCTTGTGGATCCAAAATTTCAGAGATCATATTCAAGCTAACTCGAACGTTGAGCTTGCCTCACAAAGAACTAGAAAACACGCACATATCCTGCCGGGGAGGTTCTGCGGCCCAGTTTACATGATACACCTTTGATACATTAGTCAGACAGTCATTCATCTTGGATGCAGAAGGGGTTGGGGAGTGTAGTAATTGCATGACCTAATAAGGCGTCAGTAAACAGGTACAGTAACCAAAGAGACACTTGCACGCAAAGGGACGTGTTTTTCGAGGCTATTGGGTGAACTAGAAAAATGATGATGCATGCGCTGAATTAACATATCCCGAACAACATTGAGTTCTGTTTGATTCCATGAGTACGATCGATCACACGAGACGGCCTGGTTTCACGCTTACCCTTAATACTAACACTGGGAGCTGCAGCTATGATGGAGGCTGCAGCCTCTGCAAGGACGGGGCTTGGCGAACGCCTAATGCACGGTCGCTGCGATCAGCTATAGCCCAATTTTATGAAAGGCTTGGAAACACACCCTTCGTCCAACTCGCCAAGATGCTCAATGACCGTGCTGACGTACATTTCCACCACTTCCAATAAGTCGCCCTTCGCATCATCTTGTATGAGATTCTGTGCTTTGGCGCGTGCAAGAGCAGTATTGTTCTGTTGCAATAGCGTTGCAATGTCGCGTCGGGTGATTTGTCCTTGAGAGTCTATTCGCTCTTGAATTTGACCAAGACGCTGCGATGTCGACCGCAGTAAGACCTGCAGGGAATATAAACTTCTTGTGGATGTGAGGTAAGGACAAAGACGACGCATACTTTAGTTGCAGTTGGGTCCCAGTTCGTCATGTTCGTCGTCAGTCACTCGAAAGCTTATGATCGAGTGAAGCTATAGGTATGTAGTCATGAAAGTTTGAGCGTAGCCTAGTGCAGCGCCTGGTACTCTCTCCGTTTGAAACGTCGGTGACAATATTGAGTTAATCGCACTTTGGCTGCCAGTACAGTCAGATCTTTAAATAGATCTAGGTCGATAGGGCTTTGCCGTGTTTACAATATTACATATTGATTGATTACTAGTACGTGGAATCTAAGTAGACTATCATGATAGTTACATACACCAGGGTGGTAGGGGTTTTGACAATCGCCCCGACTTGCGAGCATTACTTTCACCCTGTACAAATTCAGCGAATGACGGCGCGAGAGACATGTGTCGCTGAGGAGACTGCGAATCCCGTTTATCGAGTGCTCCTGGTTGCAAGACAACCGAATGCGGATCACGAGAGGCACGACGTGGCATGGCAGTGGTCGTGAGTGGAGATGCAATATTTGCCTCCGGACGTGGGAACAACACAGAGTCAGATGACAAAGTGCGAAGTGGTGGCATTGAAGCCCGAATGTCGAGAACAGGAAGATGGGGCGAAGCGATCGCCATTTCTGGGTCTACCACGAGAGGTGACCCTATACCCGTAAAGGTTTTTTCGCGCGACTCGACCACCACGGGTATCCTCGACTGGCGGTAAACCATGGCAGCAAAGTAGCTGGCATATAGAATAACTGCTCAGGCTGTAAGCGGTTGTGTTCACAAGAAAAATTAGCTTGCAACTGACATATGATAGGAACTACCCAACAGCCCATGAGCATGTAGAAGTTGATCAATTTGCAGACACCTTGCTGGTCGGCTGCTGAAGTCAAATTAGAACGGTACATAAATTCGAGGCATCTGTATCAGACGTACTTTGATCTGGGCATTGTATTTGAGGATTCCAGTAAGTGAAAGCGACAGCAGATCCTGGAAACAGATTATGAGGGTTGTTACACAACCGCTTACAGGTGCCGCACCTATTTGTCCTATTACAAGTAATAATATTCGAGCGGCATCCAACCACACTCGGAACTCAAGTAGTAATCTGCAACGCAATGCCTGTCAAGCACGCCGGTGTGGAAAATGTCAAAATGACCTACAGGAAAGGTAGAATCAGGATTGTTGTCGCATTGGTCAAGAGGAAGACAGCGGTTAACGAGCCTGATTGACATGGGCCCCATCTCAGCAGACATTCAGTACAATAACTGTGATTGGACAGCTCACGACTGCAGCGGTCAGATATGTCCCAGCGGGTGTAAACTTGAACTGAAAGAAGTACAGTCCACAGAAAGCTAATGAGAATGACGGAGCCTAATGAAACTGGTGATCAGATATTTACGCAGTGATCGATTGAGGTGACACGCACTGAAAGTTACAGCTCGAACCTTGAAAAATACAGGGAAAGATTCCATGACAGATCTATACAATGATTGTAGGGCCGCCGTCCGTTCGTTCGATAAAATAATGCAGGATGTGAGATAGTAGAGAATATTAATGTCAAGTACAAACGAGAACACCTCCAGAGGTGGCTCGAGGAAGGGACGTTGGAAAACACGGGAGCAGGGGATTACCTACACGCATCGCAGAATATAAGAAAGACTGAACAAAAAGCTGTGGGACTTCCAAAGCTTGTGGATGCGAGCAAGTCTATCAATTTCGATTCTTTTGTTCGTTACGTACATGCATGTTGTTCCCTATTTGTACAAGGATAACGTTAGTCAAGTACTTCAGGCATGTCATTGTACTAACTTATAAGAACTTGAGATCTATAGCTGAGTAGCTCCTATGTAGCTAGGTCGATGATCATGCATATGCCTTGGATGAAACCAAGATTGAAAACTCGCAGTTTGAAGAATGATCAGAAGAGCAAGTCACTATATGGGATTTCCCGAGAGGGACTGCAGCCACTGGGGTACTATCACTTATCCTCTGAGTTCTCATTCAAACAGCCCATTTCATGCAACGGAACACCGTCCAGTACATTCTATAACATGCCTCAGGTTCTTTCTGCACAGTCCCAGTCTCAACCCACTCATTTGCGTCGAGCTCGGCTCGCCCTCGCTTGCGTGTCCATTGCTGCCAATGCGTCTGTCATACCCTCGCGCGTCCAACCTCAAAGCTGACTTATATCATTAATTTAATGTAGGCTCTGTGGTGGAAGTGTTTTCACCTTTCCCCTCATGTCACCTGCTTTGGTCGATCACTTGAAGTTGACTCAACCTCAACTGACTACCATAGCCTTGGCGTAAGCTCATCTTCCAGCACACAAAATGATGGCTGATCGGCTTCCTAGCGGGATGATGGGCCAATATCCCTTTGCAGCCATCATAGGCAAGGTTGTCGACAAATACGGTCCTTGGGCCTGTTCCATCATCGCCAGTTGCCTGTTCTTCGCAGGCTTTGGATTATTTGCGAAGGAAATTGCTAACACACCAGACGACATCACCGTACCCTCAACATCTACGTTCCATCATCTCACCATCTACTTCTTTATCGCGGGACTTGGAACTGCCTTCTCGTCGGTTGCTCACTTCCTCGGGGTTTTCGACACTTATCGTTGTTTAGATATTTCTCTTCTTTATTTGCCGCCTGTAAGAACTTCCCGGATTTCATCGGCATAGCATCTGGAACTAGCATTACCTTGTTCGGCTTATCGCCGATGTTCATATCAATATTGGCTTCGAGGTTCTTCTCCCATCCTGACGAAGGCCTTGATATCACGCGCTTCTTACAATTCCTGGCCCTTTTTTGCGGTGCCGTTCATTTGTTCGGTGCCCTCACTCTCCATATCATACCTCTCCCCAAAGATTCTCCAAGTGTTGTCTTGGAGGATCCAGAAGGGTTGGTCCAAATCGACGAGCAAACAGCTCTTCTCCATGGAAAGCGCAATCATACTGCTGAAGCCGAGACTGGCATCGTCGTTGCTTCCCCCATCAAGAGTAGTTCGGTAGTTGACCTTACCAAGGACCGTTATTTCTGGGCTCTGGCGTTCGTCTTGTTCGTGATATTAGGTTCTGTGAGTTTGCTCTCACATCACTGGATTGACCTGATATTCTAACTTGGCAAGAGCGAAATGGTGATATCCAACATTGGCACAATAGTCCTTTCTCTTGCATCACAAGCTTCAAGCACAATCGTAGCTCCGTCTACTGATATGGCAACTGCAACACAAGTCCGCTTTCTCTCTGTTGCCAACACGCTGTCTCGTCTGGTTGTCGGACCTTTGGCAGACTTCGTTTCTCCCACAGCCACTGCATCTGGTACCCAAAATGTCCCCCGCAAGCGCTGTGTCAGCCGTGTAGCATTTCTCTTCTTCTCGATACTAGTGCTTGTATTGACCTATCTGTGGATGGTACTCGGCGTAAGGTCACAGGTGGACTTGTGGGCTCTTAGGTCAGTGACAACATCTTGAACCTGATCTGCACTCTCATCAGGTTATTAGTATCGGCGCTGGGATCGCTTACGGTTCAGCTTTCACAATCTTGTACGTTCCGTTAGTTCTTGTTTCCAGTATGTTCCGGTTGACGTTGTTTGGCTTGTTCTATAGACCGAGTCTGGTGTCGTCTGCATGGGGTATAGAAAACCTCGGACGCAACTTCGGCATTCTGACCTACGCTCCTTTCCTCGGTACTCCTGCATTCTCATACTTCTACGCCTTTAATGCCGCCAGCCACTCAAATGATGGTGTTGTCTGTAAAGGCATCGAGTGCTGGAGCACGACCTTTTCATGGTATACTGCAATTGCCATAGTTGCGTGTGGCGTCACAGGATACCTCTGGCGCAGTTGGAGAGACCAAGTATAGTCCACATCGGTGCATGTATTGGCAACATACATTATGGAGATCTGCGCAGTATTTTTGCATTTGTCTGATGTCTAGGCTGTCCAGTGCAAATTGTCGAATTATTGTGCCTGGTTATATGGATTTTCTCGAGCTTGCAGAATTATGCTTTCTGTACAATCTATCATACAATCTTGTACAAGGACCCCTAATTTGTTGTTTCGCAACCACTGCTCTGGGATACTTCATGCATTATGACTGGCCCTCCCTAAGAACAATCCCCGTGTGTGAACCTGTGCGGGTTGCATTCATAGCACGGCCCCTGGTGCCGAGGCTGCGCTCAGGTCTAGATTTCATGGTCTGTCTTTTAAAATGTCTTGATATCAATGTCTATGTGCAAACTGTAATAATAGAAACCTAATGTCCAATTGACTGATAGAGAAGGTAGATAGTAAAGAGCGTGAGCAACCAGGTAGGTGACAGGTTATTAAGTAAGATGGTGGAATAAGCATGAGGCGACAGGTGCAGACGAGTCACAAACAGACGTTTTACTTGTTCTTGATGACGACGACGACGACAATGGCAATGATTGCGATGATGACAAGTGAAAGGAAGAAGCAGATCCACCGCTTTTTGCGGGCTGAGCGAGCAGAGGTGACAGCTTTTCCCGTTTGCTGGAGGCTGCAGAAATGTTTAGAGACTGTACAATTATTCCAAGGGAAACATTTACCCGGATTCCATGTCTTTTTCGACGGCTTCTGCTGTTGTTTGAATCGTGTTGATAGTTTCATCTTGTTGTTCTACCAACATACTCATCTGAAAATTTCCAGAGATTAGCAGTTAACTCGGCTAAGAATGCCAGGACGCACATCGTTGAAAAGCTGAGCAAGTTCTGCAATGGTTTGCTCAATACGTTTGATATCCTGGTGCCGCTCCTGTACTTCCCGGTATGCTGCTCTTGATTCGCCGTATCGAGTGGAGTTCATCAACTAGTACGTGGATGAGATTCTGTTTGAAGGAATAGATGAAGACCGCATACAGCTTGGCTGAATATTTGCCCCCCATTCTCGTCGTTCACGACGGCCCGAACCTCTTCAGGCGTAGCATCCGGCTTAACTAGGGATTGTTAACCATAAGTGACGGACAAAGAATAATACATCCATCCTACCGATCTTGAATTGTCGCTCCATTCGCTGTTTGTACTTTTGGCGATACTGTTGCTCAACAGTCTGATAGGATTGGATGGCGTCAACAAACTTCGACTTGACGAGAGCCGTCTAGGAGCCAATTTAGTCACTCCTCTGCTACTGTAAAAAGTGGCACACTTGTTGTTTACGGATCTGGCCGTCACGCCCGCTGCCTCCCTGCCTCTCCAGGTCCTTTACACGGCGCTTGAGTGTCGCACTTAGGGCACTGGTATCCTCCACGAGCTCTTGTAGCTGAGAGGCATTGCGCTGCGCAGCAGTATCATCCGTGTTGTTCAGTGAACGAGAGTGCAACTCGTCAATGCGAGAAACGTTGGCGTTGAAAGTCTTAATAGTGTCTTGAATGGATGAAATCTAATTGTAACACATTAGTTGGGCGATGTAGTCCTGACGAGAAGCACCCACCTCCGCATAAAAATCCGACATACTGTCGCCTCTTGAAGTCAGGTTTGTTGAGCTATCCCGCACGTCAGCCATTTCGTACTCATGGTCGTCTTGCCTGGCATATGGATTTTGTCTTTGGTAGCCCGAATTACTGTAATCCCGTGAAGTCAGAAGAACCCGTATGAATTTGAATGACAGGCGAACTCACCCGCCCTGTTGTTGGGCCTGTAGTGCAGAATACATCAACTATACACCCTTGATGTGAAAAAAAGGATAAACGTACTCTCATTGCCGCCAACCTATCCATGTTATGTCGTCAAGGTATGTTGAAAGAAGGTAGATGTGTTTTGGAAAAAGATGAGGTGAAATTTGTGTATAATATATATAATCGTGTAAATGAACTGCAGGGTCCCGATGAGTCGGATGAGTGCTTGCTGGAGTATTAAGAACGAAGCGAGTACAGCCACAAATCACAGCATATGCATGTCACAAGCCCGCAGTATTAATTATAGTACTAAAGTGCTAGTGGTCCTCTCCCAGACACAGGTTCAACGGTTGTCGTCTCAGGGCTATGAGTTGTAAGGGCTCATGTACTACATTATTGATTGACTGAAGTCGCAGCGATTGACATCGGTGACCAAACAGATTTCGTAGTAGTATCAGTATTATTTTTGGCCAAGCGCTGCTCGCAAGACCGCGATCTGCCTGTCCAGCGTCTTGCGGCTTGGTCCACCGATAGATGTCCTTCTCTCAACGCTGGCTTCGAAGTCGAAGACTTCGACCACATCGTCAGAGAACTTTTCGTGTAGACCCTTGTAGTCCTCAACAGACAATCCATTCAACTGGCATTTTCTAGCCTCGGCCAAAGCAACGGCACGGCCGGAGACATGATGCGTCTCACGGAAGGGTACCTACTCAGTCGTCAATAAGTAATAAGCGTGAGCCGATAAGAATACGAACCCCTTTCCGGACGAGATAATCAGCAAGATCGGTAGCGAGGACATCCATAGTCAGTGCTTGTTGCATCTTTTCGCCATGGACCTATTTGACCACCACGTCACTGAGTGCCATAGAAATATAATGAAATTAGACGGACCTCCATAGTCGCTATGACACCCTCTGCGATCTTGAGCGATGCAGAGATGTTATCGACAGTGTCAAATAATGGTTCTTTGTCTTCCTGAAGATCTTTGTTGTATGTCGACGGTAAACCCTTCAGCGTCATCATGAATCCTGCCATCTAGGAAAGGGGTTGCACTGGTGAAAATTGATAATACCACAATACCACATGACGTACATCGCCAAAGATGCGCCCAGATTTTCCTCGCAATAGTTCAAGAGAGTCTGGGTTCTTTTTCTGGGGCATCATGCTCGAGCCGGTGCTAAAGACAAGGTATGATTACGTCTCAGACTGCCGTTCGTACAAAACCATACCTATATGCATCGCTGAGAGTGACGAAGCCAAACTCGGCAGTGGAATATATGATCAAATCCTCAGCCAGACGGCTCATGTGAGTCATGGTGAGGCTTGACCACATCAAAAATTCGACAATGAAGTCGCGATCACCGACCCCCCACATGCTGTTTTCGGCAAGTGAAATGAACCCCAGTTCTTTGGCAAGAAATTCGCGATCGATTGAGAATGGATTGCCGGCTAAGGCACCGCTTCCAAGTGGCAGAACGGAAATACGGGGGATGAGTTGTTGAAGTCGCTCAAGATCGTTGCGGAACGAAAAAGCGTGCGACAACAGGAAGTGTGACCACCGAATGGGTTGTCCTCGCTGCCTCACCATGAGCGACCCCCTTGTATGAGAAGCATGCACCTACTTGGAGATGGGTATATCCAGGGAGGAGAATATCTCTCTCCTTGTCTGCACGCTCTACCAGTGATGCGCACGAGACATTTAAGACTGGATTCGATATCATCCACTTCACCGAGAAGCCAAAGGCGCATATCAGTCGCCACTTGATCATTGCGAGACCGTCCAGTATGAAGTTTTCCGCCGAGTGAGCCAATCAGCTCACTTAGTCTGCGTTCGTTTGCAGTGTGGATGTCCTCATCATCAGCGGCAGGTTGGAACTGTGACGCAAGGTTATGAGATAAAACGCCGGATTGAGTGCCTCGTGAATGAGGTATGTACTTGACCAGTTGCCCATTCTCGACCGACAGCATCTAAACCTTGGGTCATTTTGACTTCTTCTTCCTCGGTAAGAAGACCAACGCGTCGGAGAGCTTTTGCATACGCGATGGATCCACGAATATCGGCAGCATGCATCCTCTGATCATACTTGAGGGACTGATTAAACGCATGCATTCTTCGAGACCATCAGAATATCAGTGATTCATCGCGAGTCATATGCGTACAGAGGATCTGTTTTGCCTGTAAACCTCCCGCCCCATAGTTTTTGTTTTGTGGGTTGATCGGTCATTGTGTGTCGACAGAGTGAAGGGTAGCTCACAGCTAAGTCACCTCTAGATCAATCTTTAAAAAGTCAATTAGACGCAAGGATGCCTCTCATTCAAGTCAGCGTTACAACGCCGGCTCATGAGTGCAATGTCGAGAGCTCATGATACATCGGATATGGTGTAACGGTTAACATTGCTGTCTTTCACACAGCGGCCCCGGGTTCGACTCCCGGTATCCGAATAATTTTTGTAACCATGCCAGTTCGACAACACCAAGTCACTTCAATAAGAATCCTATCTATGGCAAACAACAGTAATATGAGAAATGTGTACAGCAATTACTACTTAAGTATGGGGGTCCCAGAAACCCTGTGTGCAAGGTAATATGTTCATGGATTTTTGATCTGACTCTGTCAAAACCTTCGACTCGCCGATTTCGTGATGAAGCCCGTGATTTCCGAGTGTTTTAGTTACTAACTTAGTATGGCTTGCCACGGTTTGTTGAAATTGCCGGGTACTCGAGTTCTTGGGTTCCTTTACCTTCTTGCTACCACCGGTGGCTCTCAGTAAGCTCCTTTCGTTATTTTGTTATGACCCGGATCGCTAGAGTAAGGTCGCCGATTCGGACTCCCGCAGGATACCTTTACCCCTCTATGCCACGTGCTGGCGGCTATTTTGGGAGGCTTAGCAGTTACATGGCTGACGCGTCGTCGAAGCTGTGCGCCTTATAAGATCGACACACCTCCACCTCCCCTTCCCCTCCTGCCACCACCATCGTTGCGTATTCGAGCATCCTTCCCTCCACTCTTCACAGTATGTTTCCCCTTTGTTGATCTGATCTCGAGCTCATAGCCGGTCATTTACAGGTTCTCACTCACTTGCCACCACCATGCCTGCCAAGAAGCGTTGTCAATTCCAGTCTGAGACTCCTTGCAATTCCGCAGCTCTTCGCATAGTTGGCCAGTGCCCACACTGCAGGGCGGACTTCTGTGGCGCAGTTAGTAGATCGTTTTACGTCGTATGCAGTTCACTCATCGCAACCCTTTCAGCATCGCTTGCCTGAACATCATAATTGCAACAACCTGGAAGATTGCCGGCAGCAAGCCTTCGAACGCAACAAGGCGAAGCTAGAGAGCGAACGCACTGTGGCTTCCAAGATGGCTACTGCATGATGGTGCTCCCCCTCTACGTGCCGATATTATGTCGCTCCTCATTAACATTTTTCTTTTGCTGGCCTCTGCATTATTAGCATGTCCCACATCCCGCTATTTTATATTACTTGGTCTTTCATCTATTGCGTCCCATCCATCCATCCCTTCCTACACCGTGACACTTAGTGATACCTGGGTCACCTCTCCTCCAGCTATAGGACGCTCGATCTGTTGTGGGTTGTACTGCTTGTAACTTGGTTTGTAATAGAATTCTCACATACACACGTATACTTTGACAACGAGCATGCATGTTTGCATCACTCGGCTGGGCGGGGTTTATGTTGGACTTTTGTTGTCTAGGTATCTTCTGGATTTATCTTTCTTTACATATGTATTTGTCCGGTTTCTGATCATCGTCACGAAGAACTGCTGAATCATTATCCGCCTTTTTCACATGTCCGGAATCCGGATGGACGATCGCCAGCAAGTAACGAAATGGTCGATTCAAAGGGTTTGAGCTGGCGGTTTGCTCACTCAGAGTAGCTGCCCTGCAGCGGCATCGATAACGATAAGTTCAGTGGCCTTCCGCTGGCACGTCTCTGACTGCATTTGAAAAGTAGAACTTAAAACACTACCAGCCCTTTAGGCTTTGGCTCATCCGCATCATGAATCAAGCGATACGTCAAGATATGATCTAGATCTAAGACAATATTTTGGTTACTACAACCTGATTTAGCAGTCTATCGATTGCGTGATGTTCGTGCATGTTGCTAGATGTATTGCCCTACCCATTCAAACTCATTGTGGCATCAGTGAGGGCAGGTCGCAGCATCTGTTACTCCTGTCGCAGAATGCGGCGTCGCTAAGGTTCTCGGCAAGCCAACATGGTACACGGGAGTATATCAGCAGGCAAGTGGCACCCGTCACGATTGCGTTACTGTGCACGGCATTCAAACCCTTCCATGCTCCAGAACCGACCATTACACGATAGTTCCTTGCTCCGTCCGACAGGTGCGTATCAACTGCAACAAGTTTATCCTGTTCGCTGACTGATTGTCAGACTGAGTGAAGCGTGTAACATGGATATGCGTGACAACAACAAGCTTCAGTCCTCCCTGTCATCAAAGGTGTGTCCTCTTTACCTCTTTACCATACTCTGAACTCAATCACCGCGCCCAAGCCGCTCAGATCTGTAAATGATCTTACCCTAACCTCAATCATAAATATCTCTTATCGCGGGTTTACCGGGGATTTCACCGCCGGGACAAGGCCTGGCGCAGCTCATTCATGAATGATCTCAAATGACGCTGGTACTATTGTAAAAGGGCGCGCTGTTATCGTATAGACCATCTCCGGATCTGGTACGTATGACGCTTGTTCCTGAGCAACTCTTTATTATTGGGATAGCCATAAGCATGTTTAATGAAAGCGGTCGCAGTGAAAGTTCACAGCTGGCTAACAGAGCATTTTTAAGAGTGTCATACCCGACCTCTGGGTCACCCCTTACTATTACCCGGCCACCATGGCCGTGCAATTTGATGCCCTACGAAGGGCAGCGCTGCGCTCGGTGTTCTTCCTACACGCTTGTGCCCAAGTTGACCTCAATCGTGACTCATGCAAGCGGTGACCTCAACGACGACGCGTGGGCGGTACATCATGGAAAAGGACTCCTATGCCCATGTTCGTGTGTCAGGTCAGTGGGTTATTAAACCACTATAGCATAACAAATTGAGTAAAGTTGGAGCTTCGCCAGAGTACGCGAGTGGACTACACGTCAGTGCTAGGACCTACGAAGGAGCTAGTCGTCGGTTTCGGCGTGGCAAACCACTTCACACCTAACAAGTCAATTTCGTTGTGGACACATGGCTTGCGCTACTTACATCGGGGGGTATGACATATATCATTGGCATGCTCAGGTCAGTCAGTGGACTAAATTTACACGTTTGCGACGACATGTGTTGTACTCGAGGAGAGAATAATAAGACTACGGCGCTAGTAATGAAATGGGGGATGTATGTGCATGTGGATTATCATCGGTATTCGGGGAGCGTGGGAAAGGAAGGGAATCGAATACGGGGGAACACGCATAAAATGACGTCAATATGTGCCTTACAGCCGATGACATCACAAGGAAATTTACAGGTTTGCTATTCCGATTCTCCGGACTTGCCTAAACTTGATCCCATTTTCCGCGGTGTCAATTCTGCTTGTACAATCTCGTCCTCCCTCAGTCTCCCGTTCCGGTCCCTTCTTATTCTTTTCGGCTCTGTCTTGTAATTCTTTTCGTCCTGTCTAGGTACCTAGCCTGACCTTGGCTAGCGCTTCAATCCTCCGGGCTGCTGCTGCTGCTGCTTACTTGAAAATTTCACCGTGAATTTAGCTATTCACCACGGTGCAAACTCTCATCTGCAGGCAGTTCTTCAGTAATGCGTCTGTATTATTCTGTAATGAACTTGTGTACTAAACTGACCAAGATTGACTTGCTGCATTGTGGCCTTGCGTCATTTCTTAATTCGCTCTTTACTGGGCAGCCCGTTGTCCTCGTGTCCCCCTCACTTCACTCCCCGCGGTCCTTCCTCGAGGGGTCTTATAGGAAGGCCTCTTCCAAAGTCCGTCCCCATCATCTTTCTATTTCCTTGATGTATCTTATGCCAACATGGGTAATGTAGTGTCTCTTGTCGATATTCAACACAGCAACCCCGCCTCAGAGGAACCTGTACCACTGGAACCCATTTCGGAGGCTCATCAACGTCCTTCGGCTCCTGCAAGGGCAACCACTCCTCTTTCTCATATACGTCTGACTTATCCACAGGTGCTGGGCGCCTTCGCACTACCACTTATTATTTCCCCTTCTCCGGGTGAGAATCCTCTTGATTCCCCTCCGCTATCGCCCACACTTTCCTTCCATACTGCTCCTTCTACACCTGTCACCTCTCCGCAAGGCGAAGATCCACCACCAGATCCTCCGCCTGTTCCTATCTTTGGCAACTCCACACCGCCATCACCACCGCTCACAAACATTCCATCAATAGCCTCTGTTGAAATCGAAACAATACCACCACTCGAGGCCCTTTCATCGCCTGACTTTGCACTAGATTTCACCCTCGATGATGAGGGTTTAAGTACCCTTGAAAAGATATACCTTTTTTCTCGTAGTAGATCAGCGCATCACAGGTAGGCTTTGCGTAGTAGTAGCGCTTAAACACTGCTGAGAACAAAGTATCGCGTACAGGGTATTTATTTCACATGCTCTACCAGCATTCCTAGCGCAGGTATCGCCTATAGAGGCTGTCGAGTATGTCCTACCTCTGCTCCCGAGTTTGTCTGTTGATGAAGGTGTGTCCGTCGCGCAGTTCCGGGGTTCTCCGGCTTTAATGATATTTCTAGACGAGGCAGTGAAAGAGGCTCTATCAGCGGAGCTTGTTTCCATCATGTGGTGGTTTTTCACGGTCGGTTTACCTCATTATCGATTTTGACCCTGTGACATTGAATTTCATCGCACATGTAGCATTGTCACTTGGTTGAAGAGCCGAGCGACCCGTCTAATGCCGATTATTCTCAGCCTCAATCTGACGATCAGGTCACGTTAATTTCAGTCCAGGCGTTCACTCCTATTCTAGCAACGCTCCTCCTGAGCTCAAACGGAGTTGTCAGCGGCTCTGCGAGATCTGCCGTTGTTGAATTACTGGCAAGAATACATAAGGCTGATGATCTGGGAGACCAACACGCTGATGACCTATCTTGCGGATTATTCGGGAGACACGAAAGGATGCTGTTCGAAGAAGAGGTCATCCAGCAACTTGTGATAGGTATGGGCCGCCTTGAACCAGGCGAAGATGAAATAGATCCGGATGAAGTGTGGTATACACCCGCGTTAGAGGTTCCTCAGCCAGATCCTTTACCAAGCAACAGTCCCGTCAATCCGTATTTTCCAACCACGCAAACTTCAGCAACGCACATCCCCTGCGACGGCATCGACTCTACCGCCCATTTCTAACCTTCCTAGTCCACCAGCTGGTGTACCCCCGCCCTTTCCTGAAGCCGGAGTCATTGGGGTAGTAACATCACCCATTGCTGTATTATCTCTCCAGCTGGAGAATACTGGTCAACACAGTCCAATGCAGATTACTGAGGGACCCTGGGAGCACGACTCGATACCTACTCACGACTCACGCTGGATCTGCAAATTCTGATACTGAGATGGACGGGGAGGAAGACATGGATCCCGGCGAACAAGCCGCTGTTGGACGACTATCAAGCATGAGTCTCATTGCTGCCGTAGTTGCTGGGGGTACGTATGATACCAACTTCATCATATACCTTTGTCAACAACTCTTTTCATGCAGGCACACCGAGGGCCGATACTCAACGTGCTTTCGTGAGAGAAGTTGAACGAGTCGGAAGAGATCCTATCCACTGGGTCAGAAGAGAGGCGTCATTTGCGTTGGGTGCTCTTGCGAAAGTCGTTCCCGATGAGCTTATCATTGGCTCGCTCGTGAGTACGCTGCACTCAAACTTATCAACTTCTTAACACTATTCCCCATAGCTTCCATTGTTTGAATCCCTACGTGCCGATCCCGCATGGCACGTGAGGCATTCCTCCCTTTTTGCCTTGCCTGCGCTTTTGTCACGTTTGCCATCAAGCCTGCGCCGATCAATCGCTGTCTCTACTATCATGCCTCTGTCGCGAGACGAATCTGCTCCAGTTCGCACTGGGGTCCTGGAGGCCCTAGGAGAAGTTGTATACACCTTCCATGATGATGACCGCGGACCACCCGATGAACTTCTACGTCTGTTCCTTGGCATCGACAATAACTCTCCACCACGAGAACGTTATGTACACCCTACTCGACGATCACCATTACAGGTACTGTCCGGTGCGTATTGATGATTCATCAATCATGTGTGATGATTAACGAATACTTTTTTTCGTGCAGCAAATGCTCCAATGTTAATAGTTGATGATGACCCAGCTCGTCCGCTTGCGTGTGCATTTAACTTTCCTGCGGTAGCATTTACCCTTGGCCGAGCGCGATGGGGAGAGCTACGAGGACTATACCTCACACTCGCGCAGGACCGCTCGCCTAAAATTCGGCGAACATTAGCTGCGAGCCTTGGTGAATTAGCGAAGATTATCGGTCCAGACAATGCTCAACGAGATATGATGAGCCTGTGGTGGGATGCGATGCGATCTGAAGACGATCACGAGATTAAATTCAAAGCAATTGAGGCTGTCCCTCTCTTTGTTGAGGCTTTGGGCGAGGGAAGGGCGAGGGAGGAGGTGATCGCCGGTCTGCTCAATGCATGGGAGGAAGGCTGGTTGCGCAATTGGAGAGCGCGTGAAGGCGTCATCAAGATTATCGCTGACCTCGCTGGCGGACCTGAACGACCTGATAGCATACGTGCACTGTTAAGAAAAGCACTTGAAGACGACTTTGGTGCAGTGAGGGAGACCGCTATCTCTGTGGTGCGTGGAGGCTTGACAAACAGTGGTTCTGATTAACAAGGACTCCGTCCTGCTCTGAAGATCTGTCGAATAGCGCCGCAAGACGTCTGGAGACCTACTCTAAACCTGATCAACGAAGATATACTTTCGCTAGCTAACTCTCCAATTTTTCGGAGACGAATGACGTAGGTGTATCCTCTACTGCATTCAGCCTTTTACATTGTTCTACAGGTTTGTTGCATGTCAACAGGCTTTAGCATCCTCAGTAGGTGGGCTATCAATCTTAGTGGATGATGCAAGATGGCACACTCTCGAGCGGTTAAGCAATGATAGCATAGTGGGCGTTCGCATTGGCGTCGCTCGTTTATCTGGGTCGATACTTGGTATGCCTCTGATTTTACACCTTGTACCGCATTGCTTACTCTGCACTAGAAAACGCTTTGCGCCACACATCCGTAGTGCCCCGGCGAATCTTTGACATGATAGATCATCTGCAGCAGGACTGTTCTGCAGAAGTCCGATCTTATATTCCTAGTATGGCCGACCTTCAGCGAGGCCGGACAATATTCCCCTCTCACTCGGATAGTTTCTTGACCTTTTCCCGCCCACCCCCCTTGTCCTCGTAGAAGAAAAATCAAGAAGCCCGTCTTCCCAATGGCCGCTGGTCGAATGTTCGGCTGGATATCTCTGTCGCTCTTGACGAAGTCACCATCGGTGTATAATAACTTTGTTCTGGACTTCCATCTGTCTGACTTCATTTAACTTGTTATTACTCAATCACCCATCTGTATTATAAAGTTCATCTGTCATAAAAGTCAAACGCAGATTATGCATGATAATTATCGATAAATATCTGTGGGAAGCGTGTTTGTGAATGCTTGAATAGCGGTGCCGCGGACTTTGTAATCGGGTGCATAAGCATGGGACCTAAGTTAACGCAAGACGGTCATTCCTGCACAAAGCTGGATCTTTGTAGCTAAGCTTCCCTTCCTTGCTCCTCCTGCCGTGAGGTTTAATCTCTCAGGTCCTTTAATCTGCATATGTACTCCTAAAATCCTATCAATATCGAAAATGAAGTCTACTCTGCTTTTCGCTCGTTATATTCTGTTCGGTATGCCTTGTTTTCTCACCTTTGGATGTTTTGTCACATATCCTTCGCCCGATAGGTCTTTTCGTCGTCTGTAATGCCATCATATGCACCATTGCTGTATGGAATCGCAGCCTCGTCCAAGCTACAGGAAGCCAGACTGGTACGTAGTGATTCGTATGGGTCATGTCATCACTCTAAGATCCATCCTCAGTGCAAGTCGATGTCTATCTCATATTTCTGGGCGCCTTTAGCCTTGCTTTTATCTTTCCAATGCAAGTGTTCTGTGTCTGTTGTTCCCAGATACTGACATCTTCTCTAGTATTTTCGTCGACTTACTATGTACAGATCCATTCTCTTCGCGAGTGTGGATCGAATGTGCATGGGTAGCACTCATCTGGCTCATGCAGTTGGGTGCGTTTCTCCGTGCCCATCGGGAAAATATGTCTCACATTTACTTCAGGTGGTGCGGCCGCCGTGACCGCAATTGCACCGCATATTCAATGCTCCGCACAAGGTTGATTCCATCATCTTTTATCCGAGCAATGTGCTAATTATGCATCTAGCCACCAAAGTGAATGACAATTCTTGTTCGTCGACCAATGTTCTTGTAGCTTTTACTTGGATCTGTACTATTATATGTATGTTCCAGACTTTTTCATGTAGCCCTGCTGATTAGCCAACTGTACTAGTGCTTCTTTATCTGTCTCTTCTAGTCATAACAGCGGTTACGACACAACCGATCGATCCGGGCGTATGGCATCACAATGTTCGTTATCTCCGCATTGAGACCACTCGCCAATGCCTGCCTAGTGCTCAGAACTCGCCGACAACTCCCCGCTTTGTCAAAGGACGCGGAACATCGGTACCCCATAAACCCCGTTCGCCTCGCCCAGTTGCTCTGAATCCGGGCTATGAACATCGTGCTGGACTTGACTCTGAGTACGAGATCGAACATTATCGCCCTCATGAGCCACAACATATGCCCGTGGATTCTGCCTTGTCCTTACCTCAAGCGATACCTGCTCCCTCTGTATCATATCCTTCCCCCGCTCTCGTCTACTCGCAAAGAATTCGTGGTTTGATTCCTCCGCAGATGGATATTTTACCGGCACCTTCTCGACTTAATACGTCCATCAGCTATTCGAAGCCGGTCCAATCATCAATACCGACGCAGGAGGCGCGAGCACCCCCCTCATCTCCATCACCCTCATCTTCGTCGCCATTTGATTGGCCTCGAGCAAATGCTATGGGACAACCATTTAGGACAAGAAGGAAACCACCACCCAGCGCTTCGAACATGGTCCAATCATCAATTCCGGCGCAGGAGGCGCGAACATCGCCCTCTCCATCGCCCCCGTCTTCATCATCATTTGATTGGCCACGAGCAAATATCATGGAGCAACCAATTAGGGCGAAGAGAAAACCACCACCCAGCGCTTTCGAGTTTCCGGGACGAAGCGCTCCGTCGGAGCTCCCTCCCCTTGATTCGTTGACACATCCCCGCACTAGACGGCCTTCTGGTCCTCGCGTGCGGCCACCATCAGCTGACGAGACACAGCATCCTACACCTTATTTGGCCCACCACACACATTGATATTGATAAAACAGGAGCGTGAACTTTGAAGTCGAGTTAGGAAGTAGGGTATACATATACGATACTAGAGAACACCTTTGAGTCTTGTCAGCTGTCTTCTTTAAAGTCTACCAAGAGAGGAAATTGAATTCAGTGTACATCAATTTCGGGCCCGTCTGCCATCACCACAAATTTACAACACAGCAGTAAATTGTCAGTAAATCATGGAGAATCCTCACGCCGAACGACAAGCAGTATTGCTGGAGCGTATTCTCAAGAACGCTGTGAGTTTATCTATATCTGATGCTAATCGACCATGCTGATATCGCTACAAACAGTCAGCGTGCACCGAGATGATCCTCGAGCTGAACCACTGTGTGGAGGTGCGTATTGTCACGACTCAAATGCTCAGTATCATCAAGAGTCAATTGCACCTGCAGGAAATACTTCGTGCCAATGCTTCTGTGAAGATTGCAGCAGATTTGGCGACGAAATACCGCAAAAATGTTCAGTATAATCTAGCAGCAACAACTTTGCACTCGGAGGCTCCATAACCACCCAAGTTCAAGTTCCATTTTGTCGAGGTCCGTCTACACTCATCGCTCGGTTAGAAAGTATCTTCGATTCCCATTAAACAGTGTCCAAGAGTACAACATCGAGCCGGTGATCGCGTTGCACACTGAAGCTTCAAGATGGTTTACGCTCACACTCAACTTCCTTATACCAATCACTCAGCTGCGCCGTCTTTTCGCAACTATCCGGAGTCGTTAATGGGTCTACTGCTAGAGACGCCATAGATATTTGGTACCTCAGGCCTCACTGAGCGCTCAGCCGGCATTCTCATGCGCTTCGTCCTTGCGTTGTTGTAATTTCCTTATTTGGACAATGCAATTAGCTTCTTATTGTTACATGCACTCTTATTGTTCTCTATAATGTGAAGCTTGTCCCTCGCTTACCACGTTGACAATGGTCGATATTTAATGGGATCCTCTGCGGACTGATCCCCTTTGTCTCTGGTGGACCAAACAGTACTTGCTCCTAGAGGGGTGCAACCCAGTTTTATTAATCCCCGCTCCGCTTCGTTTTCACCTTTCACAGTTGTTCGACAGTGCACGACTTTCCCTACCGTCACTCTTTCTTTCACGACCAACAGCACCATTGAAGCCGACGAAATGCAGAATTCCTTCATCATCATTCGAGCCATATTTTTCAGTAAGCACACGATATCAGTAAATGCGATCCAGCCAGATAACATCGACGCAGCTCTCATCCTTTATTTCAATTTGTTAGCCATCATATTTGCGGGGTGGAATATCATGTCCTCTACTTCTTCTGGGATGCCAGGTTTGTATCTCAGTGTGGCGATGATAACCTCGACTGACGCGTTTGCAGTGCCTGGTGCAGCGGCATTCCTTGTTGTAAATGCTGCACTTATATTCGCCTTTACGATGCTGTAAGTGTCGTGTTGTTGACCCTACATAACCCCCTGACTTTTCTCTTTAGAGCATATTCGGCGGAGGTTATATGCCCCAAAGCGAGGCCTTCCCAGGTTAGATTTGAGTGTGGCTGGACTGTATTGATGGGCGTGCTTCAGCTAGGTAAACCATCGCTGGCTGTAACATCTTAAATCCATGCCTCTGACCACACCATCATTACGTTTGAAGCTGCCAGCATTTATGTCACAACCGTTAGTCCCCAAGCATTGTGTCAATCGCATTGTAAGTGTGGTTGATCGGTGATTTGTTGCGTAGCTGACTTCCTCTGTTCTTTTAGCCACGTGGACTATCTGCGCTTCTGCAGCACTACTTATGCCGATCAGCTGGTTGGCTACGTTCATCAGTATGTCATCATCAATCGTGGCTCATGGCTGGCACTGATGACGTGACAGTGCTCGTGTATTGTATTACACTATGCGTAATGGCAGCAACCCATGTATATTTCCTGCCTACCCTTTGGAAAATGCCTGTGACCGCGGTTCCTTGGTTCAATCTCACCGATTCGATACCTGTCTCTTTTCCCTCGCGCCCATTGTCGGAAATCTCATCGTCCACCTGGGCTGAAAGCGGCAGTTCTTGCAAGATCTCCAAATACATCGCGGATACTTGGGAAAGGCTCCATAGAGTCGAAGGACGTGACATCGAGCCCACAAAGCCTATTCTGTTTTCCCGCAGTTGTCCGTCCATCGATTCTACTCGACCGGCGTGGGCGAAGCAGCTTGAACTCCAGACTCGGCGTGGCGTGGACCAACCTTTTTTGACACAACGCGTATTGCCGTCCAGCAGCTCTCCAAAGGTACCCCTGCCGCCTCCAAAAGCTCGTGCTAGAGAGGTGTCGGGCCCGAATAACTTCAAGTATGCTGAGACTTCCATGGATTCGCAGTTGGATAAAAATAAATCTTACTCAACTTTCACGCCACGGACGCCGACCATCTTTCCAAAGAGGATTGCAGATCCTGATCTGCCCATCCCACGACCGCGATTATCTCAGTGGATACCCGCTGACCCGGCCAACGTTGCTGATCTTCACGCTGAACTCTGATGAGCTGACCCCATAGAGCTGGTTTTTGATTACCATCCTTGCACTTTAATCTTGTTAACTTCTTGTCCCATCAACATATCCAATTGTATATCTAAGCATATCAGATCTAGCTTCATTTGGACTTGGGTATCACCACGTTGTATTAAATATATCCACCATCGTAATACAGTTGTAGAATTTTGAATACTTAGGCCTCGACTTTCCAAGAATAGGTGATAGAAAGAGTCCAAGTCGTGTGTTCAAGAAATCCGTTCCAGCTCAAAACTCGGTTCCTTCGGATCCGCCTGTCTCCAACCAGGCCACCCGGCCACGCAGCTTGCGATTCTCCTCACGGGCCTTTGCAAGTGCGCTTGTGGTGCCCTCAAGCTGCCTCTTTGTCTCTTCGAGTTCCTGTGCTGTTTCTTCTTCTAGTTCGGCAGCTCCCACGGCAATGCCTGTTGGAAAGGTCATGAGACGAGACGAGAAAAATGGGTCTAATTTAGAATTACCTCCAACAAGCTTTACCAATCGCCACAGACGAAGAATGATCAGCAGTCCAGCCAATTCACGTTGGCGTCCCTTGAGAACGAATTCGAGTACGAAAGTCGTGACAATGATCGCGGTATCGAACAGATGAAAAGCTGCATGTGAAACACCTGAGAATGGGGTGTAGAAGCGGATTCCAAAAGCCCAGAGAGTAACTGGTATTTCAATAAGAAAGAGCGTGGTTATGGCAAGAGATATAGTGGCCAGGACTTCGAGCCACTCAGGGCCTTCGTCTGGTGGGGTGCACCCATCGGACAAAACGGTATAGCCTAGGTCAGCGAGGACACATGTAGCATCAATCACAATCTAGAGCAGTGCTGCACGTCAATAAGAGGCGAATATATATGACACCGGCTGCTCACCAATGCAATAACGAATGTGTGAAAGCGTTGGGACTCTAAAATGCACGAAATGTTCTCGCGCCAGACACCGAGAGTCCCTTTGGGCCGCTCAGCGAGCGCACCGTCCTCACTATAGAGGAGAGGCTGTTGTTCTCCTGGACTGGACATGATGGTTTGAGCTTGCTGTCAATATTTGTGCCTTCCGATCTGCTAAGCGTTTTCTACTTTGCCTCTTACGGAAGTTCGTCCCTATATAGCGAACACTGCTTTCTTCCTTCTTAGGAACATGCAGCCTGGGGACTACGCCCTCCTACGGCGTATGCCAGTCGCCATTCGCTTCTAGTGTTTACTCAAACAAACACCCTTCATTCTCAGGAAAGTTTCTATTTGAGCGAGTCTTGATTGCAAGGCAGTGTCCACGACCGCCACCAACAGGATGCGCCGAAAACTCGAGGCTGGCACCGCATACCAGTACCTAGGCGACTAAATTTGCCATGCCCCTTCCCAGGGATACAGTGCTGCTGCGGTATTAAATAAAACACCATGTAAGCTGTTGACTAAGAAAGCAAGGCTGGTCCCATCCCTGTGTCCGTCTGGTACTGACTGCGGCAAATTTGTTTCATCGTGGCCACGTTTTGACTTTTATTTTCTTCTTTCCTATATTACATTGAAGTTCTTCACCCTTCGATTTCGCTGACTACGTCAGTCCCCCCTTTTAATGGCTCCAAACACTTTGTGGAACAGATTTCGGAGATTTCGTCTCATTGTTCTCGGTGAGTTTCATATCTATGATATGGCTGATTCTGACCAACTGCCTTCGAAGCTTTTGCCTCGATTCTTTCGTTGATATGGTCCATCATCATTTCCGTGTACATGGCCAATAATTGGTCGGGCTACAATTCCGGCGAGCGTAAGTAGCATCACCACGTTTCGCAATGACCTGTGCTGAAACCGTCATCGCAGGCGGATTTCTCTTCGGTCTCATTGCTCTTGACTTCATTGGTTCGATTTTGTTGTATCTCATGTGAGTATTATCACTCCACTCTTATTCGCAATATGCTTACGGTGCCCAGGATTGTTGTGCAATATCAATTTTGGCCTGACGCCGCACGAACTATAGTACTTTTGGGTCTTAACGTCGGTTCGTGTTGACCGTGCTGTGCGTGCGGCAATGGAACTTACGTCGCTTTCTTTAGCTGGTGCTGTGGTCCTTTTGATTCTCAGCCCAAAATTTCCCTGCAGCGCTTTTGGTTAGTTCTCTCGACCGTGTGAGTGATTCGTAGGCTGACTGAACCCAGGCTCGACTGCAAAATGCCACAATATGACAATGACAGTCCTTATAGGATCTTGGGTTATTTCCGCACTGAGTAGGTGCTGGTTCACCCCGTCCTTTTGCACATAATGATAAATGATGACAGTGCTTCTGTATGCCATCTGCCTGCCTTTCGTGGCCTTTATCCCTCATACACCCAGCCCAATTCAAGTTGACGATTTGGAGAATCGGTCTGATGTTGCGGAGGTCACAGAGGTCACGAACGATCTGCGCATGTCTCATGCATCGTCTGCGTCCCAGGGGTGGCTCTTGAAAAACCAGGAAGGGACGTCTCCTGAGGTCTTTGTGTCGGAGCTACCGCTTCCCCAATACATCCCTACTCCTCACGATGTTCCTAGCAATCCTTTGTCATTATCCTCATTGCAAATGCCACAACAAGCGATGGGTGATGATCCCGTCGAATTGCAGGCGCCAGGTGCTGCTTCAGTCTACTCTGACGCATCTCCGTCCAGCTTTGCGAGAACCATCCGTGCACCAGATAATGTCGACAGAAACCTGAATACATCTGGCTCATCAGGCTCATCATCTCCACGACAATACCCACGTTACTCGGATTCTCTTGAGTCGTCCACTTTGCCCAACCGCTTCGTTGGCGATACTTTGGATGCCAATCGTAATTCAGTGGCCAGCAGCTTCTATGGATCGACTTATGAATTCCCCACGGTCTCCATACCACTGACTGAGGCATCTCATCGAACCCTGAGTGTGATCACGGGAAGTTCGACATCAGTGTATTCCCAAACCACTATACCTGCTCGTGCCAAAACTATATCCCCTGTCAATGCAAATACTCGGCAAACCAGTTTGCTCACATCACGGTCGATGTCGTGCTCCCCCCCTCGCCTGTCTGTACATTCCATGTCGGCTAGCGTCCACGATCACGCGGAGCATCAGGCTGCGGGAGGTGGTTACGGCGCTCCCAGCAATGGTTTTTTGTCTCCTCCACTGACTGCCCTTCCCACACCACGACTCTCCACAGGATCAAATGAACCTACATTCGAACTTCACCTTTCCGATGCCCCCAGAAGAAATTCTAAAGACAAGTTATCAGATTTTCCTCGGGATGTAGTGCAAGATCCTGTTCTACATCCCCCGATAGTACGACCCGGCTTGCAACATCTTCGCACTGATTCTTCGAATTCTAATATCGATCTAGACGAGTGGAGGAGACTCGTGCTTAGCGCTGCTGGACGAAAATAATGATGATCTTGGACTTCTTTCACTTACAGTAATTTATGAGAGCATTGGCATTTGATGGTCTGCCTATATGACCCGGACATCGTGTTTAAAAGCGCTGTCTGGACTTGAGCTCAAGTCCACGTACTTACCCGCTTGCCTTGTGAAGATGACGTCAACTTACTTACTCATATATTGACGGTTTACTACTAGTTATGGACTCCTTGAGCTTGTACATAAATAACAGCTTCAGCACCAAACCATTTCTAGTGTTACTTATGTCGTTCTCGTTTGTCCGGCCATTGCTTGGCTTCAGCCCAATCACTGCTCGTTCGAGTTTGAGCACTACTCAGTTTATCCGCCATCGCTCACTCTCAGGCTCTGTCATTTGTCGGCAACATTTACTTCCCGCACGCGCGTATGTGCCTCAGACATGGGTAGTGAATCGACTGGGAGTTGCACGCAAAGGGCAGCTCCTCCTGCCCAGCTTGCTCACAGCTACAGGGATAGCAGGGATCGTGCTTGGCATAGCAACGTGCACCGCGCCAATCATTCATTGTGACAGTAAAGGCACTGGTGCGATTGCTGTTGCTATGCCTAGCTGAACACGAGTTGATCTTGAGGCACCCAGGTTCCACACCCGCCCCGCCTCCTCAGGCCCCACTCCCGGAGTCCACTGTCAATCTGTATGAATTGACATTTGGTACAGCAGCTGGCATATGCGCGGGTGTGTTCGTCAAGAAAGGTGCAAAAATGGTCGCATTCTTCCTAGGTGGTGTGTTCGTCCTCCTTCAAGTATGTAATATGTGTTCTTGGTAGACAACGTGCACTTATTAATTTAACAGTACCTTGGGTCGATGTCACTCGTCCGTGTTGATTGGGGTCGCATGGCTGCTCGATTCGAGAACTTGTTGTATACGAAAGACGCGTTAGGCAACAAGAAGCCACCAACTATTTCATCACTGTGGAGATGGGTGGTAGACTTTTTAACAGCAGACTTTCAGCCAAGAGCGTCTTTCATTGCTGGGCTCGCGTTAGGGTTGCGCATCGGTTGAAGCGACGTGTAGAGGGGACACTATCCAAATCGGGAAAAAGAAAAAATAGCTCGTAATTTGTCTCAGTCTGTATTTAGCTATCTGTCCGCGCGGTCGACCATATCAATATCAACTAGCCTGCCATGGGAGGGCGACGAACAAAGTACAAGCAAGGGCCTCCAGCTCCACTTCGCAATCCGGATGAAACTCGCCCTTCGACAAAAAAGCTTGGAAAACGGAAGGCAGATGTAGATCATGAGCCTGAGCCAACTACCAACAGCCGTCCTATAAAAAAAGCTAAGGCAGATAAACCACCAGCCTCAAGGAAGCGGACAAAGGGTTCAGAGAAGATATCAAAGGTTAAGCCTACACCTACCAAAGAAAAAAGCAACCCGCTCTCGGAGGATGGCGAAAGTGATGGGTGGGAAGTCGCTAGCGATTTGGAAGATGTTGATGGGTTCGCGGCGGACGGTCTGGATGACCTGGATATGGATGAGGAGTGAGTTTCACTTCTCACTTATATTCTTGGCTAAAGTTTTTTGTCTTGCAGCGATGACCTTTTACGAGGGGACCCGGAAGAACTGGATCTTGGCTCAGACGACGAGGAAGTCGAACTGCTCCCACAAAAAGGCCGTAAATCTAAACAGGCTGAACGTCCAACCAAAATTATTCCAACAGCTTCAGATGAAGACTCCGATGATGAGTCCGACAACGAGGACGGGCCAATTACTGGCAAGAACATTGAATCCCGCTCTCGTGCACTCGATGAAAAGGCTCTTCGTGAGGCGGAGCTTGATATCGAGGAGATGCAGGATGCTGCCTTGGAGGGCAGCGACGAGGAGATTGACATGGAAGGGGAGGAAGAAACTGCAGAGGCATTTCACTTACCTACAGCTGAAGAGAGAGCAGAGGAGAAAAACCATGTTGCTGATATCCATGTCGTTCAGCGGAGGATGCGAGAATGTGTCCGTGTCTTGGGCAATTTCAGAAAACTGGGCGCGAATGGCCGGTACGTCTTTTAATCAGCCGCTTTTAATTGTGTCTGTATTTTCAATGACATATACAGGTTACGGTCAGAATATGTCGAGCAGCTCGTCTCCGACATCGCTAGTTACTACGGGTATAATGATTTTCTTGCCGAGAAGTTATTCCAGCTATTTCCAGTTTCTGAGGTGTGTGCTCTGTCTCTCTCTATAGTCACATGCTTATTCCGCATTACCCCTTTCGCAGGCTATCGAGTTCTTCGAAGCAAATGAGGTATCAAGACCGGTGACTATCCGAACAAATACACTCAAAACACGTAGACGAGACCTTGCACAAGCCCTCATTAATCGTGGTGTCAACCTCGAGCCGATAGGCAAATGGACTAATGTTGGTCTCCAAGTTTTCGAAAGCAGCGTACCCATAGGTTTGTATGGATCCTTTACTCCCGAACGTGCGGAACTAATTTCACGACAGGTGCGACACCTGAGTATCTCTCTGGTCACTATATGCTTCAGGCAGCTTCTTCATTCCTTCCCGTCATCGCATTAAAACCTCAACCGAACGAGCGTGTACTTGACATGGCATCTGCCCCTGGAGGCAAGACGACGCATATCGCTGCACTCCTACAAAATACCGGCATTGTTTTCGCCAATGATGCCAACAAAGCACGGACAAAGAGTCTGACGGCGAATGTGCATCGTCTAGGGTGCAAAAATGTCATCGCCTGTTCATACGATGGTCGGGAGTTTCCAAAGGTAATGGGTGGGTTTGACAGAGTCCTTCTGGATGCGCCATGTAGCGGGACTGGTGTTATCAGCAAGGACTCGAGTGTGAAGGTCAACAAGGTGAGGTTTCCAGCTTGTGGTCAAAGGTCTATTTACTGACATGCTTGTGTAGTCTGAGCGTGATTTCCACCTCCTCTCGCACCTTCAGAAGCAGCTTATCCTCTGCGCCATTGACAGTGTCTCTCCTGATTCTAAAACGGGAGGATTTCTGGTCTACTCCACGTGTTCCGTCACTGTTGATGAAAACGAGGCTGTTGTCGATTATGCGTTGCGAAAACGCCCGAACGTGAAACTGGTGGATACTGGTCTCGGCTTTGGTAGAGATGGCTTTACAAAGTATCGCGGAAAGACCTTCCACCCGAGCGTGAAGTTGACAAAGAGGTTTTACCCCCATGTGCACAACATGGATGGGTTCTATGTCGCAAAATTCAAGGTGGAAAAACGGGCCAAGATAAAAGCTGGTACGCAGGAAACCGGGTCGACCAATGCAGTGGATGCAGATGAACAGCAAGACGTTGGATTTGATTCTGACGAAGACAAGGCGTTCATTGAAGGTCTGTCTATCGATTTTACTAATCTATGTTACTTGTTCATGTATCTTCACAGAGGGCAAACGTATTCAGATGAAGGCCAAGGGTCTGCGCGTACCTCGCAGACGACAGTCAGATATAGCAGGCAAGGTGGTGAAAGCAGCCGCATGATATACGTCAGCGGTGCTTGTTGCATATATCTCAACGAGTATCACACATGATCTTCATCCCAAAATACACACATCATTAGTCTGCCGTTGCGGCAGAACACATAATGTATCCATTTTGTGCATGATAAGACATTTCGAAGAAGTTTTTCGGTGGCAGATGACTGAAATACCTTGCAAGGAAACCCAAGCGAATTTCTGACTACAGCCGGCAGGATATAGCTGGTGAATCGGCGGAGCCGGTCCACAAGCAGCTGCGAGAGGGCGCGGGAGGTTGCTAGGTGGTCCCAGGTACGCGAAGGTGGCCAGCTCTGAGATAGCGCAAGTAACAGGCAAGTAAACAAAGCATCAACATACGGACCTGGACGCAGATCACAAGGTCAGCTGTTTTTCGATACGAAACCTCCAAGATATTCCAGTGGCAATTTTTAGATGTACTACACCATAACCGGGTGTGCAGAATGTGGATGGACTGTCATCAGACCAATTTGTGGGCGCAGATTCCTAGTACGTCTGGGTTTTCGAAAGGAAATTGCAAGTAGTCCTCGTGATGTTTGGGTGGGGATGTACCGTGTATGGGAGGCTCACCTGGTAAGCAGAGGGTCTTTTAAGGGCAGTGACCACCACCTGCGTTGATTAGCACGCGAGTCCTGAGGCCGACAGGAATACAGATTTCTTTGTGCGCGAGTTGAGAGTTGGAGTTTCCAAACGGCAAACAAAGTAGTACCCTTCGAGGAGTCCGGACGCAGATCTGCTGATGTAGAAGGATGTGAATATACATTTATACTTGTCAGGATCCAAGTTAGTACGCGTGAAGTCGTCGTAGCACAGGCACTGATATTGTCGACGAATCTACATGTCAGTATGAAGGTGAGTCGACTTTTCGCTGTGACCGAATTGATGAACAATACTTGACAGCTGACGCGGATGTCCCCTTGAGGTGCACACGACCGAAATGGAATGTAGATCTAGATATGATTCAAGTGAGTGATGCACGCTGACGCGAGTCACTCGACTTGCATGATACATGCATACTAGTGGACGTGATAGTATGCTGCTGATGAGAAATACCGCGGTATAGTCAGACCGCATGAGTTTCTGTGGTTTGGTCACGGTGATGTAAGTCCCGGTAAAAGTGATTCTAGCCTCACCGATATTTATAGCTAGATGTAAAGTTCTCTGATGTGGCAGCACATAAGGTCGTGGATTAGGACTGCTGATACTTTGCAAGTATTCGCTGGCACTGGGTCCCTGGGTGCCTTAACGCTACGACTTGGGTGAAACGCCTCCACTTATCAATATATAAATAGAAAGAAGGAGAAGCAGAGGAAACTCTACGCCGTTGCACTGTACCTGAGGCTAATACCAACAGCGATAGCGCAGGCAGGTTATATAGTACTTGTCAAGCATAGTAACTGCTCATATGAAAATGAGACTTTATCCCTGAATTTGTGTTTTTGCTTGTCGCAGGTTCGATCAGGACGTCAAGGCGACTGGGCCAATATTAAGTGCAAACCTCTAGCAGACTCTGTTAGTATTCGTTACGTGTAACCTTAGCCGCTGGGGTGAAAGGGGTTTCAAGAAGACGCTATTGGTAATTGGCACAGATAAGGAGATCATGAGTAGCAGATGAATAGCAGGCGATGCGGCGATATCAAGGTCACATCAAATATCCTATGAGTGAGTATCCACGGACCCAGATGGGAACTTCAATTGTTCCACCTGTGAAGAGTCCTCCACAGACAGTTGAACTGCATCCGCAATGACGACAGCTGTTGTTGGTGCACATGTCGCCATGTCCACATTTCTGCAGCCACCATAGTCCTATTCATGTGTTTACCATGGTTAAAATATGTTTTTTTTTGTTCCAAAGGTGACTAGTACTCAAACAGGAGTCGAAATCGCGCTCGGTGGCGAGCGGATGTGATCGGTATCCCAGTCTCGTGATTTCGCTACCCTTGACGTGATCCGTAAGCACTGGAACCTTCCTTTGTGCAACCTGAGAACACCCTTCTTTGGGTTTGTCTCATTATGTGCACCCTACGCCCAACCGCACGGACCATTATTGACAGACTGTCCTCTACTAAATTACCTAGTGAGTTCCCCTGCTCAATTCTGCTGGGTGGTTTAAATAAATTTCACGCCTCGTGAGAGAATAACATAGCCGAAAAAGGCAATCAAACCAATAGGAAGAACCTTCAGAAAATTAGGTTACCTGCTTTGTTTGGCGCGTAAAGCGGAGCCAAATACGGATAAGTAGAGCCCGAATTTGACAACGACCATATCTCTTCCTCTCTCTTACTCCTCTCCTCTAGCCTCTGGCCCCAGCGTTGCGTAGCACGCCCTTCTCTCTCTTGTCAATTTATTATCTTTTCATGTTCGTATCCTTTACCGCGCTCTCCCTTCATCGTCTGACTCATTTGCTCTTGTTGACAGCTCACATTCGCATTTTTTGCTATAATGTCTGCTACTGAGGCCACCGCTGCTGTTTCCGTCCCTGCTGAGGAAGTCAAGGTCATTGAGACCCCTGTCGTTGACCCTGCGCCAGAGGCACCCGCTGCTGAAGAGGCAGCTCCTGCTACTGTAATTTTTTCAACTACCCTTTGTGGTTCCGCCCGACTCTAACCTTATGTACACAGGAAGCTCCAAAGGAAGAAGTCAAGGCTGACGTGAGTTATTTACATCCATTACCTTTGTTTCATAGGTTGACGCGTTTTTTTTCAGGAGGCCGCCCCCGCCGTCGAGGCTGCTCCTGATGCTCCTGCAGAGTCCGCCAAGGAGGAAGCCAAGACTGTATGCGTCCAATTCATGATTCTTATTGTAGACTTCAAATTGATTAACATATCTAGGAGGCTAAGAAGGAGGAACGCCCCAAGAGCCCGGGCCTCCTTGCCAAGCTTCTTGCTCCTTTTAAGGATGGCAAGACCAAGGTAGAGAAGAAGGTCAAAGCTCCCAAGAGTCCCAAGAAAGAGAAGAAAAAGGAAGAATTGAAAGAGGAGGTTAGTGTTCCATTTCACCCCAACAACGTGGTAATTGATAAGTATTTAGGCCGCTCCCCCCGCTGAGGAGCCTGCCAAGGAAGAGGTGCCTCCCACTGAGGCAAAGGTTGAGGAGACTCCTGCGGCTACCGAGCCTCCTACCACTGAGGAGCCTGCAGCTGAGCCTGTCAAAGAGACGTACGTGTTTCTCATCGGTTGACTTCATTGACTGACGAATCTTAGTGAGACTGCTGCCGCCGAGGCTCCTGCTGCAGAGCCTGCATCTGAGGCCGCCCCGGAGACTCCGGCTGAGGCCCCGAAGGAGGAGAAGGTACGTTGCTTGGTTGAAAATCATGTGCATGCTTACACTTACATTTACAGGAGGAAAAAAAGGAGAAGGAAAACAAGGCGGCCAAGGTTGGCCGCCGCCTGTCTGCGCGCGTGGGCGATCTTTTCAGATCCAAGCCCAAGACGGAGCTTTCGACTCCTGCCAAGGTGGATGAGCATCCCCCCGTGATTGATGAACCTGCTCCAGTTGCTCCTCTCGAGAACCCTGCCAGTTCGGAACCTGCTCCCGTGCAGGCTGCTGCACCTCTTGTCGAGGAGACCGTTCCCGCTGAGCCTGCACCTGTTGCTGCTCCCGTCATCTCGGCCGTCGCATAAGCGGTTAATCCGAGGCTTTTGGTAATGTCATGAATGACACGAGCGCATATTCATCTGCTCCTCTTTATTCCTTTGGTATGTTGAGCAGTCTTTCTCGCTGCACTTGGTTTTGGCCATTATCAGGATCCCTTCATTAGCTCTCATGTCTTTTTATCCTTTTCTGCTACCATACTCGTTGGATTTGGTCTTTGCTTTTTTTCACGACCCTACTCATCATGACTACATTCCGATCCGTGTTTCCACTACCTAATGTCGATCTTGATCATTGATACCCTTACTTTGCTATGGTCGGATCAGTTAACCATGTCATTAAAGTTCTATCCTGTAATGATTTTGGAGGGTTGTATGAACATCAAGAAACCCTTGAGTACCCTTTTGGCGAGTTGAAGTGTGACTCGACGTTGATGATAATCATGCCATTAATAAACTGGGCATTTCTTAACCTTGCCTTAAGATGTCTCCGAACACATCTTCCTCTACTGGCAAGGATAAATTGATCGTAGATGAAGAAGAGGTTCTTCAAGCTGTCATTCTAGCAGACAGCTTTAACAAACGATTCAAGCCGCTAACCACGCATAAACCTCGAGTGAGTCCAATTCCTGCATGACAAAGTCATACCAATATCATTCTCAATCAGTGCCTGCTACCGATATGCAATGCTCCATTGCTGGACTGGACATTCGAAAGCCTTGCTCTAGCTGGCGTACAAGAGATCTTCGTAATATGTAGATCACATGCGGAGCTGGTCAAGACTGCGATCAAGTGAGTCTCTGAACCGCCGTTCTCCTGTTCATGCCAGTGGTTGACTGCGATCCAGGAATTCAAAATGGTCTAAGCCCGGCGCAGGCCTGAAGATTGTCCCAATTGTGACTGCGAAAGAGACGTTCACGCCTGGTGATGCCATGCGCGACATCTACACGCATGGCATCATCACTTCAGATTTCGTCCTTGTCACAGGTGACCTCGTGAGCAACATACGTATAGGCGATGTTGTTCGCGAGCACAAAGAGCGGAGGAAAACGGACAAGGACGCCATAATGACGATGGTGGTCAAACAAAGTGGCGTAAACCATCGGACGCGGTATGTCAGTCTTCGACCAAGTTATCACTCCCCTCATTTCCCCCTAGTTCGAGAGGTGATTCGGCGGTGTTTGTCATAGATCCGGAAACGTCAAAGTGCTTGCATTATGAGGCGGTGACTGGGTATCCACCCAAGAAATACGCGAGCATACCACGCGAAATTCTGAATGAACACCCTGAAGTGGAGATCCGAAATGACTTGATTGATTGTTCGATAGACATATGTTCTGTAGAGGTGCGTTTGACATAGTTTTGCCTCGTTCACTTTCATTTATCAATCTCTTCTGCACAGGTGCCGTCATTGTTCCAAGACAACTTCGACTACGGGGATGTACGGAGGGATTTCGTTCATGGCGTCCTTACGTCTGATCTACTCATGAAAAGTATTTATTGCTACATCGCCAAAGAGGGTTATGCTGCTCGTGTCAGGGACACTCGGAGTTATGACTCCATCAGGTCAGTGTCCTAAACTTGTCCGATGATTCATCGCATTTGACAGACATCAGCAAAGATATTCTTGCAAGATGGACATTCCCTTTGGTGCCAGATGATAACCATCCTGGCGGCCACTCGTATGAACATCTACGGGGAAACAAATACATTGCCAAGGATAATTCAGTGATACTCTCTCGGTAAGAACGTTTCCAAATTTTCGATCATTTGCCCACTCATAGAGGCTTTAGGACGTGCAAGATCGGAAACAACACACTGATTGGCTCAAAATCGCAGATAGCTGACAATGCCCAGGTTATAGCATCTGTTCTCGGCCAGCAGTGTATTGTTGGTGCGGGCAGTATAGTCCGCAACTCTTATCTCTTCGATGGAGCAGTCATTGGACCGAATTGTGTTGTCGAGCACAGTATAATAGCGTCAGGCGTACACATCAAGGAACGCACTCGTGTTGAACGCGGATGTTTGATTGCTGATGGCGTCGTCGTCGGTCCGCAGGCGAAACTTGCGCCATTTTCAAGATTGTCTAAGCGGCGGCAGGATAGCGATGAGGAAGATGAAGAATTCGAAGATGCAGAAGAAGAGTGCGAGGAAGAATGACAATGACGAGAGTGAAGACGGCGACGACTGAAGATGAGGTCGACTCAGAGCTGGAGGACGTAGAAGCAAGTAGGTAAAGTCAACGTCTACTCGAAACCCTAACTCATCGTTCTTCCAAGACCAAGATCCCGAAGCTCTTGCAAAACTTGGTCCTGGCACCAATGCAATCATTTGGCCACTACCAACTGTTGACGAGGACGAGGACATTGATGAGCTGGAACACCCTGATAACCAGCGTTTGATGCGAATAGGTAGGTCTTGTTCATCAAACGACATCATCTGCTTAACTGTACGGTACTTTTACAGGCGATAATGCATCAGATCTCGTTCTCTCGGATCCTGGTTCCATCACTTCATCAGGAGTCAGAGTCAGAGTCGATGACTGACGATGACGACGAACTCTTCTACGGTTCCAACCCCGCTTCCTCGACCACTTCACTTCCGCTCAGCACGCCTTCGAATCTGGTTGCAGCAGGCAGACTCGGCAGTAATATCAGAATTCCAGCAGGAAGTCAAACAATCGCTTGATCGTGCGTTTGCCGAAGGCCATTCTGTTGATAACGCCGCTGTGGAACTGAAGACGCTACGTATGGCAAGCAATGTATCTCTCCGCCTGGTGCGAGAGGCCGTTATCGCAGCTATTGTTAGCCGAATCAAAATCATGGCAGGCGGAGGCATTCCGCAACGACAGGAGATTGCTAGTATGATTTCTCGATGGGGAGGGCTGATTGATAAGATTGGAGGGGTAGATCCGGTGGAAACTGTCGAGATCCTTCAGGTAAGTATCTTGTGAGGATGACTCGGAGTAGTTTTGAATCGTCCACCACAGGAATATTGCGCTTCATCGGATCGCTTGCCTCTGTTTGGCCAGATTCTTGCCGCGCTCTACCAGGATGACATAGTCGACGAGGATGACATCCGTGCATGGCATGGAAATTCCAAGTCTCAAGGCCAGGGCGTTAAGCCTACGTCTTTGCAAGACAACTATAACAAATGCTGGGTCACTGGAGCCCATATGATCAAACAGTTTGATGAGCAGGACAGTGATGAAGAATCGGAGGAAGACTCGGACGATGGCAGCGAATCGAGAGATCCTGTTGTCGAAAATCCAGTCACAAAGGAGCTCCCTTCGGCAGGCGCCAATTCTTCGGAAGAGAATTCATGCGAGGAAAACTCGGACGAAGAGGACGAGGGCAACACTGACGAGGATGACAGCGAATAAGATGACTTCTTTGCCTCTTGTAGAATAGCGGAAGGAATCAAAACCTAATGCGAGATTGCGTCAAGGGTCGACTGACTTCCTCAGTTCATTGCAACTAATGTCAATTATGCTGATTCGAGCCTTCCTCATGAGACTGAGGCAACTCTACTCCGATTGACAGGTGATTTACTGGGCGTTCAGTCGGTGGCAATTACTAGCGAAAGCATGTGTGTAATATAAAGTGTAGTGTGCATTAATGGGACAATGCCGAGAGAACGTGTTTGATCCCCTCCTGGATATACCACCAATAATTGATGTATTAAGTTCATCGACGGAGCATGAAAGGCTCGACTGGATTGAAACAGGAATAATGGATGTAAGACGGAAGAAATGGGTAGTGCATGGGCAACTCGCCTGAGGAAGTCCTTGCCATTCTCAATACTTCAGAATGATGTAGAGTGCTACAAGTGACATGATGAGAAGGGTCACGGCCAATAAATAGCAATATGTTACATACCGTGGATAATTCCTGGACTGATAACCGAAGAATGGTCAGTAAAGGCGGCGGACAAAGGAGTAAACAATGTCTCACAGATCTAAAGTAAAAACTAGTCAGTAGCGAACGCAATGAATCGTATGAAAGGGACTCACATCCTAAGGGGGGAGTAGGAGCGGTTATAGCCAGATTGTTTACAATATTATGCGATGGGCTTACCAAGAAGAGTTAGTAGGCAATTAATGAGCTATCACAGCACTAGTCAGCCAGGCGAATTCCCATGCAAGAACCGACTGACCAGGTCGGCTGTACACCCCCGTTCCAAGAATACGCCCAAAGGAGGAAGAATGATAGCAAAACTGTTAAGCCAGTGAGCTTCGAAGTGACTTAATTATGGAAGCGGTTGGCGACTTACATTATCTAAATGGACGCAGACCCATCAGGTTATACTATGTAGATAGAATAAGGAAAGTAAGCACCTTGCAAACGTCGGAAGCTGTGAACGGCATTTCGATTACAGGGCACGTCAACGTCTGAGTGGTGCCGTTATATAGACTGCACTCTCAGTGACGTCAAGCGAATTTGCGGCGTTGTGTGACGTCACGCGGACCAGGCCAGTGGCTGTGTTGAACTACAACCAAAACGTTTACGTCGTACAAAGTCAGTATATCCATTACCATTAATATTCCAATGGATGAATACACAGACATATCCTATATCCCCTCTGAACCACATGACATCTTCCAGAACTTCAACATCTACATCCCGAAACTACGGAATACTTCGGATGGGCGACCCCCTCTGGTTTGTTTCATACATGGAGGTGCATGGAGAAGGTGGGGTTTCCCCTCCGCGGATGATCTCATTCCTTACCGTACTTCCTCTTTAGCGAAGATAAGCTCGATCATGTCGGGTTGGCTCATAAACTCGCGAGTTTCACTGGATACGCAGTGGCAATCCCCAATTACCGCCTGTCCCCTCGTGAAACGACGGAGGACAATGCAATCCATCATCCCAATCACGCAAAAGATGTTCTACGCTTTCTTGAATTTGTTACCACCTGGGGAGGCCCGCATGGTACTAGTGTCTATGACTCAAACAGATTGTGTTTGATGGGACATAGCTGTGGTGCTCATATACTGTCATCGATCTTCCTCGAGGCTACCCAAGGCGAGGACCCTTTGCGTCCCTCAGTCGAGCTTCTCGAGAGCACAAAAGCCATAATCATGTCAGAGGGAATATATGACATCGATCTCCTTCTCTCGAGTTTCCCCACTTATAGGACTTGGTTCATTGAGCCTGCATTTGGTCGGCGGAGTACTTACGGGGAAGTTTCAGTCACAAAGATGAATCCGAGGGTGGACCACCCTCACTTGCACTGGTTAATCGTGCATTCCAAAGGGGATACTTTAGTCGATGAAGCTCAGAGCGAAGCAATGTATCAGCATTTACTTCCCAGTGTCCCCCATATCGCGAGGAACTTTGGAGATCTCATAGAAGAGCATAACGACATACTAAAAGCGTCGAATTTGTTAAACTTGTTGGACAATACATTTTAGATAATGTGCCTCCATGTACCTGATAATGCACTCGCAGAACAATATCTAAACCGCCCTTCCTACAGTTTTGCTTTCATCAAACCCTTGAATGCTTCTTCGAGACACAAGGCAGCTCTTTCGCAATCACCTAATGTGCTGTACAGGGGTGCGGGTGTTAAGCGAATCACGTCGGGTCTTCTCTCATCCCCGACAACGCCCATCGCAGACAATGCACCAAAAACCCTGCCCATCACGTCTGAATTAGGTGGCAGAAATAGAAGCGATAACTGTGAACCCCGAGACTCGGGATCACGAGGTGTGATGATGGTGAATCCGGGTTGGCCCTGTCGGGTAGTGCCATCCTTGGCATTCATCTCACCCTGTAATAGGCATTGAGCCGAAACCTCATTGATGGGGACATAAAATCTTGACTTCATGAGTCTCATCTCCAGTTCGGAAGTCAACCGAAGCGATCGCTTGCGCAAGGGACCCATCATGCCGACTTCCTTGAAGATCTGCAAAGAACCCAGAAGCGATACGGTTGCAAGCACCGAGGGATTGGATTGCTGAAATCCTTGCGCGCCAGGGATAGCTGAAAACCGAGGAGGCATGGCAAATCTGGTGGCTGGATCGTGTCCCCACCACCCTGCATACCTGGTAGTAATGCCGATTAGAATCCCCAAAAGAAGCAGTAAATCAGCAAGGTCAATTACGCACTGTGGTAGTAAGCTGTTTTCCCATTTCTCGTGCACGAAAAGCCCACCAATTCCGCCGGGGCCCGAATTAAGATATTTGTATGAGCACCATACAGCGAAATCGACATCCCAGTCGTGAAGTGCCATAGGAACATTTCCGATAGCATGAGCGAGATCCCAGCCGCAAACACATCCCTTTGAAGTAACGAACGAAGTAGTTAACACATGTTTGGCAGGGTGACGTGTGGGGTAATTCAATGTAGCGGATCTTCGCCTGCCTTTTCACGTCATGAGGGGGTGATGAAAATGTACGTAATAACCGAAGAAGAATGGTAGTTGGACAAATTTACCTGTGCCTTGGCTGCAGTGGTGATAGCCTTCATGGGAAACAATTGACCAGTGTAATACTGCACGCCGCTGAAAATCACCAAAGAAATTGAGGGACCTTCTTTGGCGATCAAGTCCATGATGTCGGACTCTCGTAGTGTAAACTCTCCTTGGCGAGGACACATTTCAACTATCGCCTCATTCGGGTCATACCCGTGCAAACGAGCCTGGGAAGCAAATGCGTACTATGCCGCATGTAAGAAATAGAGGAAGGAGTAAAATGCCAACCACTAACCTGATCCGAGGGAAATGCCCTGCCTTCACATAGAATCTTGAAACGTTGAGCAGTAGGTTTGTAAAATGCGGCCATCATCAGATGCAGGTTCGCAGTCAGAGTGCCCATGCACGCCACCTCCTTCTCTGAGGCACCTACATCAGGTACCGCATCAGAACTTCTCGATTCTCTGCAAAGCGTGACAATTAATAGTTACTTACCCACCAATTCAGCAAGTAGGGGGGTGACTGTATCGGCAATGTTCATCCACTGGCGGCCATAAGGGTGCGCAAAATGTCCTTCGACGGCTCTAATATTTTTTGTACCCAAGAAATGTCATGAAACAAACGGCTATCACGATAAGGGACGGTTCGTGGCCTCAGGGATGCGCGGCACGTACCGTGTCCCCCAAATATCTAACTCCTCCTGCAGAAGAGCCTTGGACCGTTTGTTTAATGGACCAAGAGAGTTCCCGCAAAGATAAGTGCATCTCTGATCAGCTGGAAGAACCTTGAGCAATCTGAGCAGTTACGTAAAGAAGTTCTTCACCATTTTCTTCTGGTAATTTTGCTCCAATATCCCTATTCGATGGGAGGATAAACTCCCTAGAGAGCATAACGTTAAGGTCACACCATTGCGGAGGCATCTGAGCTGCCGACAGCGTAAGTAGTACTGGTACTGAACAACTCGTCAACGGGTCGGATCAGGGTCGGGTAAAGAGCTGATCTAAGATCTTATATAAATTTCATTACTTCCATTTTTAGATGACTAGATTAATGTGAGCACTTCACTGTGCATGTGGCACTCGGTCACCAAGCGACTTGTTCATAGTCAGCCACGATGAGCGACAACATCACTCCCCGTAAAGTGGTTATTGTCGGTGCAGGTCCAGTAGGATGTCTTGCGGCGATTGCCTTTGCCAAGATGAAATGGCAAGTCGAGATCTACGAAGCGAGGCCAGGTAAAGCAGGACAATGTCAATGTTCTCGTCACGCAATGTCTTGATTTTTTTTCCAGATTTACGGCTATCATCTTCGAAAGCAGCTGCTCAACAGCGATCTATCAATCTAGCCATTTCATCACGTGGCATCGCCGCTCTACGAGCTGTTGATGCCTCTGCAGCTGAGAGGTTTTTGCAGGCTGTCATCCCCATGCGTGGGCGGATGATACATGACAGACATGGAAATTTACAAAGTCAACTGTATGACAGGGACGGTCAGGTATGTTTGTCTCACTCCTCAATCGCACGGTCCCTGTATTTTGCCACGGCTGTGCCAAGTATATCAACATTGTTCCCTGTTTGCTCATTTTCTTAGTGCATCAATTCTATAGACCGCGCTCTTCTTAACGTAGAGCTGTTGGAGGAGGCTTCGGCAGTGCCGAACATCCGTTTGACCTTCAAGCATAAGGTTCTTTCAGCTGATTTCGACCAAAAAGTGCTGTTCCTTCGGGATGGCGATTCGGAAACGGATATCCGAGTCAATTTCGACCTGTGTATCGGTGCAGATGGGAGTTATTCTATCATAAGGAGACAGTTGATGAGGGTTGTGAGGTTGGTAGACAAGTTTCTGCTCTCAAGATATGATTCCAGTGTGCTGATATTGATGCTTCTGCAAAGAATGAATTTTCAGCAAGAATATATTCCTCATGAGTATATTGAACTTAAAATGCCGGCAGGACACGACGAGCACGGCAATCCTGCCTTCCTCCTTGATCCGAATCATCTCCACATATGGCCTCGCCACTCCTTCATGCTCATCGCCCTGCCAAACAAAGTAATCACGCCGCAGCTTCTATGTGCTTCCCACCTAACAACATTCAATTTCAGGATAAGACATTCACTTGCACCCTCTTCGCGCCCACCGTCGAGTTTGATCGTTTGATCACTCGCGAAGACATCCTGTTGTGGTTCCAGAATCATTTTCCGGATGCACTGTCGCTACTTGGCGAAGACAAATTGTTGAAAGATTTTGAGCAAAACCCCCGTAGCCCCCTGATTACTACGAAGGTACCTCCCTTTCGTATTTCACACGAACACCAATTGAAAGCTAATTGCCGCCATTGGTGGGGGTAGTTGACGCCTTATCATTACAAAGATCGGTGTGTAATTCTCGGCGACGCCGCCCACTCAATGGTGCCCTTTTATGGCCAAGGGCTTAACTGCGGTCTCGAAGACGTTCGAGTGTTGCTCACGTTGCTGCAAGAAGAATGCGTTGTCCCTAGCAGAACTATACCCAATTCGGGAGACCCTGAATCTGATTCCATAGACCAGAGGCTATTCAAAGCATTGTCTCGTTATTCTGCAAGTAGGCACGAAGATGTCGTTGCCATATGTGAACTTGCAATGGACAATTAGTAAGTAAAGTCACTTGTGATACGTTGCTAGTTGTCATTGATTTGGTCGCGTATCAGCGTTGAAATGCGCCACTCCGTAACAACGCCTGCCTACATCATGAAAAAAGCGCTCGACCACCTTTTGTTCTCATTAACAACTCATGGCACCACGTTTCTTTCGTCTTTGGGTGACTCATTGTCTCGCGTTGCCTTTCCGACTACCAATCCTCACGGTTGGCTGCCTCTCTACACCATGGTTACATTCCGTCCCGATATTAGCTATGCTACCGCGAGAAAGAAAGCGGCACGACAAGCCATCATCCTCACCACCATAGCAAGACTTGGAACTGTTGGCATGTGTGCTACTGGCTTCTACCTTACGTTGAGAGCCTTACGTTGGATGCGAAGTCAAAGATGATATCCTGGCTGTTGTGAATTATTGGACCTCGTGTAATGCAAATATTAGACCGAAGCTCTTATTTAAAATCTAGAAATTTTTGCGGTCTCGAGCGCAAAGCATTTGAGCGGTGATTAATTTGGCATTCCGACCATGGAATTAACTCGCAGAAAAGAATATTGGGAGCGCGTGCTCGTTCTGACCCGATTCGTCCAAAGGAGAATGCCAGCTTTCGAGTCGACCCGAAATCCTTTGCGTTCACATGCAGACAAATATAAGTAGGGACGTGTGTACAGTGATCTGTGGCAGGGATTACATGACCTCCGGTTAAAGTGACATTATATAGTCTAGATATTGTGGGCCCTAGTAAAATCATAAAAGCAAGAAATTGGTACTAATCATGTCAAGCGTGAAAAAGAGCGCAGGAAAGCGATAGATCTGGAACGTGCAGATACGAACGAGAGCAGAGAAAATTACACAAAGCAGGGAGACAGAAACGGAGGACGTTAGCGTCTCAGGTCTTCTTCGGTGGCCGACCCCGCTTTTTCTTTGTACCTGATTCTCCAGCAGCATCAGGTGCAGGCTCTGAGGCTGCGTCGGGTACTGTCTCCAATTTTGTCTTGGGCGGACGACCGCGCCTGCGTTTGGCAGACGGTTCGCCATCAGCAGCTTCCTCCTTCTTCTCCTAGTACTATGTGAGCGCATGCAGAAAGGGTAGGAACGGGATATGCACCTTCGGAGGCCTTCCGCGTTTCCTCTTAGCACCAGCCTCTGCTGTTGCTGAGGTGGCGGACGTTCCCCCTGACTTCTTGTTCTTGCTTCCCTTAGGACGGCCACGTCCCCTTTTGGGAGCAGGAGGATCGCTAGCGTCTGCCGCGCCTGGACATGGTGGAAATGAGACGCATTTGACAAGCTAAGCTGCTTCTAACTGACAACGATAAAGTAACGGGTAACTCACCCTCAGTCTCTTCGACTGGCGGTTCCTCTTCGAATTCCTCCTGAGATTTATCGCGTGCTTCCTCTTGCTGGGGTGAGGCAGACATCTTGGACGTCTTGACACCGGGTGTATAGATCAGAGCAGGGAGCGACTGTATGCAGGAAAGAACGTCCGCGTCGAGGTGAAGGAAGGAAAGACGGGGAAAGGGTGTGTGCCCTTGTTTTATCGAATATTCCCCCTACCGAATATAGTGAGCATATATTGTTTCCCTCGCGTGGAATCTGGACCAAAAGTGGGTTATATTTATTATATCGATCAGCATCTTCTGTGCATTTGCCCCTGATATTCGGGGACATATACGTACGTAAATGGATGACTGAAGATTAGAGAAAATTCATTATTACAGAGAGGAATGAAGACACTCTCAGGGAGATTGCCACCGCCTGACAGCGATGCGGTTGTCGCTCGACTGTTGATCGTTGTTGACACAACGTGGTTTATTCCAGTACTAGCAACAAATTAATATATCGATTTATTGTGAATATGTCATGAATATGTTATGCCTTTATGTTAGCCATATGTACTTATGTCGGACATTTTTCTCCGTACACCCAGAGTCATCTTCGAGTTTTAAGGATACATAATACTTTTGACGGAATATAGCCATTCAGGCCGCCGATCGGCGATTCGCGGTTTAAAGCGCCACTCAGGGGTCGAATCCATGGCATCAGAACGGAGAAAAAGAAATATCGACGAGTGCAGATAATATTCTAGCATTTTTGTTTCTGGAGCAGCGGGAACTTCCCAGCATGAATGGACGGGCCGCGGAGTCAGTTCGGTCGCCGATATAATTAGACATTTCTCACGGTACATGGTAAGTATGCTGAGGAAGAGTCAATTTCGCTCTATACGTCACAATTAGCATGCAACCTCCTCGAGCTATCACTTTCACTCTGTTTTATAGTATTTCCTTAGTCCAGGCAAGGCTACTTTATTCTGGTCCAGAAGACCTCTATGCCTTCCCGAAGCATCGTGTAACGTTTCTGAATAATCTTCCAGTCCAGAACGAAACAGCTCAACACTGGCTTAACGAGGGACTACGGGGCGGTGAAAGCGAATTTTTAAATGACCGGTGGGATGAGTCTGCGTGGTTTTCCAATGCGGTATACAAGGAGATAGGTAGCTCTGAGCTGGAAATGTCAAATGACGCTTCGCAAATCTGTATGTCCCCTCGTGTTCAATTGTACTCGATTTAATCACAATCATTTTCGGATCTAGCACAGTCTCCGATACCAGATAATTCTGGATATATGTTAAATCATATGAAAATGGGACCACACAACGAGTTTATTTGTCTGGTTCCCCCAGCTCGTGATACTCCAATACAAGTACAGGAGAATATTGACCAAGATGCAGTCCTACGCAATGGCTGGGCACTGCTGGAACCTTTATCTGGAAAATGCCTTTATGTGCGATATTTAACTTGTTATTTTTCTAACATGCCGCTCAAATATGTCTTATAGTACCGGCAACCGTGGTTCACTTATTCATACTGCCACAATCAAGAAATCAGACAGTTCAAGGAACTCGCTCACACGCAGCCTCGCTCAGCAGGTAATATCCTTCCCATTTGGTGGTGTATGATTCACTCACACGTATACAGGAACTAATGAACCCACTGAGGATCCAGAAGTATGTGTCATATTATCTGATTAATGCTTTTTAAATGATTGCCTAGTGGGAAGCGTTTACTTTAGGACGTGCCCCCTCTGCACAGGATCCAGGAGCGGACATAGCCGTCACGGATCGGCACGCCCAGGGCGGACACCTTGAAGTTGCTCATGGTCCAGGCTCTCGTTATCTTGTACAACGGTGGGGTGATGGCACATTCTGTGATAAGACGGGAAAACCTCGCGAAGTTGAAGTTCAGGTAATGTTATTTCAATTTTTTTCCCTAACGCGCTCAAAATATTAGTATAGTTTCATTGCTCGATGACGATGGCAGATTCTATCCTTCTCGTACGAGAAGCAAAGACTTGTTCCTACGTGCTAATCGTACAAACTCCACGTCTATGCGGAGAACCTGGATTCAAATCGCAAATGGAATTGCCAGAGCAGACCTTTATCCGCTGTCGGCAAATCGTCAACCCTTCACTGGACTCTAGTCCCCAAACCGCCCATCTCGAACAGCGAAAACCTGACGGCCATCAAATACCACAAGATTCTGACCTACCTTCATATCTGAACCGTGAAACGCGTTTCGCCGTACCATCCCCCGCAGCTAAGAGTGCCCTGGGTCCCGGCGGAGGTCAAAGTGAAGACCTGTTGGATGGGATATTGAAACGCGCGCTAGAAGCATTGGTGAATATTCCGGAGCTTCAATCCTCGTCGGGCGAAAACCCTCAGGTCATATTAGGGCGCGGCCAAAACGGCGAGATTGTAATCGAGATTCTGGAAGAGATTCCGGTTGATGACCACGGAGAGTCTGATTTACAGGAAAGGAATATGGACAACTACGCTCATATAGCAGAAATCGTTCGAAAGGCCGGTTACCAGTTGAATGAAGCGAAGGACGAGAAGGAACAAGAGGATGATGAGGTCAGGGATGGCCAAAGGGAAGAATCAGAAAAGTTTCCCGAAAGGAAAGACGAGCTCTGAGGTGGGCAGGCATCTTACTGTTGGTTTAAGCAGCTCGTTAATTTCGCTTCTGCACTAGGCTCGAGATCTGATCGTTTTGATACTTTTTCTCTACTTAGAGAGTCTGTGGACTATCGCAGTGTGCTTATATTGGTTGATGTTCCAATTATCACAGCTTTGCCATCTTGCGTCCTACCCGACTCTAATTTGCATCTTATGGCTGGCTAACATGACACCCCCTGAGCCTCGTGTCTTGATGCAACATGCTAGAGACTCATTAGTTATCCACAGTCAGAAATAACATCTCAAGCACTGCTAGGTATGTTTTATTTGAAGTCGCCTCGGACCTTATTCAGTTTAATGTATGTCGTATCTGAAGCCGATCCAATCTTCCAATATCTGAACTCTATTTTCCCACTCACAAGTCCCATCGTTTTGCTGACTACACAACGTCATCAGGGACAGCTGAGTGTTTATCGATACTCATCCGGACAGATCTACGACTGTCACCGGACTTTCCGGTGTCAATTGCAAGCGCTGCCCTGGCATCTTGAGGATATTTCGGAATATAGAGAGTCCTGAATGATACAGCGAATAAGAATTTCAACACAGCTTCCACGGATCTCTGGCACACCATCGCATTATTATTATTTCCCAACCCCAAAAATTTAGCCAAAACTCACGTCGAATCGCACCAATCAAATTGCTTGGGTCGTCCACACCAGGTTCGTCGTCCTCTGCTTTTCTGCTGTTACCAAGCCTGAATCTTCGCGGCAAACAGGCGTGGTATCGAAGCTTCCTTCGATTTGATCGATAATCGAGGCGCTTATCGCCGCTGTCTCTAAAAGTCGGATCGCGCGTTCTCTGCATAACCTTGCATAATTCCTACAAGTTGAGTTTGCGCCCTCTGCAAGATTCGAAAGAATTTAATTGTAGCTTCATCAGGTGCGATCTTATGCAATTTCCCCCTGATTATCTCTTTCTCGTGCTCCTAGACTCTTCGAAATTCAGCGGCGTTTATTTACTGGATCCAATTATTGTCAGGTGGCGACCACTTTGAGTTCATTCAATCCATCAACATCCAAGAGCATGCGCTTTTTGACGGCGGTACGCCTAATTTCCAATCTCTCTCCGTCGTGGACTTTATTATTATTATTATTTTCCGCTGAAACGTTCTTGATTATTTGATGGTTGTGCCATATGCATCGCGAGCATCAGCATGCGTTTTCGTGATGCTTTCCATTTCCGCCAGGATATTGTTCGACCCTTCAGCACGAGCCCATCGCCAACTGAGGGAACCTGAAGGTAATGGTCTGATCCGATGTATCTTAGTAACCACCTGATCATCCTCCATTCCGTGTTGAAAGCGCCTAGACCAGGTTGCAGTGGCACTCCGCCAGAGCACAGTCTTAGTCGTGTGATCCTCCACTCTCACCTGCAGGACACTAGTGACAACTTTCATACGAAACGGCAGGATCACCGAAAACGATCAAGATAGCTTATCGCAAATCTGCCGCAGCTTCCGCCGGCAGAGACTTTGTGAGCGACCGGAAAAAAATACTTCAACGATGCCGATGGGTACGACTTTTGCTCAAAATAGTTTTACTGTCGACGGCAACGCCACGTTCTGCACCCGTCGGTACTCATCCTCTCCGAGATATATTTGCGTATTTCTTCTATTTATCGTCACTGAGCCCTCGAGGCGAATTTCAACCGTGCCACTCGTGAATATCATGTGTTTTTCCATCTCAGGATCTCGTGGATGCGCAGTACGAACGACGATTATCCGATTATTGTCTTACCCAGCACCTGATAGATAACAAGGGTGCCCACCCACCTCTCCCTGGCACAGACCCTAGACGGAACCAACCCCGAGTTTCTATACACGGCGACATTACCACACCCTCGGCGTCCCCGTCCCGATTTACCTTCTCGACCTCCTTGCAAAGTCCCATAAAGTTCAAGGGTATCTCCCGACCACAAATTCAGAATATATTTATTATAATTCAGGGGGGATTTTAACGCGTCTGCATGGCACACCCTCTTCGAATCCATACTTCAAATATCTTCCCACGCGATATAATCCATAATCGTCGTATTAAAATATTACCCTTCCGTTCTATCAAGCGAAAAGCATACCACACATTTGTAGGCGTAAAGCAACAAAGTTTAGAAAGACGAACAAATGAAATGAAATTTAATCAAAAGACGAGAACACATCAGAATGAAAAAGACGACCAGATAAAAAAAGATAGCGAATGGACTAGGTTAGGTAGACGAGAATAAGATACCTGATAGGCGTAGGGTCGTATCATGTGCCCGCGGGGGACATTATAAAAAGGAGAAATAGAATGGGAATGAACGTTGTGAATGATCTTTTTAGTGTCCGCTGTATGTACCGAACCGCGTGCTAGGTGTTGTGTTGTATATACATGCGAGGGAAGATGAGGTGCATATAGATCGAGATGGATGGGAAGATCTTTAAGGATGGGTGGGTTGGGAAGGCGTTGATGGTCAAGGTGAATGGGTGACCGAGGGGAATCAGATGAAATATTACATAGTAAGCGAGTCGGAATAAAATTGAATGATAGTGGCGCACGCCATGGTTGTGGAGCGTGAAATGGATGCAAGAGTGCCACTAGAACCAAGACATGAGGATTGTGAGCTGCGGATATAGTACATAACGAGCGAGGCAAAGGTGGATGATGATCGATGTGAAGGTAGAGGATGATCAGGGTGATGGTGGATGATGAAGCGAAGGTGAATGATGATCGATGTGAAGGTAGAGGATGATCAGGTGATGGTGCATGATGACTGTGCCGTCAATATGAAAGAGGGTAAAAGCACATGAATGGCATCAGAGCGGCGTCGATCCGAGGTAAACACAGCTAGCTCCATACGCACAGCCAGAACAAGCACGACACCCTCAAGTGTAATGCCAGCCCGCCTCCCAACTCAGAAAAACCTCTTCTTGAAACTCTTTTCCTCGTTCTGGATCCTCACATGCACGTGCTTGGGCGCACCGCTCTCCGTGCACGTTTCGATACTCCGCACCCACTCGTCCCCGTCCGCATCATCCTCCGCATCATCCTCATCCTCATTATCGCCCTGTTCCGTGTCAGATTCGTACTCCCCATCCTCGCAACCACATTCATCCCCCTCCGCCAGCGCAATGATCCCACCTGCATCTCGTCGACCCCATAGTAGCTCGCCCATGGTCGTACGCAGCTTAGGGTCCACGCACAGCATCCGTCGTAGCGCAGGTCGCGTTTCGCGCGGTAGCAGCCGGAATATCGAGTTTGGCGATGTCGTCGACGATGTACGAGGTCGTTTGCCAGGTGGTGTTATCGTGCGCTTTGACGACGACGGTTGAGCGGTGTGTGGAGGTGATGATGATGAAGCAGTAGCTGCCACGGAAGACTCAGGTATTGACGGTGCTGTTGTACCATTGGCTTGTACACCGTTGGCCTTCATCCCTAGGGCCTCCCGTGCGAAATCCCGTTCTTTAGGGGTCTTTCCCCGCCTATTGATGGCATCCTTTATCTCCTCCACGTTGTCTGCCCTTAGCGCAGGTAAACTCTCCGTCGAAACTCCAGGGCGCGCAAATACCAACACGCTCTTATCTACTTCCCCGCCCTCAGGAAGGACCGCACACTGCGAACTCGACATCGCAGGCAGTGTCGCCGTCCTTGTACCAGGACTAGGCAATCCCAACTCAATCGCACGCCGGCGTGGTGAGGTCTCGCTCCCTGCATCACTGCCAGTCGGTGACGACAACGTGAGGGTGCTCGCCGTAGCGGTGTACACCGACGCATTCGACAGCACCGACTTGCTATCGTCGAGAGGCTTGGAGCCGTCGGCATGGATACTCGGGACATCCAGGGACGTGCTCCGCGGGTCTTGAGTGGAGTCAGGACTCTCTGGGGCGCTTGTGGCGGGGGGATCTAAGGACACAGGTTTTGCGCCACTTGAACGCTTGTGTTTACGTTTGGATTTAGGGTGCGGACACTGGGCAAGAAGCTTCGGCCTCGATAAATGCTTTGAATGAGTTGTCACGTTCGCGATCAGGGACTGCCCATGGGAAGCGGCGGAGGACCATACAGACCTGTTGAAACTTTGTTAGCTTCTGCGAGAGAACTTTTTCATGTGGCGCAACTGTCGATCCGGATGGATAGAGCGGCCTAGATAGGGTTCATGGCAATGCCGGGGCGACTGTCCTCGGTTTTGGTCGAGAACACGACGCATGTGAAAAAGACCGCGGATCATCCATCCAACCATCCATTCATCCAGAGGCATTTCGCCCTCAAGCAAATACCAAACCATAAAAGCAGGCAAGAGGAACGACTACTCACAAAAATGACGCCCACGCTCCATACATCGGTTTTTCGGGGATCATAGGAGCCGCCTCCCAGGACTTCAGGCGCGAGGTACGGATCGCTACCAACTATACCCGAGGCAGGTATCAATCTTGCATGGGAGTGCGGACCCGATGGTGGGTCATTGGGATGTGGGGGTTGCGAAGGGCAAGGGGGATTGAGGGCGCCACTGACATATCCTGTAACTGCAGCCGGTAGCGAGCCGTTGGAAGTTCCGGTTCCAGGATAAGCAAAGACGACGGCGGTTCCGAAATCAATGAGTTTAACGACGTCGCTCTGTGTCATGACGCAGTTATCGAGCTTTAGATCTCTATGTGCTAGACCTAGAGAGTGAAGGTATGCGACACCGTTGCAGATCTGACGAAAGACGCAGAATATTTCTGGACGTAACATGCGGCCAGACATTACGACACTGAAGAGGTCGTAGGGAGCGTACTCCATGACCTGTTGGGGGTGAGGGGGTGGAAGTTGTTGTGAATGAGTGATAATCTGACCTCATAGTAATGGCCATGATCGCAGACGATGTCGACTGTTTCGATGACGTTGATGTGCTTTAAACAGGCGCCAACGCAGAATTCAGCTCTGACTTTGTTCTCGTACTCACGCTCGGATTCACCGGAACGTCTTGGGCGAAATTGCTTGACGGCATAGACGGCACCTCCTGCTTTAGTTCGTGCACGAATGAGGCGAACGGTGCCACCTGCGCCGGTACCGAGTACACGGCCCCACTTGCCATACTTTTTCGATAGATGTGCGTGAGTGGCTTCGGAGAGGGAGAGAATTGGAACAGTAGAGGGAGTGTCTGGAGGAGTCGGTGATGGACGTTTAGACGATAGAGATGTTGAGGGAGGAGAGGATTTTTGAGGGGAAGATTTGTCCTTGTCGCGGTTGCGGACCTTGTGTATGAAGCTGAAGGGGGAGGACTTGTGGGTTGTTATTATGGGAACTGCGTGGATTACGGTATTTGTGTCGAAATCGTCACCCCTTCGCTGATCTGCAGGCTGAATTTGTAGTTCTGAAGGTGTATTGGATGATGAAGCGTTCGAGGATGGTGAAGCGCTGGAAGAGGCAGAAAGAGGGTGAGGATGAGGGATATGGTGGTTGAGAAATCGCTTGAGATCATGAAGGGGGCCATGTTTTGGAGGTGAAGGCGTGCCTGAAGACTCCTGCTTGAGAGCGGTTGAAGATGACTTTCGGGGAAAGCGGAAACGTGACTGCGTTGCGGTCTCGGGAGGCTGAAAGCGAGCAAAAGGGAGTTAGTGGAGTTAAAAGATGGGAATTGAACTGACCTTATTTGCAAGACGACCATTGCGGTCGATATCTGGGACAGCGAGGAGAGATGGAGGACTAGTTTGATGGTCGTTGTCGCGGTTGTCACAATCTGGACTACTAGGTGGAGAAGGGTCATGACCAGGAATAGATATTTGCTGCATTGGAATTGCTGAGAGCATCGTGGGCGACGACAACGGCGACTTATTTGACGACGAGGACGACGGAGACGACGAAGATGATGATAGTGATGATGGTTGAAGAGTGTATAAGTAATTGAAAAGTTGAAGACTAAAACTATATCGCGTCAGAAAACCCACAGGCCCACCGATCTCGGACCGATCCCGGCATCCACTCGGCATATGCTTACAAATCAAAGAAATTACGTACAGCTTTTCACTAGACCTAGTTTCAAACTTCCTGTGAGTCTTGGGTTAACCTCACTCTCAGGCTTAGGCTTCTAGGCGCTGCCAAGATACCAGCCGAAGCTGGCTTGGAATCCATTCTATGATCCGGTTCGAGGCAGATTATCGAAGTCTCTTTGTTACGGTACTCCCCGAGCTTGCAAACCCCATTACTGGCACTCGGACATCACTGCCTGCACTAGTGCGGCTCTATTACTAGCCTCGTTAATACTCGGCGTACTCTATTCATAACCGAACGCCACGCGAAAGTGTATATATCACGTTGTCGAGATCAATGAAGGTGCTTATGAGTCTGCGCTTTCTGCATAGTGACCTCGCTCGACGCGACATAGCTTACTGTATCTCCCCGTATCCTTCGGTCGCGTTATTCAGCAAAACGCGATCGACATCCAAGGCGGCATCCAAGCCAAAACAGGCAAGAACATGAAAGTACTTTCTCACGCCCGAGGACTTGTCACGCTTGGCATGTCCACCCAATAACCCACCTCCATCATGATGTCTTCCTTTGAGCTCCTTGCTTCTTGGCTCAATATTATGGCTGATATCTACTCCAAGACAGTCCAAGTCTCCCTCTTGGCATATGAACCTCACCAGCCAATCGGTGTTTCGGCGTTATTATCCTGCGTATCACTAGCTTAGCACGCGCGTGGAGTACGGGTCAGCGCTCCTGTCTGGTAGCTTATCCCCGTAGCAACTGACAGTATGTAATGTACTACTCACCGGAGCGGACGACCATTTTCCCGAAAAATCCTCATGGGTCCATGTGACAAAGTACCCCTGCAGCACGCGCGCTCGACTAACGTAGCACAAGGTAGCAGTGCTTTGACTAGTCCAGTCACACCATTATAGTTAGACCCAACCACACACTCGTTTCGCCTCATTGGCAGCACTGCAAAATTCCAATCCATTATTCGCCGGTATACATTTAAGCCTGGCCTCGGATCAGCTATCGTTATCAGCGACCTCACTTTACACGTTAGTCCTAGTCTCAACCAACATCATCAGCATCTCGCTTCCTCTTCATCTCTCGTGAAACCTTGTGCTGTGCCGATTCGTGCTTTGCGAGTTCTGGCGAGACTTTGGACACGGGGCTCTTGGATATTTCTGCGTGAGAGGGTAGTTAGTAAATATGAACGAACGTTGGGTGTCGGAATAGGAATGCAAATATAAACAAAACTAGACACTAGCGTTGAACGACAGCAGAAAAACCCTGATAAAGAAGCTACACACGCACAACGCCACCTGACAGATGACACAAGACAAAAGGGTCAAGTTCGACAAGAAAATCACAGAAATAACCTTCCACTAACTGATGATAGACCAAGTGGGGACATCGATAAACATATCAAACATGATAACACTTGGTAAAAAGAGAAATCGCCGAGAAGAAGAAAAGGAACATTGCGGAGACAGCCAGCCATACGATTGATAACGATAGAACCAGAATAAAAAGGCAGCGTTCGTGGCAGCGGAACCAAAAGCGTATGAGAATGGAAAAAAGGTCGTACCTTGTTTGAGATCGTACCTATAGAAGCAAATAATCAGCCGTGTTCCGAGTTCAGAGAAGTAAAAGAAATTCCGGGTCAGGTAGCTATCGGTCTGCTCCCCGAAGGAAGATCCAGCAAATGCGGCAAGAACACGACCACAAAAATTGGGATAGATACGTACATGACTTCGTCGTCATCATTTGTCAAGAAAGTGATCGCCGTACCCTGTTTGCCCGCACGACCCGTACGACCTGCGCCATTGATATTATTGTAAAATCACTTAAAAACCTAGATAAGGGAGATGCCCTACCGATACGATGTACGTATGCCTCGATGGTACCTGCCATCTGGTAGTTGATGACAAGACTGACATCCTGGACATCAATACCACGTCCAGCAAGATCCGTGGCAACAAGGATGTCGGAGTCGCCAGAACGTAATGACTGTAGGGAAGCCTCACGCTGTTCTTGCGTTTTTCCAGAGTGTAGCGTCGCAGCAGACCACTAAATCAAAGTGAGATCAGCGACCAACTTTGAAACGACAACAACATACCCCAGCACGCGAGAGATCCTTTGCAACCATGTCTGCCGTTTTCTTTTGGTTGACAAAGACAATGATCGGTGATGGATACTGGCCACTGTTGAGAATCTCCAGCATCAATTGCCTGTAAATATGCATGATTAGTGCCGCAAAGACATGTACAAATGAGACAAACTTCTTCTTTTCGTCTCCATTGACAAATTCGACTCTCTGGACGACGGTATCAACCGCACGACCAGCCTCACCGATAGTGATGGTAGCAGGTCTCTTGAGATATTTCCTTGCAAGCCGTTCGACAGCAGGCGGCATGGTCGCACTAAATAGGGTTGTTACCCGAGTGCGACCCTTCTTCACTTCCTCGCCGTCGACGTCCATTGCCCCAGTATCCTCGCCTACCATCGTCTCGCTTGGGAGCTTGTCAAGGATGAACAACAAGTCCGTTTCAAACCCGAGGTGCACCATGCGGTCTGCTTCATCCATGACGATGTAACGACATTGAGAAAGTACGAGTACATGCCGCTCTAGAACGTCTTTCAGACGTCCAGGCGTAGCGATAATGATCTCGGCTCCTTCACGGAGGTTGAATTGTTGTTCTTCAACTGCGCGCTGAATATACAACAATGAGTACAAACTCCGAGACTTGAGAGAGGAGTAGGATGACGTACACCACCGACTATAGATACACAAGTGAAGCCCAGTGGTGATGCAAACTTGCGTGCCTCAGCCTCAATTTGCTGGGCAAGCTCACGCGTAGGGGCAAGGATGAGTGCATAGGGACCGAGGTGGCGGTTCTCGTCTGTGAAAAGTGGCATGTTGGAAATGAAGGTGAGCATAGGGATGACGAAGGCTGCAGTTTTTCCGGAACCTGTCGGGATGTTAGTACATGAGGAGAGTAGACAGGGAAATGATGTACCTGTCTCTGCAATACCTATGATATCGCGGTTCTGCAGTCCGATGGGAATTGCTTGTCGTTGGATGGCGGAGGGTTCTTTGTAACCAATCTTGTCGATGACATTCAATATCTTCTGTGGGATCTGTGACTCTGTCCATGAACGCAGGGGGTGAGGTATCGAACCACCTTGAGATTATCGTCAGAGCCCGCGACCAACACGCATGGACAAGCAGACATACCTCGAGCAGCAATACTAAAGTCCTCCCTGAATATCCGCCAGTCACGCTCCCTCATCTCTTCCAACGGCTTCTCCGACCAATGCCTCTCATCAAGACCACTCTTCGCTGCCATCCTTCTCTCCATTGCGTCAGCCAAGTTGGCAGTGGCAGCCCCTCGACCAATTCTCTCGCCACCACCGTCGTCAAATCCACCAACGTGACCACGACCAAACATCACCTGCGCACCCTGACGGTTCACACCAACAGCAACAGGAGAATCGCTCGAGAATGTGTCTTCCTCCACATTCCAGTCAAAGACGAATTTCCGGTCATTCATTTTGCGGATCTTGCGCTTTTTGGTGTTTACACCAAGATAGCGATCACGTACAGCACTGAGATCGCTCTCGGTCATGGGAGGTACATAGGATGTGCTGGGCTCCGAAAGAGGGTCATTCCCATTCGCATTACTGGTGCTATTAGCATTGCTAATGGGTGCAGGGGATGCGCTGGAGGAGACAGGACCGGAAGGCGGGTTTGAGTTTTTGAGACGGTCGGCCCTTGGACCTGTTGGAGCATTTGGTATGTGTTTCGATGGTGGGGGCTGCGCACGACGGTCATCCGGAGGTGGTCCACCTCCTCGACCTCTCCGTCCGTGTCCGTGTCCGTGTCCGTGCCCATGTCGGGTATCCTTTTCGGGATGTCCATATCTTGACTCTCTATCATCATCTGTTAGCACATAATCAATACGGGTCGCTCGGAATGAGAGGAAATCATACGTCGAGCAGGAGCACTGCTATATCTAGCAGCACGCTCCCTTTCTTGCTCCCGCTGCCTTACTTCCTCAGCTTCACGTTCTAGAACTTCACGGTCCGCTCGTGACTTCTCACTGCGTTCCCGTTGCTCTTTGAGCTCTGCAGCACGCTTGGCAATAGCTATCTTTGCACGCTCTTCTTTTGAGAGGAATTTAGGCTGTACATGAAGTTAATAATCAGCATTTCTCGTTCGTAACATGACCAGACCCACTTTTGCAGCAGCCTCACGCTCCTCCTTCTGTCTCTGTAGCAAGGACTCTATCGAAAGTGGTTCTGATCGTGCTGCCATCCTAAGTAGTGCTCCTAGCAGGTGAACTAAACGACCGGGGGTGCGTTCGTCACTGTAATTGAAAAGAAGCGTTAGGGTTCCGAATCGGGCGATGGAGCTCATTGTCGGGGCACGTGCGGCACGATGAGCACGCGCTCATCTATTTCAGTGATTTGATCCAAGTATCAATCTACCATCGAGCTCTAGCTCGAACAGCGAGCACAAGGATGGCGCCTAACGATATTGACTCGCGTATGCAGTCACCTCGCCCGGAGACGCCCGAGCCATCATCCAGGCAGGGCAGGCGAAACGCTCAGCTTGATGCTCAGTTGCTTGACGCTGACGGTGCCATTTCTGATAAAGTATGTTCTCACTCGCATTCTGACGTTGTATGTCGGTGCTGATCGATATGCATGGCTTGTGCAGCTCGAACGCTGTCTTCGTCATATTTTCGCCAAGTATTGCACGCCGTGCCCGGCGCGTCCTCCAAAACAAGACTCTACGATTCTCCTCACGCCTCCTGATGACGCGATTCTTGACGCCGCAGGGCTAGACGCGTGGGCACAAGACACGAATGGCGCACCGTTTAGTGAAGAGACCAAAGAGGAGCTCAGAGAGTTTCTGGACGTCACTGAAGAAGGCGAGCTGACGTGTGTGACGTCCCATTCTTTCATCTTTCCTGCTTTTCTAGCATACCTACGTGTAGTTGTGTCAACCTTCTTGGTGCTGATTCTTGCATTTTTCTGTAGGTTTAAAGGCTTCGCGCAGATATATCAGCTACAGACAGAGAGTGACGAGGAAGAAACATGGAGAGATCTGGTACGTGCACTGATTTCTCCAACTTTTCTTTCTTATGCCCATCTTCTTTGTTCCCTCAATGCCAACAATCTTTTGGTTTTGTTTCATTCGCATCCTGTTTTCATCCTCTCGGATCTTTCATCTTGGCCACTCTGCGTGAAGGGATAGAATCGACTCAACCTTGCGTTCTCAGTCAAACCACGGATTTGATCGTACCCTCACCCTTGTTTCAACGCGTCGGGAGGAAGAGGCTGAGAGCAGTCATACACCTCTTTTCATGTCATGTGCGTCGGGTTGCTTAATCTCCATCTTGACGTGAATACCAATCACTTCTCACGTAGGATGATACCACAAAAACGTGTACAACCTTTATACATTATGAACATACCAACCACCGACCAGCCATGACTTTACGATGCCCATTACTTGATTGCTTATCTAGCTGGAGATATCCTCCATATCCACGACCTCTATGATCTTTCGAACATTCCATATCCTAACCCGTGACCTGCTGGATGATGTTCACATACTAGATTTAATCATATCTAGCATCTGCTGGTCTTCATTCTAACTGAGTAAGGAAGCTTTTATGTAATAACAAAGGTACTACAAAAAGTTATGGTATCAACTGGATAATCCCGACGCCTGACGCCTCTACGCTCTATATCCTTCATACAACCCACAAGCTCACTATTACTTGACAGCCCCAGTGACCCCATCCCACCTTCCACGCCACACCTCTACGCCCTCCCATTCCCCAGCGTCCCACCCTACACCAACACCGGCACGCCTTAGCCTCTTCTCGGGGACGCGCTGGAACAAAAGTCCCCACTCCTCACTAGCACGTCTAAATGCGGCCGTGACGAATGTTGGGTCGCGCCTCTCAACAGCAAGGTAGATGACCGGAGGCTTGCAGGTTGGAATTCCAGGGGATTTGGAAGGGGGTGCAGGTGGTACTTCGATACCGGAAAGTGAATATGACGGGGAGAGAACGGAAGCAGATGAAAGAGCAGAAAGCGCACGAATCGTCTCGAATAGAGGAGCAACAAGTGCCGTATCATAGATCGTATCGCTCGACACAATCAGATCAAATGGCGGGGCGAGGAAATCGCGGCTGTCACCGCCCCTTGGCAAACCTGAAGGTGCTGGCGATGTGATCGATACAGGATCGTCCCATATCCATCCTGTAGGGTCGACACCCCAGTCCAGTTCACGTACATGGACACGTCCAGGGACGAGATGCGCATTGGCATTGACGTTGGAACGCAGAACGGATGCACAGATTTGCATGGTATCTGTAGCAAGGACATCATATCCCAGAGATGCGAGCGCAAGACTAGAGTTCATGAAGCACCCGCCATATGCGGCAGAATATGCGTTTATGATGGTGAGTGATCCTTTTCACGCTCATTTATGGACAATCAGACGCACGCCATGAGGCCGATCCCGCTGCCCAATTCTACGGCCTTGGGGCGTGCTGTATCGTATAGAACCGAAGCATCATTATCTGTTCCAGTCTCAATGGTCTTCCTGGATTTGCCCTTGAATTCGGCAGATAGGTAGACGGATAGGACTTGGGCACCAAGCCACAAAGCAGTCCCGTTGCTTGCACCGTCATCTCGCTGGACAAGATGGAATGCCACACTATTAAACGGATATGCAAGAACAGGCAGGTGTTTTGTGTGGTGAGCTGGTTGGATATCCGACATGAAGTAATCCAATGCCAAGCAAGTTGTAGGGTAACCGGAAGCAGTAATTCTGTATGACTGAATCTTAGGCCGCAGTTGTGACGCTTAACTTCATCATAGTGGCTCATTTACATTGGCTAGAAATGTCGCTCCAACGGGTGATACTTTAAAAAAAAGAGTGAGACCGTAACTAGACATATCTGACCATCCTTCAGCTGCATCCTCCACGGACTCCTATTCTCACTGTCAGTCAGTGCTACAGTAACGTCACCTCCAACGTTGCTTGCAGGGCACCATCGGAGTCTGTATATATGATATCGCTACAACAGAGTCAGTTCAAGTCGTCACAGGAGGAGAGTCACAAAATACGTTAATTGATAAGATTAATGCGTCGGGAAAACACTTACTTGAACATCAGCCAATCGCCCAACGAAGCAGAGAGGGACCCACAAGTATTGATAGAAGAGTTTGTGCATCTTTGAGATCAGCGTAGTCAGCAGCCGGGGGGGCAATGAAAACCATCAGTGCGATGCCTTTCGAATGACTCGGAACAAACTAAACTTACCCCTCAGGTACAAGAAAATGATCCTTCTTTGGTTCGAAGTGTATCTGCAGATCTGCAGATTTCTCGTTCTGGGCCTTGACCTTAAGTAGAGCTTTTGGACGCGCCGGCAAGCTACCCTTAGCAAGCCCAAGGCCGACGCGCCACCTTGCATCGACACCCATATAGAAGAGCAAGCTCCATATGCGTCCTGCAGAGATTAACACTCATGTGAGGAATGACTTAAGAGGTATGGCTTACATACCTTGTGCAATCAATTCCACGTATATTTCCTGTGCAACACGCATGCGTTTCTGGAACATCATGATCCTGCATTTTGGAAGTGAATTGGTTCTGTATATTTCCTCCATGATACACCTGGATTTCATCTGTCGGATAACCTAAAGATCGAGTCAAACGCCCGTCCTTCCCTAATTAATGTCCAATGATTAATTCTCACTGAGGGCTAAGGATTACCGGTACTCACTATAACGAAAAGCGGATGTCAATTTCAGCGACGTAAACCATGCATGGTTGCTAGTTGCCATACATGCTAGACGTATGTCGTCAAGGGAATCACACGTGTATATGGTGATGAATTTAGAGAAGGCTGAAAGAGCTTCTGGTCGATTATTCACGACTGCCCAATACAAGGGTGTATGACCGGCAATATTGGATTCTTGAAGAAGAGCTGTGAGCTCTGCAGCTGGGAGAGAAGTAGCGCAGGCATCGATAATTGGGCCGACAGAGGAAGGGATGAAATCCGGTGCGGTGACCATATCACGGATGAGAGATAGAACGGTGGTACGTATCTGCTTAGTCTGTTCCTTGGAAAATACAGGTGGCGGTCTGCATTGGACGGAATCTGTTGATATCGAGGACATGGAAACTGCATCGTATGATGGAGGTGCATTAAAATCGGACTTGCCATCATCAAAGAGTTCGAACTTCGTATCCATTGATGAGGTTGGAAGGAGACAATGAAAATAGGGGCTTTCCGACGATCACATGGACATGGCCTACAGCATGTATATGTGAACACAAAGACAAATACTAGACTCGAAAACGACTTTGACCTGACCTACGACGTCCTCAGGTTTCCCTGAAATACAGTAAGTATCGTGCAATTGTGGTTGATATCAATCCTGCCTGTACCGTACGGTTCTACGTGGGACGAGTCCAAGTACATCCGCCACATTCATCTTCTCCAGCGCAGGACGTCCTCTTCACGTCAAAGTGACAATTATTAGTCTCTGAAGCCACAAGTTGACAACGACCAAATGAATAAGTCCCTCGCCTAGCGACCTATCCACCTTGTCGTCGTGAAAAAAAATACTTCGAACAACTCCGAATCAGGACGGCTATGCCTAGTGAATTTTTCTGCCTGTGCTATATCAGGTTTTTGAAATAAAATTATCACGAAAACATCCATGCAGTTGATGCCTGGCGTATGCTCTGGTTGTTGGGTAATACAAATGGATAGCTGCACGTTAAACTCGAGTCCAAACCGTCAAATTACCCATGATTTTCCTAATAATGCTCCGTTCACTCCTGGTTAACTTCGTGCCGTCCTGCAAACTGTTCCATGTAAGAAATGAGTTGGTCCGTCTCTTCTTCTGTTACGGCGTTATATATGGACACTCGGACGCCTGGACAAATGAAACGTCAGTAATCAAACTGTGTAGAAATGATAATGTTCCATACCTCCTACGGAACTACATGCAAAAATTATGAGAATGTGGTCTTGGATGATGCGCAAAGGCAAGGACTCACCGATGGCCTTTGAGACCCTTCATGCCTCGCTCCTCTGCGCCAGAAATGAACTTGGCTAACAACCCTTCGCCAAGGACGTCGAAGACGACATTCATCTGGCTACCAGAGCCTTCCTTCACTTTACCTTTGAAGATGCCTTTGGTTTCGCCATCCTTGAGCACATCATACAGCTTCTTCGATTTACGGTTTGTGAGGCCAGCGTAATAGTCTAATCCTCCTAGCTGGAGCATATACTCAAGAACGAGACCGGTAATGTAGATGGAGAGGACTGGGGGAGTGTTGTACATGCTGTTATGATCTGCGAGCGTTTTGTACGAAAAACAGATTGGGACTGGGATCGCCCCGAGCCTCGCAGCGGCGTCGACGTCAACGATACAATCGTTTCTGACGATTAAGATGGTGAGACCGGCGGGGCCAACGTTTTTCTGCGCGCCAGCATATATGATAGCGTGGTCTGAAAGATGAGGAATCGGCCTCGACATGAAGGAGGAGGAATAATCCCCGACAAGTGGGATAAGTGCATTTTTTGGGAGAAGATGGAAGGGAAAGGAGGCTGGTGAGGTTTCCTCAGCCGAGAACTCCACGCCGTCGACGGTCTCATTGGCGCAGTAGTAGATGAGAGCTGGGTCATTTGAGAAGGAATACGCATCTGCGGTTGGGATGTTGTCAAAGGATTTCTGGTCTTTAGAGTATTTGCGAGAATCGGCTGCAATGTTGACGGTGCTCCCCATGCGTCTTGCCTCCTCAGCTGCCTTTTTGCTCCAGGACCCTGTGACCACATAATCCAGTACTCGGTCTTCATTTGTCAATTGAGGGTGGAGGAGGTGATGTCGCGCCAGCATGTTCAGCACGACGGCTGAGAACTGCGTGGATCCACCCCCCTGAGTGAATAAGATGGAGTGTGTGGGCTGGACGTCGAGAAGTTTTCTGATGTTTTGTTCGACGCCTTGTAGATACGCCGTGAACTCTTTGGACCGATGCGAAATCTCAGCGATGCCGATGCCAGTTCCGTTGAAGTTCAGGAGACCTTTGGTGGCTTCCTGAAGTACAGCGGCGGGCAGAGCAGATGGACCTGCGCCAAAGTTAATGGCTCTCGATTCCATGGTATGAAGACTTTCTTGGAAGAGTGAATATTGTGCGTGGAGGTATTTTGCACGTTAAGGTCGAAGACAAAACTAGTGGTCTATTTGGGGTTAATGCCATGTCACGGTGACTCGACGCTTCACACATATGTCAGAACCTTGACAACTGTCTGTACACCTAAACGCAAATTTGGTCAGTCGTCGCAGCAAATGGTTCTTCGCCCATGTCATACATGCAATACGTGATTATGTACGGCTTTAGAAATAGTCCAGTACAGGATAACGACAAAGTTCTCAAAGGTCCAGTGAAGTTTGAAAAATACTTAAAAACGGGGAGCGCCACCGTCGGCCTCATGTTCGCCTTGTCTCCCTGTGAGAGCTGGATCAGGCTTGCGCACACTACCACCAACCAACTCCACTTCTTCTCCCTCCGTGCCATCTGTATAGGACAGATTGTGGTGGCTAGTTGCGGAGTTGACAGTAGGCAGCTCCTCTTCACGTCGCACTCTCGGGGGATGCGGTTTGTGAGACATTGACGATGATAGCGAAGGAAAGTATTGGCGATATGCAAAATATGAAACAACCAATCCGAGGATGGCTCCAGCTACGACGTCCTGCCAGTGGTCTGTAAAGAAATAGGTGAGGTTAAACATGATAAATACTGAGACATGAACTAACGTCGGTAGTCCATGGTACGGGAAATGGCCACCAGGATGGCCCCAAAGATAGGAGTAACGGAGATCCATGCTTTGTGCTGAGAAATATATATTTTAGTGCGTCGCTGGGGTTGGAGACATTCGTTTACTTACAGCGTGGCCTCTGGTATCGAACAGGTGCATCTTTCCGGCTAAATAATACGATAGGAAGCCAAGTCCGGCATGAGATACTGGAAATATTTCACAACTTTATAAATGGATTGATATGACGGCTTACAACTGGCGTGGCCACTAGGGAAGCTCCTCCAACCATCGATCATGATAGCTGTGTCGGTGTTTGTGCATATTGCATCTGACGAGAGTCCATAAGTGGGGTCCGAGGAGCCTGGAATCGGCATGCATCGTGCGAGAAGATCTACAAGCCCCCGTAAAAATTGTAAGATAGGAAAAGCTGCATAGTACTAACCTGGACGGGGACGGCCAACAGTGATCTTCGTGAACTGAGTGATGGCCCCTGTGATGGCAAGCCCCAGGATGACTACGCAGTTCTGTGAGTTTAAATAAGATGACATGCACAAAAAAGAACCTACGCCCGAGTGCGCTGCAGTGGTAATCCCAGAAGGACCGAACAGTGAGTAAATTCACTACCAATTGAATGACGAGCGGCGCCACAATCGCAATGAAGTACAGGGCAATGTCCTAATCGCGAACTGAGATTACAATGTAAGGTTTTGAGGTCCCGTCATGAAGCCTACCGGAACACGTTCATGAACTGCAAACCTGGAAGGAGGTTAGACCACCTAAGGCAGGTCAGAGCTATGTCCCAACTCACGGGAAAAGTATGCTGCATCGAACAAATTAGCAACCGTACTTTGTGAAAGAATATGGAATCTCACGTTTCATCATGCACCGAAAATTCTCGTCGGAAGCCGTGAACGCCGTCGAGGACGAAGAACACAATCCTGTTATAAAGGCGTCAACAAGACTCGTAATTTGGTACACGAGAGGGAGACTGCACGCCAAAATAATCGTGATAGTCCTACACAAAGACAGATCATATTATGAGTATGGAAAGCAATATGAAGGTAATGCGACGGACCAATCGGGGGCATAAGACCTGATTAATTTCATCCGCCTCTTGTTGTCAGTTCGTTTGGTGGTCCTATCATAATTTGGGTTCTCCCAGAATTTGAAGGAGGCCATCGTTAGTTGTCGTGAAATTGCTCGTCAAAGAGTTGGTGGAGGGTTAAGCTAGGGAAGAGCAGGCGTGCATGCTCATGCATGGGAGCAAGTCTATACTTAAGTTAATTTGCCGTGTGTAAGACATTCCAAGCTTAAGCCTGCAATATTATACTCCGACTTCGCGAAAAACATTCTGCACTACCGTATCCTGATCGGACCGAGGTCATAGCATACGACTGTCGGAAGCACTACACTAGTAGAAGCACAAAATTTCTGGCAGAGCGTTTGAACTTTGAAACCCCCGTAGCACCTGGACCGTAGCCGCGGTTGTCCAAATTTCAGCCGAGACTCCAAAACACTGCCATCAACTGCGAACATGGCGTCCATGACAGAGAGCGCATATGACATATCACAAGGCTTCCGTTGGAACCCAGGTAAACGCGCTTTACTCACCACGAGGTCCTAAATTTACCACCCCACCTAGATTATGATACTGTTTTAGAGCAAATCGCTGACTCTGACATAGAAGAGCCAAAGTGCGCTCTTCCAGCCAACCGATCCACGCACTTACGACTCACAAGTCTTCAGGATAGAATGGAACCTGCTACGCGACATGATCAAATACAAAGTGGACGAGGTGATAACGCTCCTTTGATATTAAGTCAGAAGCTAACTTCGACATCTAGAATATCGCCCTATTTCTAGCAGATCCACCGCCTCACAATGCAATGGAGTTCCAACCGTTGCCTGAGGATCTCCTCAAAGCTGGTAACTTGAAGTTACCGCCGTTCCCGCTTCGCGAACAGAACGATCTCGACCATAGTGAGGTGCCGGAAGCGTACATGAACCACCAAGAAGCAAGCGAGATCAAAGCATTCATTTTCAGGCAACTGCATGAATTCGATGAGTGCGCACATATCTGCGTCATTAACGACATCTGATTGCAGATGGCTTTAGCGATCCTCCTTTTACAATACAACGCGTCTGCGAGCTCTGCGTACGACCGAAACAGCATTATAAAGCTCTTGGAAAGTATCTTCGAGCGGTAGAGAAATCATTGCTCGTTACATCCTCGTGGAACGCTTTCCCTGCGGAAGAATCTAATAACCAAGACGGCCCAACAATATCTTCATTATCCATGACAGCTGGTTTACTATCAGCACCGACTACTCCACTCTTCTCTCCCATATTCTTTCATCATGAAGATGCACGACGCTCAAAGTCACATAGTCCTCCTCCGTCACCTCTAACACTAAGTGGCATAGAATCTATGGGGCACGTCGAACCCCTGGAAGGGATGCCACCCAAAGCACTTGGCCTAGTAGACGAATTGGACGATCCAAGCCCAGGGCACTTGAGTAATCATCCAACAGCTCTTACAGCTGTTACTACGGTGGGCTCAAAGCCTTTCATGGATACCCTGGAGACAAGGTTTGTGAGAGGAGAGGGACAACGTGATACGGAGAGTGATGATCAAAGGATGGCAGACGGAACGGGAAACAAGGAAAATATAGGTTGACGGTGCTTTCATCTGAACTGGGAACGAAACAGTGAGAGCTGTGGCGTATACTCGGTGTCAAGGTACGCACCACCGTGTATTTATCCCATTCAAGTAAAATCGCGCTTGATTTTTTCGAGCATGGCCGTCATCCGATACTTCATATTGGGTTGCCCCTTCTCATGCCCCCGATCTCCAAAGGAAGCACCGCGCCCTCCCCTGGTGCTGCCTCTCTGCGGATTGGTACCGCGAGAAGGTTTTGTATGATGTCTATCCGCCTTGTACGTGTGGAGGGAATTGCGTGAGTAAGCTTGTTTGCCGAGTTCTCGAAGCGAAATCCTGCCATCAGCTGAGCTATTTGGATTTGGTTGCTGCTCGCACTCGGAATGACTGCCAGAGTGAGAACCTTGAACCTTGGAGTGCGATTCTTTTGGACTACTTCTATCAGGTTTTTCATGATGTGCAGGGGGCGGGCCGCCATTGGAAGGTACTTCGGGTTTCCGTTGAAGAACACCTTCCCGCTTTTTCTGGGCTTTCCACTGAGACTTTATCTTCGTGCTCTCAACCCATGACTGCTTTAGCTTTTTGGCTGAAAAAACAATCTGAGTATAGCTATGAGATGAAACTCACGAAAGCTCACCTCTATTGAACGGAAGGTGACCAAAAGTCGGAGGTTTTTTGCGTTTGGTCCCTTCGGTGATCATCGCTGTTGACGAGCTCGGCGGCCACCACAAGAATGAAGCCCAGATGCTGACTAATTATTGATCATCCAATTCCGGAGCCACACTACAAGTACAAGTCCATTCTTTCTCTAAACGACCATCTTGTCTCAACACATCCCCACTCAGTCCACAAGTTTATCTATCTCTTCACATCGCATGAACGTGCAGAATCTGAACTCTTTCGGTGAGTTTGTTTCACCAACTTTTTTCGATGACGTTGGCTGACAGGGCGCTTTTCAGATCCTTTTGCTGACGAGGGTGATCCTCTCGGAGGCAACCAAGACGTTGGATCTCAGCAGAATTACCTTCATATTCGTATTCAGCAGAGGAACGGAAGGAAGACTTTGACCACGTTGCAGGGATTACCCAAAGGTGAGGTTCAGGGCTTTTCACCAGCGAGTCATCATCTGATTGAGTTGTCTGCAGAATATGATCCCAAAAAACTCTTGAAGGCTTTCAAGAAGGTGAGTAAATGCGCTTCGACACTTTGCAGACGCTAACAATTTCACACAGGAGTTTGCTTGCAACGGCACCCTCGTCGACGACGAGGAGATGGGTCAAGTCATCCAGCTGCAGGGTGATCAGAGGCTTAAGATTGTCAAGTTCCTCACGGAGGAGGGCATTCCGAAGAACACCATCAAGCTGCACGGGTTCTAGTCCATGTCGTCCGGGAGAGTACTTGAACTCTCGAGGTTAACGCCGATGTTTCTATGTCAGCATGATTTTTCTTTCTCGCATACTTCTGGATACGTCTTGTTATGTATGTCGTTTGTACCATCACCGATTGTTGAACGATTAGATGTTTTCTCATGTACTAAGTTTAAAAAATCTGGACTTCGCATGTATTTCCAAAAGCGCCAGGAAAAATGAAGTAATATCTGAGAATATACTGTGTCGAAGTGAAAGCTGTCTCTCACAAGAGAGGAAATGCAACTTATCTTGCGGCGCGCTGGAGCTGAGCTGCTCACTTGACTTTATCTAGTGGCCGGTTGAATCCTCCGCGGCTAGAGGCATGCATGAGTATCAAAACGTGGGCATGCAAGCGCAGCTTACCGATTCATGTACTGACGCCATGTCCTGATCTTCTTAACATCGGCGAAGCCTTCTTGATTTCCGTCGACGTGCTTGCCCTGAGAATATGGTGAATTATATATCGTAGCAAGTTAAAAGATTGACATACCTTCGTGGTGCCAAAACCTGTGAGCCCCATTGCAGCCATCATACTCTCTTCATCGGCGTTGGTGGCATCCATGGCCTCCCCTTCTTCAGATAGGGCATCTGGATCAAGGTTTGGTCTCTTTTGAGAAAAGGAGGGACCAGCATCAGCAGGTGGGGCTGAAATTAACGATGAGAACTGCTATCGCACAGTAATATACGAGTTCTAACCTGGGGGTGGAGTTCTAGCTTGTGAAGGCTTTTCTAAAAGCCTCTCAGCATCATACCTGCCAACTTGTTGTGGGTGGTCACGTTGATTGTGGGGGTCCTTGTGTCTTGACTCCTTGTCTCGAGTTGGAGGCTCACGCCTTTCGTCACGTCTTTCAGGCCGTCTATCGTCTCGGCGGCTGTCTCGGTCGTAGTCTTCTCTTCGCGAGCTCTTATAGTCTCTATCTCTGTAATCCTTGTCATGATCTCTCCTGTCTGAATAGGTAGAATAAGCTGTTTGTGCAGCCCTGCAAAGGATCTTTGACATACCTCTCCTTGGACTGCGAGACCTACTGTCTCGTTTACGACCGCCATCCCTTTGACCTCCAGTTCTGTTGCCTCGTGAATGGCGGTCCTTGCCCCGTTCACGATCCCTGTCATCTCTTTCCCAGCTGCGTTCGCGCCTTCTTCCGTCGTGTCTGCTTGACATTGTGGTCACTGTCTAAAGTGCATATGATCACGTGGTCCTTCAAATCACAAATTCAATTTCTTGTCCTTCATTTCATTGCTTCCCGATGTTCAAGTCAACAGCCATTCGGCGCATGCTCCCGCGGCTAGTGGATGGTACGTTCGGATACTTGGTTTTTTTTTTGCTTTTCCAATGGTGTGATGTTACTCAGAGGGCAGAACACATATACAGTTGCGAGAGCTGCCACGTTCAGCTCTCCTCACTGACTTGCGCAGACTATGCATTCGTGACCAACTTCTAGGTGTAACGGATGGTAAGCCTTGTTACCTATAAAACTCGACGTATATAACGCAGTTCATTCTATGTCGCTAGTCGCCATCGACTATCATCGCTTCCTCCCTACAGGACGCGCATACCTCACTCTCGCTGATACAAAGCACCTGTACAAGAACCTGCAAGCACTGGACAAGGCATCCGTGGGTAGTCTACCAATACGGGCCTTGTCAGCCCCTCCCCCACGATCCGGCCATGGTCAGGTGGGCAGGACAGGGACGCAACGCAAGATTTTCTCTGGCAATGGTCCTCATGGCGGGATATCCTCCCGCATGAAGCATGTCGTTATCTGGGGCTTGCCTGGAAAAATCTCTGAAGAAGCTGTTGAAAATTACTTGCGTGATTTCCGACTGGACAATGTGGACGGTAAGAATGGGGCCGTCAAAGTCGAGCTGTAAGTTTAGTTTTATAACTGCAAACTGCGACTGCGACTGAGACATGATTTTACCTACAGCGCGACCAACACGTTCTCCTTATATTCACGACACCTGGTTCGGCCCACGTCGACTGCTGAAGCTCATCGTCTTGTACGGCAACTACACATGACATATTATGAACCAGAACACTGGGGAAGGAGATACCAACTGCGTGCTCGTGTCGTATACTGACCATCGACTTATACATCTTATAATTGCTATCGTATAGTTTCACATTTTGATGTCTGTCATGTGTCAAAAGTAAGAAAGCAAGCTGTAATAGCCAATGCATTCACATTCGTTCAACTTCCATGTCGTCCCGTGAACGATGGTGGCCCTGCAATAATGTCAACAACTGAATTGCCTGGGACCGGGATGAACATACCATACGAGCGTTGTCTCCTTCATCGTCTGGTGACCGCCCGCGTTTCCGTGAAACCGCCGTTTCAGTTTCTTTCCAGTCACCGCCTCCGCCAGCAACAGCACCTGGTCCTTCTTGCGCGTCCGCGTACCGTTCTTCCACTTCTCTTCGGCGTTCAGCCTCAAGCCTCTGCGCTTGTGCACCCCATCCGCCTCGTCCTGGATCATAATCCTGGCGGTGCTCGTCTCGTACCTGACCACCACTCTTCCCCCGTCCGAATTGCCTGCCCTCCTTATATCCCAGGTCCAAATCACACCGAATGATACGCTCGTCTAGCTTGGTGCCACTAACGTACTTCATGCTGGCAAGGGCTTCTGCATGAGTGTAGTACTCCACGAAGCAGAACCCGCACGGTGTGCTAGTCATGTCCTAGTGTCAGTTTCTGGTGGACTGCATGACTACGGCTAGACAAACCGTGTGTTTCTGTCAAGACCCATGATTATTCGCTTGATACCTCCACCGTCCTCTGGGCTGGCACATTTAGTGAACAACTCATATATCTGCTCCTCTGTGGTATAGAAACTTAAATTACCGATCTATGAGGACCGTAAGTGATGTTGAGACATATCAAGAGGAAAAGCTCACGTATAATGTTGTGGATTTGGAGAGAAGGTCGTTTTGTTTCGCGCGTTCTACTCTGCTCTGGGAGTCTTTGTAATTTGAAGGCTGATCCAGAGGCTGAACGACGTGCGCCATGGTCAGAAAGCTAAACCCAAAGGAGACTTTGTTGGAAAGTTATGTGGATGATAAAAAAGGAAAGTATTTACCACGGAAACCAACGCGTCAGCTTCACTCAAGATACGCCAAAACACTTACTTTAATACTTGACATCATGGAAGACGTAGGAATGGAGATTCAAAGAGAGGTACGTGTTTCAGTGATCAAGAAAGATGGTCAGTCTCATGAAATAATATCAGGAGCCAACCTTCGAGTCTGTCGTGACTGAGAAGGCCGCTCTCCATAAAGAATTACAAGAGGAGGATTTATATACCAAATACAAGAAGCTCGCGCGTCATCTAGAGCTCTTCGACATCCAGGAAAGCTACATAAAGGACGAGCAAGCGAATCTCAAACGCGAGCTCATTCGCGCTCAGGAAGAGGTGAAGCGCATTAAATCTGTCCCACTCGTCATCGGGCAATTCCTCGAAGCAATTGACCAGCACACTGGTATCGTGGGTTCGACCACCGGCTCGAATTATGTCGTGCGCATTTTGTCGACATTGGACCGAGAGCTGCTCAAGCCTTCGTCGTCTGTTGCCCTTCACCGGCATTCAAATGCCCTTGTGGACATCCTTCCTCCAGAGGCCGACTCATCAATAGCCATGCTTGGAAAGGAGGAAAAGCCTGATGTGTCTTATTCAGATATCGGTGGAATGGACTTGCAGAAGCAGGAAATACGTGAAGCGGTTGAGCTTCCCCTCACGCATTTCGACCTTTATAAAAAGATTGGTATCGACCCGCCTCGCGGTGTCTTGCTTTATGGACCACCTGGTGCGTTGCTTCCAAGCTCGGGTAGCACGTTCTAAAGATGATAAATAGGCACGGGTAAGACTATGCTTGTGAAAGCAGTCGCACATCACACGACTGCGTCTTTCATTCGCGTGGTTGGTAGTGAATTCGTGCAGAAATATCTGGGAGAAGGCCCTCGTATGGTCCGTGACGTCTTCCGACTTGCCAGGGAGAATGCCCCTGCCATCATCTTCATTGACGAGATAGATGCCATTGCGACCAAGCGGTTCGACGCTCAAACAGGAGCGGACAGAGAAGTACAGCGTATTCTGCTGGAGCTTCTTAATCAGATGGATGGTTTCGACCAAGGAAGCAACGTCAAGGTAAACATACACCTTCCAATTGGATTTCTGGATTTCCTAATTCTTTGCTATTTGACAGGTCATTATGGCCACGAACCGCGCAGACACGCTTGATCCTGCTTTGCTTCGTCCTGGTCGGCTGGACAGGAAGATTGAATTCCCCCTACCATCGAGGCGTGAAAAACGTCTTATATTCCAGGCTGTGACTAGTAAAATGAATCTTGGCCCAGACGTAGACCTCGAGGATTGTATGCCGACTTTTTTGTCAATAATGCTGATGCCTTTCGCTGAACATGATGTCATCTAGATGTGTCAAGACCAGACCGGTTATCTTCCGCAGAAATATCTTCTATTGCACAGGCAGCTGGACTTCAAGGTCAGGCTATTTTTTTTTGGCAGCTCCGCATTCTTAGTAATCGCTTTGCATCCAACAGCTGTGCGGAAGAATAGATATGTTATTCTTCCTGTTGATTTCGAAGAGGCGTGGAAAGTAAGTTGTTTGTGCCTTGTTTGGTCTCGCGTGTGTGTATAAAAATCTCACACTTTTTCTTTCTTCAATAGCAAACCGTCAAACGCTCAGACGATACTCACGAGTTTTGTGAGTCCTTCTCATTCATCTGTCCGCGATGCATGATACTTACGTCACGTCGTCAATCCAGATCGGTAGTATATGCATCGTAAGCACATTTTCGATAGTATCGATGTTTGATGCTGACCTCGATCAACCAGATACCACTGTATTCTACGATTGCAATTACATCTATTCCTCGCCTTCTCTTAATCGATGATGTCTGCAAGTCACAGCTCTGTCACTTTAGCGTCTCTCTGCTCTCATACGGAGGGGCGCTCATTCTTATGAGCGATACAAAATGACATCCTGTGACATATTTTTGCCCCACTTGCTCGCCTCCGTGGATGAGCTCAAGGCTCAGAGAGCAGTGAGGTTCACACGCGGGATATATCCTCTTGAGCTGAATCACTATCCCTAGCTTAGCTGACCTTGGCTATTGAAGCTAGGTACTCAAAGTGAGTAGTATGCGGTCATTGCAAAGACTATATGCTGATCACCTATCCCCATAGATGAATAAATATATTTGTTAGATGCCAAGTGAGATCTATGAGTAGATTGTTGCTCCTCGACACTCTGGGCGGCGTCGTTAACTCACACGACCGTCCTCATTTTACAGGAGCAATAGGTAAACAATGACTGAGCCAGTGTGCGCAGTCACCCTCACAGTCGTCGATCCTCCATTAAATTAGAGGTCTCGAAGATTTGATTGGGATACATGTTTAAAGTACAACAGTAGACGCTATCTTGCTTATTAGCTGACGTGGCAAGTCGTTAAACCATACAATTTTAATTTTTTGCGGGCTGGCCAAGTTCGCTAGCGCGCTCTGTCGCGACCTGAATTGCACGAGCAATGGTAGAGCGAACTTTCCCATCCTCCATGGCTAAGAGGCCCGCTATCGTACATCCGCCAGGAGCTGTTTAGTAAGTAAAGTATCCATGAGCACGATCGGTGACTTTGGGTGAAAAACTACTAACTTGTGACCGAGTCTTTAATTTGAGCTGGATGAGCTCCTGCTTGAAGAACCATGCGTGCCGCGCCTTGCAGAGCTAGGGAAACAATGAGCTATAATATGCTGTACGACTAGCAATCTCACTTTGTGCTGCTAATTCAAGGGCCTCCGCCCTCGGGAGGCCCATCATGACACCCCCGTCTGCCATAGCCTCCAAGAATATACATGCAAAGGCGGGACCAGATCCAGAAAGCGCAGTGCATGCGTCGAAATTTTTTTCCTCGAGGAAGCGACAGCGCCCAATAGATGAAAATATATTCAAGATGATGGAGCGATCGAGCTCGGCCTCCTCTGATATTGGTAGGTTGCTGACTACAGTCATACCTTCTCGAATCTATTTGCGTGTTCAGCGATTGTTCACAGACGCGAGGTACCAGAAAATACACGTACTCTGCATGGAGTGTTGGGCATTGCGCGGACAACCCTGGTTGTCGGGGGGACCCATCCAGTAAGCTGGTGTATAGTCACACCAGCGAGAATGCTGATGAGTAATTTGCCAGCCAGTGCTTCCTGCATTCCAACCTGAGAAAGGACAATATGAGCTTGGTGAGGCTTGCAGCTAAAGATCGTTCAGGGAAACGAAATATTCACGAACTGATAATACACACCACAAAATAATAACATCCGCTTTTTGAACTGCTGCAAGGTTCTCGCCGGCAACAACTTGAACGGAAGAACCAAGACCACCCAAGAGTCCAAATGTATGTTGGAGCTTTTGTGCACTCTCTTTCCTTGTCACGGTTGCGGTGAAAATGGACGGGAGTGAAGGATCAGGCGAGTCAGCTGTGGGAGTGCATGTGCCAGGTGTATGCGACTCCCACTTGGGGGTCTCGAGTGTGTTCAGCCTGGATTGCAAACTGGTGATCACCCCGGAGATGATTGCGACCCCCATAGTCCCACATCCTGGTAAATTGTTCATGAAGCGTATACAAGAAAATATACAGTCTCGCACTTACCTAGCACACAAAGCGTATATCCCATGGCAGAATACCGTCGACTGTCGTGATCACAATACAGATGGAAGGAACAAGAAAAAGTTTCGAGTCATCAATGCATCAGGGTCATCTGGAGCTAAATTCAGTCGAGACCAGCGGCATTCGTTAACTACCAGCTGTAGAAGGAAACGTTTTCCTGCTTGGGAAACCTCGAGAACCATTTCATGCTCGTATTCGCAACGGTAGGTTCAACTAGGTTCGATGCTCTTGTAGAGGCCACTATATCAGAAACTGTCCTCAGTACACTTCGCGACTCGGGTTACGATCGCCTCATTCTTCAGCGTGGTAATTCCGTCATTGAATCAGAAGAGTTCAACGAGGAGAATTGTACTATACAGCGATACGGTGTGGGTATAGAAATTTGGAGGTTCAAGCCTTCCATTCAGGCTGAGTGTGAGCAAGCTGACCTCGTCATCAGCCATGCTGGTGAGTTGTCTGCTCTCCTCGGACAAGCTGTACCCTAAACTATGAGGAAGGATCGGGAACGATTCTGGATGTCTTGAGGTTAGGAAAGCCTCTTATTGTCGTACCCAATCCAACCCTGTTGGACAATCACCAAGAGGAGTTAGCGTCTGCCCTTCAGATCCTAGGTCACTTGAAGGCGACATCGATTCAGTATGCCCTTTCATCTGTCATAACCAGGTCGTTCAATGAAGTTAACTGCCAGAGACCTCGCATCGACAATCGCATCGTTCGAACCTCGCAACCTAGTTCCGTTTCCTCCCTTCGACGGGACTAAATTCTCTAAGCTGGTAGATGAGGAAATGGGCTTTATCTAATGCTATAAAGAGGTGTTGAGTTCATGTTGATGAAGCAGTTGAAGGCGGATGCTCATTCAGTACTTTCCCAATATCCATGTCGTACCCGTACCACGACGATCTAGTCCATCTGTGAAATGAAACCTGTAAAAAGTGTCACGATTATCGACGATCCGCAAGTACACGAAGACCAACACGTTCATGCCGTGTATGACCAGATTGCCTCTCACTTTTCATCCACTCGGTACAAGGTGCGAACTGTTGCATCAAAAATTCAATCATCGTGACTCGATCGCGTCTTGCAGCCCTGGCCTATCATAGCCAAATTTCTCTCTGACCTCCCAACTGGCTGGATTGGTCTAGACTCGGGAACAGGGAATGGAAAATATCTTCCTCTGCCTGCAGATCGCCCCGGTAGTATACTAACAATCGGCCTCGATCGAAGTCGCAACTTGCTCCAGATCGCCCAGCACGCTGGGAGTGAGCCTGGGTGTCCGGTCACTCGGGAGGTTGTTTGGGGTGATGTCCTTGGAGATGGTTGGAGATCAGGCGTATTCGTGAGTAATAACCGCTCTCATTCATCGTAGGGCGACTGGTCTTGACCACCATCTGACAGGACTACACCATATCTATAGCTACGATCCATCACTTGGCATCGCATGACCGTCGAAAGCTCGCCGTGCAGGTAAGGGCTACTTCTGTTCATAAGCAGAAGACCTATCACTAACATGATCTGTAGCGTCTTTTACAGGCTGTCTCTCCAGTCCATGGTCGCGTGATGATCTATGTGTGGGCCATTGAGCAGGATGAGCTATCCAAACGGTCAATCCCTGCTAGCGACACCAATGGATCTGACAACCCTATGACTGGTGAAGATGTCTTCGTGCCCTGGGTAATGTCTCAGGGCCAGCACACTGCGAAAGGGAAATTCAAAAACGACGGTCGCTCTTCAGCTACATATAAAGAAGCCGCGCCAGCTACCCCAGTATTAGCAGTGGAGACTCCCGTATACAACAGATACTATCATATGTTTGCGAAGGGCGAACTTGAACAGCTCACAGTTCAAGCAGCTGACGAGTTTGGACTGATGGTTGGATCGCGAGAGAGCGCAAATACTAAGGGATGTAGAGGCGTTGAGATTATCCAAGAAGGATGGGAACGGTCAAATTATTATGTCGAGTTACGGCGCTGGGTATCTTGACTCATCATCCTATGTGGGACGTGCCCGATGCGAATTACTTGCACGAGCAAAGCAGTGATATGATACAGTGACGAGAAACCAGAGCACTGAACAAGACAGAAGATTATTCGCTCGCCGCCATAACTACAGTCAATAACGAGTCAGAGGGAGTCAAGAGGATCAGCAAATCGACTCACTGGCATTGATCAGATCTCCTCCGCTCTCTTTCAATACTCTGACGGCCTTAGCCCTTGAGCAGTTGACTTGTGCCATGACCAACTCGATGTCTTTAGGATCGACGCCCGTCTCATCAACTGGTCCGTCGTCTTCTGGTGCTTCGAGTTCTGGGATATCGTCGTCATCATCGCCCTCACCGCCCGCACCAGAGGTTTCAAGGTTCATGGCGCCTGCACCTGCACCTCCGGCAGAAGCAAGTTGTTGAGCCGTAGACATTTGAGCTTGCGAGTTCATATCCTCAATCTATGGAAACGAGACATCAACAACAATATATATATCCATCCGTCTTACATACCTTTGCTTCACCAAACACGATATAGCAGTCGCTGTTTTGCGACTTGTAGACATCGGGGGAAGAGAGAACGAACAACACGTTCTTGGGCCTACGGAGGGTCACGCGGGTGATGCTGGGGACCTTCTTCAAACCCAAACCAAGAAGAGCCTTTCGGGCCTTTCGCTCTGAACGAGATTGAATTTTGTCGAGAGCAGCCTGGGAGGTAGGGTCCTCCTCGTGCTCGTGGTCAGAATGGTCCGAAGGGAGTTCCTCAATGGTAGCGCACATCTAGGGGATGCGTCAGTGACGTGTTCTAGTACATCTGAAATGATCATCGTCGATCCATCCAAAGACTCTCATTTCCAAGCAAGTGACGTATCCTGAGGTTTTTAAGGTCTGAAATGGTGCTTACCTTTGTTTTTATGAGGTTTTTTGGGTGGATGTGTGCTCGTCGTTGTCAACAGCGAGCCAAGCAGAATCAACCTGTGAACCCGGCGTTTGCCGAAAAAGGCAATACCCGCACTCGCTGGCATATTTGCGCTTCTCATATGAGAGCCACAGAATTATCGTAGATAACTGCTATTCGGTTATAAAATCAATGCATGGTGATCTCCATGTAATTAACGTCCTCCTTCGCTTCAAATGACTCCATGAGGCCGCCACGACGTTATATACCAGACAGCCCAGTAACTTCCAGTGAGATATAAAGCGACAAGACATTCGCATTACACAAAAACACTCTTGTCCTTCATTCACCACGAGCACAGCAACAAAACATGTAAAGGTGCCTAACACGGCTGAGGCGGCAATCCTTCACCCCTATTGATAATAATATCCAACAGCATTTTAGCGCATTCCACGTGTATACGTGCGTACCTCACTTGCACGTCGTAGTTCTTCCTCCTGAACATATTTCAGACATGACCATACTGGAGTCTCATCATTTTTGCAGCCACCGCTGGAAGGATTTCCATCAGGTGAGGACACTTTGAAAATGTCTGATGATCTGTTTCGTTCACCATCAACTAGTGCGTGATCTACGACTTCGACGCACCCGCCGATGCTAGGTTGATCGGCATCGAGTATATTGTGTCTGAACAGGTAACGGTGGCATTCAGGCAACGATTTGTTCGCTACTGATTGTTGTGCAGATTTTCAAGTCGCTCCCCGAAGAAGAGAAGAAGTATTGGCACTCACATAAGCATGAGGTTTGTCATCAGACCAAGATCTTCCCCTTCATTTGATTCATGCCTCTGCCAGATGGAAAGCGGAATTCTTTGCCTCGAGGTAAGCTTTGGTGGTGCACAGGAGAATCATTTTATTAACCCCTCTGTTAGACGAAAGGTGTTGTTCCGAGTACTTGAGTGGCATGGAATGTCTATGCCTAATCTTTTTGTGGGTGTCGTGAACGACACGGTTGAGCAACCGGTCATGCTGCATTTGCATCATACTTACGGAAAGACGATCCATACATGGGCTTTCGATGAGTTTTTCAGAACTGCCACTTGGACCCTTACACTGGTATTAACCTGCCCAGCGACGAGGCCATCCATCGCCGGGATGAGCGCTCTGTAATTTCGTCCTCAGCGAAGAAGAAGCTGCGTGAAGTTTATTTGCCGGGGTATCAGAAAGATAACAAGACGGATCAATGGGAGGCGAGTGGTACAGGTATAACGTTCAGGCCGTTCCGAAAAAATACAAATTCAAGAACAAGGTCATGCGAGTATTTTATTGGAAATTTGACTGCTGGCATATAACTTGTATTATTATCATGACTAGTCGTGTAACAATTTGAAGTCGGGTGAGAGGAGCCATGTGAGCGCTTGAGCGCTCATTCGGTGCAACGTTTATGTAAAGCTACATAGTAAAACCCTGATCTCCCAGAGTTCATGTCGATAACAGCTCTGTCCCACCAGATCCGCATAATATTAGAAGAGGCTCCAGATGACGCACGACTAGAACAGGCTCTCCAGGCTGTAGACGAATTTGTCCGTGAATGTGCTGCATCTAAAGAGCCAGATGTTTTACTCTTCCGACTGGAAGAGGAACTCCAATCACTCCACAGCGATACAATCACCCACAATTCCCTCCAGCATACTGAAGTGCTACTGGTCATCCTATTCCGTTTGCGCCCCTTGTTAACGTCAATTTCGCTCATCTCTACATGGTTCGACCTAGTTCTTCGTCCCGCCTTACGAGAACCACGGCTTTCCACTCTGGCTGTCAATCACGCCAAGGAACTAATTATCTCAGCAGCAGATAGAATAGACGAAAAGTATCCTGAGAAGGTGGCCGAGTTTCGACGTCGCCTCCTTGACCTTTATGTTTTGGATGTATACAATGAAGGATCTGGTGACGACTTGCTGGAATGGGCCGAACTTGACCAGAAACAGAGGGGGAAAAGATCGCTGTGGAAGTTCAATCTAGAAGATATCCTCGTGAAGTCTGGGTTGTGTCGGCCTCAGGTATTCGACAGATGCACTTTGTCTCATCCAGACGTACTGAAGGATGTGCTTAGGATTTCATGTCCGCAATAAACTACTCCTTTGCAACACCGTCATCGCGTCTGCAACTATTGATCCTGCTCAATCGATACACTTCAGAGCCGTCATTCCAGTCCCTTGCAGCAGCACTCGCCGACCATCCTTTGTTAGACAGTCTCCTCAACTCGCTACTGCTGGACAATTCTTCGACGGTGTGCACCATTGGATTGACTGTCATAGTCAAACTTCTCCCTATATTTGCTGTTAAAGCATGTGAGAAGCTGAAGACGATGCTCCCTCGTCTTCTTGCAATTCTTGCAAGAATTATATGCTGGAAGGAGAGATCCGTTCCTAAACCAGCATTTGAGGAGGCTGAGGATACAGACGAAAGTTCTGCGACTGGCGATGCGCAAGCATCGGCGTATAACGAATTCACTGCATCATCTAATCTGCCCTTACGACCTGAGCTCGGCTGGGAAAGGCTGGAGCTTATGTTTAATACCGCATCTTCCGCCCCACCGCCTGGGATTTTTTTTTCCTGCCTCTACTATCTTTTCCCATGCAACTTACTCCGCTTCCTGCGTGGCCCCTCAGCGTATATTAACGATAGGCGCTATGAATCGCCCTTCTCTATTAGTTGGGAAGATGCACTCGATGAGGACAACATAAGGAGCAAATCGGAGGTGCGCAATGGTCATTTATTTTTTGATTCTTATAACTGAATGGAGCTTGCAGTCTCTTTTACGAGGAAGAATTGTCAATGCAAGAGTCATATGGGGAGATTGGACAAAAGAGTTGACAGAACCCGATACGTGGGCCAATTACAGTGTCTCTCGCATCGCGAGCGAGTGCATGATGCTTGACGTGCGAAACACAGCTCTAGGCAGCAAGCAGTTCTGTGCTGACATCGCGTCGGTTGCTGCTGAGTCATCCCTCCTCGAATCAACTACCCTATTTGACGGAGATACTTCAACGGCACCAACGCCTCACCCTGGCTATGTAGAGCTGCCAGCTGCAAAGCCCCGCGTCTCACTGGAGAGCATGATCACCGCGTCCGTTGCACTCAAATCCAATCTGGATGTGGAGATCGAAGCCCCAACGGCCGCCTGGTCATCCCTATTGTTCCCTACAGGGAGCAATTCTCCGACAAAGCGCGCTTTCGATGCGCCGCCAGATCCAAATACTTACAATGGACAACTTCCATCTCACGTTGCACAGGCAATTTCTGGTCTCCAGCGTGAAGTCCTACTTCTGCGAAATGAACTAAACTTTGAGCTTTGGCTTTCACGGGAGAACGTAAAACACATTGGACGCCTTTACCAAGATCGGATTTTGTCCAAAAATGCAGAAGTTGAGCAACAGGGGCTGGTGTGTGTCTCGTACCCGAATTATTCAACTTGCTGATCATCATGTAATAGTTCAACAAGTTACGCCACTACAGGGCCGAGGTCCAGCGGTTAGATCGCCAGCTGAGGGATCACAGGGAACAATCATCATCTGCAAAAAACAAATATGCTGATTGGAATACTGAACTGCAGAGCAAGCTGAAAGAGTTTCGGGAGGAGAAGAAGGCATGGGTCTTTGAAGCTGCTTCGCTACGAACGGCGAAGAAAGAAGCTCAGGTAGAACTTCATTCGACATTACGATTATGTACTAATTCTTACCCAGGCTCTTTTTGCTGCTCAAGGACAATTGCTCGCGGATGCAGTAAAACAAGTATTTGAGCTCCAGACTCAGAGAAAGGAAACCCAGCACAAAGTTGACCGTCTAAGGGATTATGAGCGACAGATCGAGCAGCACATTCGCATGCAACGTCTCTGGTTCGACTTCTTCACATTGGGTTCCGCTATGATGTTCGCTGACTTGTTTGTAGGGATGGAGACTTCCAGAAGTTCAATGACCGGGCTGAAGAGCTCCAACAGCTAAGAACGCAATTTAAGCAGGTGGAGCTGCATCTGGAGAGTTATCAGAAGACATTCGAACAAATGAGTGAGGACGCTCGGTACGAATTTCATTTGCTTTGCATGCATCCTGAACAAAACATTGTTGTAGGAGCCATCGACGACAAAACCAGGCACTAGAAGCCCGTCTTTCTCTACTTCAAAAGAGATGTGATGCCTCCCGACGCCTTCCCGAAGCTGAGATAGCAGCATTCATGGAAGAGAAGTCGGAGCTTGGTGCAGCCAACGCCAGGTTGAGGGATGAAAACGCCGATCTAAAAGACGAGATGGGGGAGATGAGAGCAAGGATGGAACTTATGAAGGCTCAGATTGATGGACATAAAGGCCTGATTGCCGAAACGCGATCCATGCCAGCATTATGAATCCTCGAATGTGGAGGAGGATTTTCTTACCTTGGAATTGGATTCCTGGTAGGGGCGGTGGCTTCGAGAAAGTTTTTGATGCTGATATTCAAGCTGAGGCAAGATCTAGTTACAACCTTAGTAATTACTGATGTACATGTTTAGGAGGAGTCCAGTCACGCGAATTGCGTCCGCGGAATCAGCTGTTCGCAGCTCTACGAATTTCAAAAGACGGGTATATGCTAGCAGTGCTTTTGAATCATGATCCTAAAACCATATGGCTCCAGCCGTCTGATGCACTTGGGGTGTGGTCTCTTCTATTCCCCATGTCGGGGTCAGGCCATAACGAAGCACTATCCCGGGCTTGAAATGATACAGCATGGTTCTCATTGACGACCTCCGAAGGCGAGAAAACCCTACTCTCCAAATAGGCGAGTAGTACATCTCCCGCGGCAAGAGATCAACCATCTCACAGGAACTCGTCAATTTTGATTTACTTCAACACCACAAGCAGGTCTACGCTTCACCTCCACGTTCCGGTCTAACCAAGATGTCAGCTTTGTCAAATTCTCCTTCCATTCGCCCACGACTCAGGGTAGAGCTGAAAAAGATAATGCAGTCTGTATGACTAAGGCCAACTCTAAAAGAAATAAGCCAGCAGAAATAGCCATCTTGCGTTCTACAACGGAATGGCAAGGAAGGTTCGCATTAGGTTAGGCCGGTACGTACCCCAGCTGCAGTGAAATGGAAATGTCCAGCACACGAGGGCATATAATTTCAAGCAGGCAGGATTGATATAGACATAGCGTCAGAGGAACATGACGAATTACACAACATTCACGTCTCCATCTTCATACTAATTGCTTGAAAGTGCTCAGAGAGCTCCCAGGAAGGAAAATATCTTCAATGTCAAGTTCCGAACGAAGAAATTTTGACTACTGCATTGTTTATACCCAGAAGATGCATTGACATGGCTGTAAACAGTTAACACGCTGTCGTTCGCTATTGGTGATCTTCCCATACACTAGGATCTCGGGGAAGTAATAGAGAAGCACCTACTGCGAGAAATGCAATTGCCATCAAGAAGTAGTATATTAACCAAGCATTATGCCCTTCCTGCATCGAATAAGAGAAGACCGAAGCCGCAGACGCTGGGGCAATTATCCTTGCTCCTGTGTTAAACATTTGGACGATTCCATTGGTTGCTCCGAGCGAGGCACGATTGGGAGCAGCTGCTCTGACAAATAATGCTAGGCAGGCTACGGGTTCTTCTCAGTTCAGTAGAATGCACGAAGTGCTAGATTTACATACGGTAGCTGTTACGCTCGGCGTTCGTGAGAACGGCTAAACGGTCACAAAGAGTCTAAAGCGTACACCTATGTACGAGTCGTGCGAGTTAAGCAGTATATTGCAGGCCCTGGTCTGCGTAGGTCAAGTTAAAGAGTACAAGCGTAAGAGATAGAGTATATATAAAGGAATTAAAGCGGAGCTTTAATAAATGAATCGGAGATGGAAAGTAAATAGCGAATCAGAAAAGAGAAAGGGAATCGTACGATAGAATGTTATAGAATGTTCTGTG